TCTTAAGATAAAGAAGATCTTTATATAATAAATCTAATTATAAATAATAAAGCTATTAATTAATATAATAACTACTATATACTATATACCCTTATATTATATAGTTATAGATATTATATATATATATAGCTTTCTCTCTTACTACTTTAGTAATAAGATTAAATATATTAATAATATAGATTTTAAAGATAATAAAAAATATAAATAAGAATTTTAATAAGATTTTATTTAATTAGATTTTTAATTAAAGTTTTATTAAAATATTAAATAAATAATATTTCTAATAAGAATATTAGAAATATTAATTAAATATTAAATAAATAGCTATTTTTTATAGAGTATTTTAAATTTCTAATTAATAAATTAATAGATTCTTAATAATAAATTTTATTTTTTACTTTTTATTAATATAAAAATTTATTTATTAAATTTTAATAGATTTTACTAGAAACTATTATAGAATTATAATTAAATAGTATTAGTATTAATATTATAGTTAAAAATAGTAGTAGTAGCTTATTTATTAGGAGTATACTATATATATACTAAGGTAATATTATTAGTATAGTTAGATACCTTAGTAGACTAAAGCTGGAGTACTTAAAGGGATTTATTTCTACTATTATTAATTAAAGATTAAATATTAGGTAAGATATTCCCTGTATCTATAGAAACCAATAGAGAATAAATAAGAGGCAGGGGAATTAATACTGGATCTAAGGATAACTAAGATGAGCTTATAGCAGCTATTTCCTCTATGCAGATAACTTTTGAGGATATACTAGATTCGGTCTGGCTATTCGAGAAGTCCGAGGAAGCGATCGAGTTCGTATGGCAGGGAAAGCAAGTTGGAAAAGTCGTTCTGAAGTTGGATCATTAGATACCAAAGTGAGTCAAAATACCATGTACTTGAGAATTCGTCATCTTGGAGGCATTCTGCCCACCTCCAACTTTTGCATTGACCAATTGGGACCCTGTAAGAGGTGACCCTCGACCTCTGCATATCCGATGCAATAAAACCGCCCTTCCCCATCTCTTTCCAGCAGCATGAGCACATGGGATTGGAGTGTGCTGACCGAAGGCACGAATCCGTTGGTGTATACACTTCTCGTTCCAACGAATGCAGCATATATTTCACGGCCCTCCGACTTGCCAAGCACCCACTTGTCCTCCTTCGCCGATTTGAAAGACGAAGCTCCATCTTCGGTACTCGGATTGTCCAAGCCGGGACGAATCCGAGCCGTGTGTGCCTCGAACCGAAACACGCCTGCATCGGTCATTTCTCCAGTGGGGCCACCGTCGAGATTCCATACTGAATTAATGTACTTGCTTGGGCTTTCCAGCTTTCCATCGACGTCAATAACAGGCTTCCCTGCTGGCGACGGCTTGGGAAAGATGGGAAGAAAGGACGCGTCGGGGTTGACTTCCATCTTGGTCGCAATGGCCAACCACTCCGCCCGCTCGCCTCGAGCAAGCAACTCTCTCATCAGAGCAACCGTAGCGCCCAATCTATCATCTTTCGAAAATTTGGTCGTGTCCAGCGACACACCCAAGATACCCATTATGCTAAACACCATGTCCACCGGATATTTGGCACTGCGTACGAACGAGGAGCGCCAAATCGCACCAGAAAGGCCTTTCTTGCCTCGCATATGCAGGGCGCCGGTGAGCGCAGAAAAGGCAGCACCATCACCGCCGAAGAACTGGGAGCCAAATGGTTGCCTCATTTCTCGTTCCTCGCCAATGCTTGTTCCATCCTCGTCTATCGATTGCATCCTGCAGCGACCACGAGTTTGAAAGGCAAGCAACCACTCAAAGTTCGAAATCGCGGCGGTGCTTGGCTCAACCTCCTCAACAATCACAGTGAACATGGAGTCCAGCCTGCAACTGCCTCCTTCCCATGCAAAGAGAACATCGGCGGAGGGTGGCGCGATGGCCTCCTGCAGCGTCCAAGCTCGACTCATCCACGACGTTTCGTCAGTTATCCGCGTGAGGCGAGATAGGCCGCCTGGGATGATGACACATGTTTTGCAAGACTCGTAGATGGTGTACATCCGTTGAATCTGCCATGCTTTGTCGCCATCGTCGGCTTGGATGATGCATAGGCCGTCGAGCCAGAGGAGTTCGCATCCACGCTTGAGGGAGGCAACGCAGGCGAGGCGAAAGACTTCGATGGAGATTGGGTCTGCACCCTCGGCACCGTCAACTGACATGATCGGGGACGTGTCTTCTTCATCGCGGATGAGTCCGCGCCAGACGTAGGAAACGGTAGAGTAAGGCTGTTTGGGGAGGTCGACAAACTCAATCACGCGGAGGGCCTCGCGACGCACGAAGCTGCTGCACTCCACGAAACGGTAGCGGCAGCGAGCTATGCCGGCGTGAGACACTGGAGAAGAACTGATGTCGCTGTAGGGAATATTTATGATGAAATTGTCCATGATGGCGACTTTGAATGCTTCCGTCGTGAACGTGGGCTTGGCTTGAGGTGGAGATCTTCAATCGTGCCGAAAACCAGGCAGCCCAGCGGCGCTCTTTCCAAAAATCACGTTGGGCTTCAAGAGCCGGCCACGGAAGAATTCTTTTCCATAACGGCGGCCGCCAACCGACTACATCGGGGAGCTAGATGTGGTTATCGTATGTCGATCTCCATGCATCGTACTTTTTAGTACACTGATAGGGAATAGGGCTGGTGAGCCGAGACCAATCACGAAAGTTGCTCCACACCGTGAATACTGCATTGTCACGCAGTAGCGCCAAAATTACAGCGAGGGTCTAGTTACTTGACCCTATACTCGTAATATATCTACCCTATATAAGGAATTTATCTATAAGTATATAATAAAACTCTCTAAAGCTTATAGTTAAGAGTAGTAGAAATTAGAAATAGATCTATAGATATATATTTATTATATATAGTTAATTAAATAAGTATTATTAGTATAAATAATATAGAATTTAGTAAGTTTACTAATAAAGCTTAATAGATATCTTAAATATCTATAAAGTTCCTATTCTATAGTTTCTATACTCTAACTTAGTTCTAGCTTTATACTTCTCTATAATAGTTATAAGCCTGGTTAGTAGAGCTAGTTAAATACTAGTAACTTTATATTACTATATATAAGGCCTATAGTTTGAATCCGGAAGATATAGCCTAAAAATTATACTTATTAGCTTATTTTATACTCGAACAAGGGGGGTATATAATACGAATACGGTAAAAATACCCGAATAACTGGGGGGTGTATTACGCAGGCTATATGGGGGGTCTATGGCTAACTTGGCAAGGAGTTCTCCTTTTGCCAAGGCAAGCCGTTTTTGTGATATGCATTAAATACTTACGCCTTCCCTCTTGTGAGTATATGTCCCTCTCGACATGGCCAATGTGAGTGGCTCTCTCTAAGGAGTCGTCCAGCCAACATGTATTCATCAATGGCTCTCCATCCAGGGTGTCGAGAACGCCAGGGCCGAGTGACGTGCAAGGACAGCCCCAGCCAGCGTACTCGTCTTTAACCCATTCATAGACGTTCAACTGAACAAACTCCTCTTGGATGCCATCCTCGTAATTGAAGAGCCGGCCCAACTGCTCGAGCAGCTTGACCTCTCGGTCGCGCGTTGACAACTCCGACCATGTCCTCCCGGGTCTCCGCCCATGAAGCACGTCAAAACGTACTTGTTGTCCGCTGGAACGCAAGAGTCGCGGATTACACCGGCAGGACCGGCAAACGACTGGACCAACCCACAGAAGCCGCGCTCGGACCAGAAGGGTGTCTTGAACTCCATCATAGCTTTTGCGTAGTATCCGTAGACCAGCGAGTCGATCCAGGCTTGTTTTGACAGCGGCAGTGGGGGGTGGAAGGTAATACCTCTTAGTGCTGGACCAGGCAGCGTCGTGATGACTTTGCGGGCGGCAATTACGCCGCTGTCTGTTTGCACTTTGATGGTCCGAGAGGGCCGTCTGTGAAGACTGCGCGAACAGGCTGTTGCAGGCGGCCTGTGCCGGCAGACAGAGAAGCTGCCAAACCAAGTGACAGATGTTGTGTGCCCTGGCGAATGCGCATGTACTGCCCGCCATTCTTGCGATCGGAACGCATCTGCAATAAGCCACCGCCAGATTTGCAATAATTGAGGAAATAAAGTGCAGAGATGTCAGACGGCTCCTGTCCCAGCATAGCGCGGGTCCAGGTTGTGGCTGTGGCAACAGCAGTCTCGCTGGCTCCTCGCGACCGCAGATAAGCCTCGAACGTGAGGGCATCGAGGTTCGTGTCCTGTGGGTTCCACGTAACAACGGCCTGGCAATCCGCTTCGACCATGTCGCGGATGTCGGCGACGCCTTGTTTTGTAGCTTCGTCGAACTGGAAGAGAAAGAGTCAGCAAGCCCCCAATATTTTATTTCGGTAGAGGCTCAGAGGAAAAGGATGTACATTTGGTAGCTCTCTATAACTGAAAGATGAGCATTCCCGATCGAACCCTTGGAATACAACTTTTCCAGTTGTGTTTTGTTCAATCAGCTCAGCGCCAACAGCCTTCGCAAGCGCGTACACTTTGGACTAGTTGGTGTCGTTGATCCAGCCGGCGCCGACATCAATGACGCCCGACTCACCCTCTTTCAAAGGTTTGCTCCAGGTCTTACCGCCGACTCGGTTGTGTGCCTCAAGGACGATGTATGAGAGGCCCTGCTGCGTGACTTCGCGGGCGGCCGTCAAACCGGACAGGCCAGCGCCGATAACCACCACGTCTACCGACTCCGTTACTGCAGGCAGTGTGAGGCGAAGGTCTGTTGCTGGCGAAGGCTCAGGGACAGCCACAACGGCATCGATCTCAAACAGCCAAGAGTTAACCGCCAACTTGGGCACAGGAATTAACGTTATCGCTGGCCGGTGTCCTCGCAGAAACTTCTGAATGTGTCTTGTGTGCTTCCTCCTTGACGCGTCATAATTGACGATGAATAAGGTGAGCTTGGCGATGTCTTTGACCGACGCGCCGGCATTGAGGAGGATCTTGCGCAGGTTGAACAGGGCAAGATGGATTTGAGATTCGTAGTCGGCGGGGACAAAGCTATTCTTCGTACTGCCTGGCTGTCCGGAGATGTGCATCAGCTTGGAGGATATTGTCGCCGGGGTATAGTAGGCGGAGGAGGTGTTGCTGAGGTCGATGGCCTTGACTGTAACCGCTATGATGAATGTGATAATAGCGGAGAAGTAATAAAGACTCGGGTCAAATCATGAAGGCACTGACGATGCTATTGATATCTCTCTGAACAAATGCCTCCTACCGCTGGACGTAAGCAAGCACTTGGCCTCGGGTTTTATTTTGGGAAGATCGAAACTGGTCGTACGATAAAGATCCAAAATCGCACGGCTTCGGAACTTGCCAGTCGCGGTGTCGGCTTGCCCTCGGTCTAAGATAGGTATTCAGGGTCCCCGGCCAAACGACGTGCCAGCGCCCTATCTCGTAGTTCGTCCCGCTCCCGAGCCCGAACTCTTAAGACCCACCAAGCGAAAAGGGCCCGTTGTGGGGCGGCGGGGCTTCCTGCACGGCGGTATGGGCGGGGTGGGGCTTGCCGGGCGAGTCAGTTGTTGTATCCTCAGCGCGCGCCCTATTAATGGATCCTTTCCCTCTGATATCCTTTCTGGTGTATGTGTTGAAGAAGATGGGAGGATTGGTCGTGGGGAACCATGTCAGTTGATGGCTCCAAGTTCTACGCCCCTACACGACGCTTTCGGCGGTTAGGGTTCCTGTTATGGCTAAGAAAGGATCCTGATGCGGGTGCTGTCTGTGCTACTGATGCTTCGCCTTCGGCGTCGGCGTCGGCTTGGATATTGACTTGTCGCCTCTCGGAGCGGTATTTGGGCTGGACCTGACCACCTCAACTTGCCGCTACGTTAACTTGATCCCTCGACTTCTACCTATACCTATCTGAACTATTATTCGAATCGCTTAATCCTAAGCCTCTGTGCTATCAGCATAGCCTCCCAAACATTCCTTATACTCCTATTATTATTATGGCCACTCGACCCCGCCTTAACGATCCTTTGCTGTTAATTGGGAAGAACTACATCAACGGTGAATGGACAGAATCGACTTCTGGAAAGACCTTTGAAGTGACAGGTAAGCCTATGGATTACATTTTCGACACCTCTCAGTTTTAATAATATTTAAGATCCTGCTAGCGGTAAATTCATCGGATTATGCCCGGAGTCTATTGCTGCCGATGCAGAGCAAGCTATTTAAGCAGCAGCTGCTGCTTTGCCTGAATGGCGTTCCAGATCCGGCCGCAGTTGCGGACGGATCCTCTGCAAATGGTACGACTTGATTATCCAAAATCAAGATGATCTAGCCACTCTTATTACTTGGGAGAATGGCAAGGCGAAATTAGATGCCGCTGGTGAAGTCCAGTTTGCGGCTAGTTTCTTTGAATGGTTCTCCGAAGAAGCTGTGCGTGTGTACGGCGACGTGATTCCCCATAGTAATACCGCTATGAGGGTGTCTGTGATGAAGGAGCCTATCGGGGTTTGTGGACTAATTACTCCGTGAGTACCTTATCCCTCTTTATCGGACTAACTCGCTGAGTGTAATAAGGTGGAACTTCCTAGCAGCTATGATTACCAGAAAACTCGGTCCCGCCCTAGTAGCCGGTTGTACAGTAGTTACAAAGACAGCCGGCGAAACCCCCTTCACCGCTAACGCCCTGTTCCTCCTCGGCGAAAGAGCCGGTGTTCCAAAAGGCGTCATCAACCTCGTCTGCGCTCTTAATAATACACCTGAGATAGGAGCCACCATCTGTGCCTCCTCCATCGTTCGCAAGATCTCCTTCACCGGCTCAACCCGAGTCGGCAAGTTGCTAATGCAGCTCTCAAGTCCGACTTTGAAGAAGCTGAGCTTGGAGCTGGGAGGCAACGCTCCTTTTATTATTTTTTATGATGCAGATTTGGATCTTGCGCTTGCGGGGGTAGCTGCAAGCAAGTTCAAATCTTCAGGGCAGACTTGTGTATGTGCAAATCGCATCTTTGTTCAGAGTGGTGTGTATAATGCATTCATGGCGAAGCTGAAGGAGGCGGTTGACAAGTTTAAGCTTGGGCATGGGTTTGAGGAAGGCACCACGCATGGACCGTTGGTGACGCCTAGTGCTGCGCAACGACTGGCTGGTCTTGTGGAAGACGCTCTCAAGGGTGGTGCCCAGCTTGTTTCTGGCGGAAATGCACGACCAGATCTTGGTAAGCCCCAATTTGAGCCCCCACCAAGCCTTTTTCACACGATTGACCTTTGCCGAAAGGTCCTAATTTCTTCGAGCCCACGATTCTCACTGGCGTCAAGCCAGATATGAGAGTCGTTACGGAGGAGATCTTTGGTCCCATCGCGCCCGTCATGTCCTTTTCTACAGAAGAAGAAGTCGTAGGCATATCCAATCGATGCAACGTCGGCCTTGCATCATACGTTTTCACTAATGATGTCGGACGTGCTACCCGGGTAACAGAGACGTTGCACTTTGGCATGGTTGCGCTGAACACTGGTGTTATCTCCGATGCTGCGGCACCGTAAGTATTTTCTTCTTCCTAATTCCTCGACGTCTTGCATTTTCTACAGCTTTGCTAATACCTCGAAGGTTCGGAGGCATTAAAGAATCCGGGATGGGTCGTGAAGGTAGCAAGTATAGCATCGAGGACTACCTTACGACCAAGACTGTCGTTACTGGCAACATTGCTACTACTCATAGATCACATCTTTAGACTAATGGTCACTGGATGCTGATCTTATATAATTATATTGAAATCCCACCAATGATATTTCTATTAAATAGGTAAAACATTATATAATTATCAAGCTTGAAATTAAGGACATCCACTAGTCCTGTGAAAAAAATAGGACCAAACATCAGGTCAGATCGCTTGATCCGCTAACCTCTTATTACGATCGCTGGTTTATTGCCAGGACGGAAAAACGGAGTGCTATAAATAATCATGCAAGTTGTCAGCTGGTCAGTCTGACTTGGAGGCTTGGCCCATGCCTGGCGTGGGGCTTAGACCCCTCTCAGAGATTGCGACCGCGTCCTTAGATGACGAAACATAGGCCGTGAGCATACTTTCCAAACATACATCGTAGGGTTGCTTGTTGGTTTGGGTGGCATATTTCAACCGTGCGGTCGTATAATGAGTGCTGCCGGTTGTAGTATTGGAATTGCTGCTGGGTCGACGGCTAGTCCTGGCCTGGCTGGAAGCAGCAAGGATGATGATGACGATACGCTGGAGGGGAGTGAAGATCCGACTACCATGGACCATGACAGAGAGCGGCGAAAATCGTACACAATGGCCTGGATATGTGCGCTGCACACTGAGGTTGCGGCGGCCCAGGCCATGCTGGACGAGACGCATCCCCCGCTCTCGGCGCTCAACGGCGACGGCAACGCGTACACTTTGGGCACCATCGAGAAGCATCGCGTTGTTATCGCATGCCTGCCAGTGGGACAGTATGGCACCAACAACGCGGCCAACGTTGTGACGAACCTGCGCCGGACTTTTCCATCCATCCGCGCGGGTTTGATGGTGGGCATCGGCGTCTTATACGAGGATTCGAGCAGTAGTGAGAATTAAGGTGAATTAACTTGATTAAGGAAGAAGAGTATATCTCGAGGCTATAACTAAGGAATCCCTTCTTATAGCTGGGGCCTTAAACTGGTTGTATTATATATAGCTATAGGGTAGGTAAAAATATAGCCTACCCTATACTATTAAACTTTAATACTTCTACTTATAATTAGTTATAAGCTCCTACTAATTAATAAGTCCTTTATATATATATCTAGTAGTTTTCCTTCTTCCTTTAATACTATATTAGTTTAATATAGCTTTTACTTCTAGAGTTACTATTATCTTACTATTTTAAATTACTAAATCTTATCTAGATTTCTATTCTTTTTAGTATATAAATAAAATACTTTCTATCTCCTATAATTAAATAATTAACTAAGTACTAGAGAGTAAGTTTCCTTATTTATATATATTATATCTAGAGGAAAAACTTTTATTATAATCCCCTAAGAATTATAATAATTCTAAGCTATTACTATTTTTTCCTTATTTTAAAATAAAAATCTAGATTATAAATTACTAATATTTTCCCTATTCTATTTTAAATTATAACTATAGTAAAGTAGTACTAATATTTCTAGTTCTAATTAGAATTAATAATCTAGTTTACTATTTTAATACTAAAGAACTTAATCTAATAGTTTTTATTACTTTTATTTAAATAGTAAAACTCTAAAAGTATATTTTAAATCCTTATATTAGGAATATACTAGTTCTAATTTATATAATATATTATATTCTTAAATAAAATAACTTTAGAGTAAATATAGGGTATTCTATTATAGTTAATAAATTAGTTTAAGTATTTCTAGAGTTTAACTTTCTAGATATTTAGATTCTCTAGTAACTCTATAATTAGAATTAATTATTATATATCTATTCTCCTATTTAGATTAGTTAGATTTAGTTAAAAGATAGATATTCTATATTAATTCTAGGATTCTAGATTTATTAATCTCTTTTATATTTCTTTATAGTATATAATTAATTTAAAGTAAAGTAGTTAGTATTATTATTAGCTTTTTTCTTTAATATTTATATTTAGATCTATATTTTTCTACTAATTATATAATATTATTCTCTACTTTAGGCTCTATTAAGCCTAGGGATCTTTTAAAACTCTTAAAAGCTAATCTAAATAATAGTTTAGTAAGCTTATTAGCTATTTATTATTTAGTTAGAATATATTTAAACTTAATAATCCTTTTTTTAATCTATTCTCTTATAAAATAATACTATATTTTAATATACTTAGTTCTAAAATAAAACTATAGGTTCTTAGTTATTATAATAGTACTTTAATTATCCTTATAGATAGTTATTATTTTTAATATTATATTCTTTCTAAATAGTTCTCCTACTAGCTATTAAAACTATATAACTTCTTTTATAGCTTATATCTAATTACTATATTTAGCTTTATATATTAAGAGGGATATAATAGGTTATTATTTAAAACTCTAATTAATACTTTTAGTTCCTAGATTAAAGATATAATTAATAGTTAATCTCCTTATCTCTTTATTATTAACCTAGTTAGAGTTTATATATCTAGTAAGCCTTTATAATAATACTTTAAGTTATAACTCTAGGTTCTAAGTTCTTTTAAAATATCTAAGAATATACTTAGTAATTTTCTTATATTTATATAATAGATTAGCTAAATATCTACTATAGAGAGATACTATATATACTATATCTAGTTATATATCTAGTATAGTATATATTAATAACCTAATTACTTTAGTATACTAATATTTAAGCTTTTAGCTAGCTATATATTCTTTCTCTCTTAGTTTAAGGGCTTTAATAAGAACTAAGGTTATTACTAGATAATAGTTTTTTATTCTAAGATTATAGAGGATTTTATTAAAATAGATAGTTTAAAAGAGATAGATCTATTAATTCTTTCTATTCCTATAAACTTTTATATCTAAATAATACTTATATAACCCTAGATTAGCTATTTAAAAGTACTATCTAAGTATAATCTTAATCTACTTAATCTTTTCTTAAAATAGTTTAATAATAATTAGCTTATCTATATAGATAGTAATAAATATAGTACTCTTTTTAAAGATAGTAGGATTAGATTATAGAGATAAAAATCTAAGAGATATAAGAAATACTATAAGAGTTTTATACTAAATATATAGTATTTACTTTAAACTATAGAATATTTTTATTAACTTATATATATATCTATTATTATTATTAAAGCCTTTTAGTTATTCTATAAATATTTTCTTATTAATTAATTTATAAAAAAATATAATTTTAATATCTATTTATTTAAATTTAAAATTAAAAGTAATAATAATAATAAATAAAGCTTTATAGTTTATAGGTTTAATAATAGAAATAAAGATCTTATTATAGTTTAAGCCTTCTAATTATTTAAAGCTTTTAATTATAAATCTTATCTTATACTATATAAGTTTACTAAGCTTATTACTTTTACCCTTATAAATCTATTTTCTTTAAAGTACTTTTTAATTATTAGGCTTTTTTATAAGCTCCTAAACTCTATTTTCTCTAAGAAAGCTTATTTTAATTTTTATAGTTTATCTCTAGTTATCTTAGTAAGTACTATATCTAGTATTATAATATATTTTTAGCTTTATAAGTTTTTAAATATCCTTAGCTATTAGCTTAAGATATAAGTATAAAAGTACTATCTAAGAGTTTTAGATTACTTTTTTAGCTACTTTTTTAATTATAAGTATATATCTCTTAGATAGTATATCTTTTATAGATTAGAAAATCCTAAGATCTTAAGAAATAATAATATTCTTAGAAGGTATAAAGTAAATATTTAGATTATTAATTTAGATTAGATTAATTACTATTTTTTTTTTATCTTTATTTAAAGTAAATAATAATATAACTATATCTTTACTACTATTAGAAATACTTAGAGTTACTTCTTCTTTTAAGCTATTATTTTTATTANATAATAAGTTCTTTAGACTAAGCTTATATTATTATTATAATATATTTATAAATAGGTATTATTAATTTAATAAGAAGTAATAATAGGTTTTAATTATTTAATTAAATATTAATTTTTTATTTTTTATTTAAGTTAGAATTATTAGCTTTTACTTTTTACTTTATATAGATATTAATCTTATCTTTAGATATCTTTTAGCTTATAATATTCTCTATAAATACTATATTATTAGAAATAAAAACCCTATTATCTTAATTAAATAGAATATAGTTCTAAGAGCTTTAATAGTTTAGTAACTAGTATAGAGTTTCTTTTAACTATATCTTTATATATTTAGACTATAGAAATAATATCTATCTTCTAGAGCTTAGGATCCTATAGTAGTTTATATTAGAAGAATTATTATATTATACCTTATAGGGTATTTTATTAGGTAATATATTATTTAAACTAATATTCCTAATATTATTAACTATTTTAGTTATAATTAGCTACTATTTAAAATTAAAATTACTTATAAGTAAAATAAAGATAACTTTCTTAAGAAGAATATAGTTAAATACTTCTATTAGCTTATTTTACTTATATTACTTAGTAGCTATATAGATAGTAATAATATTCTTATTTTAATAGTAAAATAAAAGTAATTTAAATATATTTTCTCCTACTTAGTTTATTCTAAGGTAATAGTAATATCTCTTAGAGTATTTATAGGTATTAAATAGCTATTTAATAGTAGTTTTAAAATTAGACTTTTTCTAGATAGGAAATATTTATAAATATTAAATAAAGTTATTAATAATATAGATTATATAGTAACTTTTATTATAACTTAATATACTATATAGTCTAATAATATCTATATAAAGGCTCTTAAGTAGATATATACTCTTTTTAATAGAATATTAATAGGGAAATTTCTTAATTCTTCTCTCTATATAGTTATAGTAGAGTTCTAAGTATTTTATAGAACTAATACTAATTAATATAAATATAAGATACTTAATATTATCTTTTTTAAGATAGGTAAGCTACTAGTATTATATATAAAGATTTAGATTATCTAGAGAGAAAGCTATTATAATTATTATACTCTTTTCTTCTATTATATTAATAAGGTAGATCCTACTCTTTTAAATAGTTAATAATAAAATCCTCTTATTTATTATAATTATAGTTTTTCTTTTTTAAATAATAATTATTATACTCTCTATTTTTAGAATACTAACTAAGATTAGATTATATATAGCTTTAGGAATAAAAAGAGTATTTTTAAGTAGAAATAGTTAAAACTTACTATTTACTCTAATATCTAGTAAGCTAATTCTTTTATCTTATAGGGTAATAGTAATACCTCTAATTTCTTATACTAATAGATCTAACTTCTAATTAATACTTTTAAAGTTTCTTTTCTAATATATAATATAACTTAAGTATTTAGTATTAAGAATATAGACTTCCTTTAGTAATTATTTATTTAAAGGTTATTACTAAACTAGGGTATTAAAAGTAAAACTAGTTTTAATAGTAAGTAGTTATAAGCTTAACTATCTATCTTAGAGGAATACTATAATAATTATAATATTATTATTTTATAAGTTCTTAGTATTTTACTTTTACTTTTACTTCTTTACTTAGTACTTATTAAATTTCTTCTTCTTTTCTAAATAAAGTTTCTAGTAGTAATTAGCTATATATCTAGTTTTATTATAGTAAGTATAATATATTATTAATCTTCTTTTTACTAATAGAGTAATCTTATCTTATTTTTTAATAATATTTAGTTATTATTCTTTCTAAAGAGCTATTATAACTATTTTATCCTAGATAATAACTAGCTTACTAATAGATCTATCTAATTTTTATATTAGAAGAAAATTATAGCTCTATTAGAATATAGTATAAAAGATATTATAATTTAGTTTAAATTCTTAGAGGAATTTATTAATAAACTAAGGTTTATTAATTATATAGATTAAATTAAGTTCTAGAAGTTAATTCTTAGTTTTTCTAAGATTAGATATAAACTATATTATAAACTATCTATTTTTATACTTAAGGTTTTAATATTATAAGTTAAGATCCTAGAATCTAATACTTCCCTTAGGCTTAAGATATACTTTTATTATATTAAGTAGGGCTTTTATAGATATAGCTTTCTTTATTATTTATTATATATTATAATCTAGTTAATTTTAAATTATATAGAGAGCCTTATTAATTTTATTAAGCTATCTTTCTCTAATCTCCTAGTTAGCTATTATTAGATTCTTTAGTAATTATAATTCCTTAATATTTTAATTTAGTAGGTCTCTATATCTAGTTATTTCTAGAATATTCTTAATATCCCTAATTCTTTTAATAGCTTTTTTAGCTAGATTTAACTTTAGAAGTAATATAATAATACTTAGAAACCTAGTATAATTTTTTATTAAGAATATATTAGATAAGTAAGGTTTATATATTAAACTTTTAAAAATAGAAGAGGAGTTTAGGAGTTAGCTATATAGTTTAACCTAGAGTTAGTTTTTTAATAAGTTAGTCTGATATAGTATTATTAGGAGCTATAGAGCTCCTATTTATAGTATTATTAGATACTATAGAGCTTCTATTATTTTTAATATCTATTATAAGGGTATTATTAAAGGTTTCTAAGTTCTTATTAGGAATAGAGATAACTTCTAATCCTTAGATATTAATTAAATTTAGTATAGAAGGAATATTTAGAGGGTCTAAAGAGTAATTAAGATTTTATAAGTACTTAGTAAATCTAGATTCTAATTTTAGAATATATTTATTATCTAAGAATTCAGATTTAAAAGCTTTTTTATTCTAATAAGCTTCTAGCTTTAAGATAAATATAGAGTAATAAAATTTATAAAGAAATCTAAAGATAATTAGCTTAACTAAGGGTTAAGATTTAAGGTTATATTAATATATCTTATAATCCTTTTATAATTAATTAATATCTTTTACTAATTATATAATTAGATTAATAGTTAAATTTTACTTATCTTAAAAAAGAGAAGATTAGTAGTAATTTTCCTCTTTTTCTAGAAATAGTTAAGTTTATAAGCTATTTTATTAGTTATCTAGCTATCTACTAGTAGTTAGACTAATAGTAGTTTATAATTTATAGCTTAGCTATTTAATTAGCTATTTCTCTTTAATTTTAAAGGTATTATATTTATATAAATTTAGTATTTTTATTAGAAATTCTTATAATATCTTATATTCTATATTTTCTAAATACTTCTATATACTCTCTATTAGTAGTTCTTATTATTTTTATATAGTAATTAAGTTATAAGGTTTAGAGGTAAATATAGTAATATATAGGGGTTATTTTAAACTTAGTAGAGTATATATCTAGAAGTATATATTTTATACTTCTAGGCTTATAATCTCTTATATAAGGATTTAAGTAGTAGTAAAAATTAAGGTAAATTAATTTAATTAAGGAAGAAGAGTATATCTTAAAGCTATAACTAAGGAATCCCTTCTTATAGCTAGGGCCTTAGACTGGTTGTATTATATATAGCTATAGGGTAGGTGAAAATACAGCCTACCCTATACCATCGAACTTCAATACGGCGGCGGTGCGCCATGCACGGCCGACGTGCGCTTGGGAGACGTCGTTGTCGGCACGAGGGTCACCCAGTATGACTTTGGCAAGGTGATCGCCGGGGGGGAGCTCAAGAGGACGGCAGCTTCGCGGATGCCCGAGTATAGTCTTCAGACGGCAACGTCTATGCTCCGGGCAAAGTACGAACGGGTTGCTGCGTGGAATGAAGAGAGGCTGGTTGATCGAGCCGCTGCTGCGAGAGAGGCTGACCAAGCTGCCGAGCTGGCTCAACTCAGGTCCAAGTCGGGACTCCAACCACAAGCTGACCGTCGTGATGATCAGGCGAATCAAACCCAGTTGCGTGCCAGTCATCGCGAAAAAGACGAACCACTACTAACCCTTTCCACCATCATGGCTAAGAGGCTAGACAAGTTGCCGGATTACTGTCACCCAAATGTCCCGGATCATCTGTTTCACTCCTCGTACGAGCACGTCCCATCGGCATTTGGGTGCGATAAATGCGACAAAAAAGAGTTGATCGCTCGAGAGGAGCGTTATTCAAGAGATCCCGTCATCCATTATGGTGGCATAGCGTCCGGGAATCAGGTCATGCGTGATGGCACGGCGCGCGATGCCGTAGCCAAGGAGCTCAGCATCATATGTTTTGAGATGGAGGCAGCTGGGCTCATGGATGTTCTACCCTGTCTTCCTATCCGTGGCATATGCGATTATTCGGACTCACACAAGTCCAAAGCGTGGCAGAGATATGCCGCATTCGCCGCCGCAGCTCTGGCTAGAGACCTGCTCGGAGTCCTTCCGCTAACAGTTGAAGAAGCTCGAGCCGCTTTTAGCATCGACTCTGGTAAGGAATACCGCATCTACCTCCTTGTTTGCTTTTTCCAAGTTAACTCTGACCACTCTAGAGCGGAGGACTCGAATCGAACGTCGAGAAAGCCTGCTACAGTCTCTCAAGTTTGAGCAAATCACTTCTCGAGAGGCCTCCATTACGGACGCACATGCAAAGACCTGCCAGTGGCTTCTGGATCACTCAGCGTACGAGGCGTGGCTAGACCCTAGCCAGACGACACGGCATCACGGCTTGTTGTGGATAAGCGGCAAACCAGGAGCAGGGAAATCCACGATTATGAAGTACATCTATCTCAAAACAAAACACCAAACACGCAAGAAGATTACACTGAATTCGTCCTTCTTCTTCCATTCACGAGGCGAGTATCTGGAGAGATCAATCTCAGGCATGTATCGATCGATTCTGGCCCAACTGCTTGAGGGGTTTCCAGCATTGCAAGTTGTGCTGGACAATCCAAAACTTGACATGGCCAGTAGAGATGACTGGCCGTTGAGCATATTAAAGGAGCTTCTCCAAAAAGCTGTCTTCTCTCTAGGCTCTCGCGCCCTGAATTGTTTCATCGATGCCCTTGATGAATGCGATGAGCAGCAAATTGTCGACATGGTCCAGTTCTTCGAAGACCTCTTGGAAACTGCTATGGAGAAGAAGGTAGAGGTGCGCATCTGCTTCTCAAGTCGACACTACCCTTATATCGATGTTCGAAGGGGAATTCGCATGACTTTAGACGATCAACTGGGCCATGATCAAGATTTAGCCGCATATGTCCAGGATCGGCTTCGGGTGAAAGGGCGCATGGTCAAGGAGCTGCATTCCCAAATACTGGAGAAAGCGGCTGGCGTGTTTCTATGGGTTGTTTTGGTTGTCGAGATCCTGAACAAGGAAGACAGACGAGGCGGACTGGCCCTGAAGAAGCGGTTGCACGAACTCCCAAACGGACTGAGCGAGTTGTTTAAGAATATCCTGACACGCGATGATGACAACATGGAAGAACTACTCCTCTGCATCATGCTAATCCTTTACGCAAAGCGGCCATTGGGGCCGGAAGAATACTATCATGCTCTTTGGTGTGGGTTATCAATCAGGGGTCTGGTTGACCCTGACATTCCAGATGCCAGTAACAAAGGATCGGTGGAAAGGTCCGTCATCAGCTCATCCAAGGGCCTTGCTGAGATAACCTCGTCCAAGTCATACCAGAGATCTCTGCGAGTGGGGAAACTCGAGAGACCAGTGGTCCAGTTCATCCACGAATCTGTACGAGACTTTCTTCTCAAAGAAAAAGGCATCTTTGACCTATGGCCAGACATTGGCCCCAACCCTACAGCTGCAAGTCACGAAAGTATCAAGCAGTGCTGTATAAAATATATGCAATATTGTACCGAGATCAATCTCACCAACGACTCTCTGCTGGACGGTGAAGTACGGACACAATTTGACCTGGCCGATGAATACGGCTTTTCATCTGTGTTTGACGCACGAAAAGTGCGCGAGGCTCGACAGGTTGACAGTTTCAAGTTTGAAATGGAAGACGACATAGAGCATGACTACGTGTTCCTTGGCTACGCAAGCGAAAACGTTCTCTACCATGCAAATGCTGCAGCTGCCACATTGCCCCAGGATAAGTTTCTGGTCGAGTTTCCCGTGACAAAGTGGATTGGCATACTGAACAACTGCCCCGGCGCCGGTTCGCGAGCCCGTTATCAACTAGGGACAGATATTCTTTATGTACTTGCCGATCAAGGGCTGTCGAGGCTGATCCGTACGCGACTTTGCGCGTACCCTCGTATCAATCTGCGCGGCGACAAATACCAGTATCCCCTCTTCGCCGCGTTGGCTGGCGGGCATCGCAATTCTGTCGCTGCCCTTCTCCGCCTGCCCGCCAACACCAAAACCGGAATAGACATAGTCGACTCGTTAACATATGGCTACGACTTTCAAAACTATTTGAACCGAACAATGTTGTCTTGGGCATCACAAGAACACCATACAGCGATGCTGGGCTTGCTCCTGGAGCAAGGGTGTGCTCAGGTCGACGAAATTGACCCGGGAGGCCAGACGGCACTATTAAGGGCTATTCAAGGCAATGACCAAGAAATAGTCAATATGCTGCTCGACTACGGAGCAGACCCCGACACAGCAGGGAGGGAAGGGACAAGGCCACTTTACCAGGCCCTCCGCGACAACTGCATTGCCATAATGAAGACGCTTCTCACAAAGGGGGCAGATCCTAACCTCTGGTGCCACGATAGCGAGCCGCCACTCTATTGGTGCTATCTGAGAAATAGCTTGCCCATGGCCAGGCTGCTCCTTGAACACGGTGCAGACCCCAACCCCAGGTGTCGCAGCGGGACCAGCCTTCTTTGTACCGCTGTTTCTTCACACAGTACCACTTTTTCAAGGCTGATCCTCGAACACGGAGTAAATGTGAATGAAACTACCGATCGAGGGCAATCAATTCTTGTCAATGCTGTAGAAGATGGTTACTATAGTATGGTCGCGCTCCTCCTCGAGATGGGGGCAGATACAAATGCGTGTGATACCAGTGGTATACCTGTGCTGAAATGTGCAGTTTCAAACGGCCATGAGAGTATAGCGAGGCTGCTCATGAGAAAGGGAGCACTTGCTAGAAACTAAAGCCACAGCTGATTGTATACTTGGCTACTTAATAGGCCTTATTTCCACTACGCCTTCTGGGAGAGTGGCAGTGACCTTAGAAGCACTGCTCTTGTTTATGGGAACGATAATATCACGAGAATAACTATTGAGCCTCAAAGCAGTTGGCCAAATAGCTTGCATTTACATATCGTTTGTCTACTTCCTGACAACAATCTACTTATCCATAAAAAGATCACGCTCTCAAGCAGAGAGGCGGTAGAGTAGGGTGCCAAAGCCAAGATCGTCCATACCCCCACCCGTGTTATAGTTACCACCACCGCCTTCAACTCCATTAGTCTTGGAGTTCACCAGGTCTCGGTACTTCTTGGTCCATGGCGCATCGACGTTCTTGATGTCGTGATAGTGGGCATAGATGCGCTCCCAGCCCGGGCGGATCTCGCCTCGACCATCAGGGGCAATAACGGTGTGGTTACCTTCAGGGCTGTCGTACCACGTATAGGGAACGTCTTGTCCGACGTTGTACTTTGAGAGATATTCCGTCCTGTGTCTAGTTATTAGTACTCTCCGTCTGTTTCACACCCGAGAGGCTGTTGGTAATTGCAGTACTTACGCATGCAGGGGTGCGTTGCCAAGGGCCTTGTACAGGTCGTCGCCCTGGTTCCATGCTTGCTGCATGATAACGCCGATCAACTGGACGTCAAGTAGCGCATGGTTTTGATCTCGCCCAGCCTCTTGGGTTTGGGCGAGGATGGCTCCGGTGCTGCTTGCCGTCCAGTTGTGGTAGATGAACTTGTTAATGTTTCCGTTACCGCGGCCATCCCAGAAGTAATTGATTGCCTCATCGTAGAGGTCCTGGTTCTCATTGAAGACTCCGATTGCCTGGACGCTGGCAAGGCTGAGGAAGTCCCAGCTCGACCACTGATTGATGATTAGTAGGCATATATCGCCGGTATGCATTTGCACTTACACCGTAATATCCATTCCCCCATTTGTTACCAGCCGTCAGGTACTCGTGGTTCAGCTTGTAAAAGACATTGTAAAGGACATTCTTGAGCTTGTTCCTGTCCGAGCCAGACCAGCCGCTGTAATCACGCAGCAGCTCACCGGCATTCGCTAACTGGGAACCGTAAATACCAGCCGCGATGTACTTATCACCAGTTCCCTCGATGGCCTTGAGCGTCGAGGACCAGGCATTAAGAATATTGATGGCGGCCTTGGCGTACTGGTCGTCCTTCTCGATGTGCCATCGGATACCAAGCTGGTAAGCGGCGTGGATGTCGCTAACTAGTTGGCCAAAGTTCTGCTGGTGCTCGCCGTCATTGCCTCGGTAGACTGTAGGCACGGGCTTGGGTTCCCAGGTCGGAGAGGCGCGGGAGCTGGTCTTCAGGAGGTTCCAGTCCGTCAGCCAGGGCTCTTCTCCCTTGTCGACATGGCCTTTAGCGCGTGACAGGTCCTTGGACGTGTGTAGAAGACCTGGATGGTTGAAGGCGGCCGCGGTGGCTGACATGAGGAATAATGTTGCAATCTTGACCATGATTGGGAGGATCACGAGGGAGAAGTCCCAACGTTTCTGGGGAGAGTGGAAAGCTGGCAAAGAACGGGAGATAATATAACCTTGATCTGCAAAGCCGAATATGTGCTGTGTATAATGCAAAATCTTAAATACTGAGATCCTCAAGAATGGTCGATAGATAGGCACGGCCAACCGGCCCGGGACTTAGCCCTAAACCCGAGTAAATTATTACCTACCAGCCAAGCCAGTCCTACATTTCTCTAACCTGAAACGTGGGGAAGGTTGCCGATCCATAAGGATTCCCCTTAGATAACACGTGAGACGTTCCGTTTTGGTGCCTGGAACTAAGCCTCCGAGAGAGAGCACGTCAACGGACGCCTGGCTGGCGCCACCCTGCTGCACTCCTAGGAGAGAGGCACATGCACACTGTGAGGCTTCTGAGGGCTCTTGCGGCAGCCTGCTATCACCCATCACTGTCTCTACTGCCAAATTTTATGCTGTCTAGTTAGCCTTGTTTTGGTGGAAGATCGTAGCTACTTCGAGCCCTGGATCGCTCCTAGTTGATCTGATACATGCTATCGTTAACATATCGAGTCAATGTCCCGATAGTAACATTTAACCGAAACAAACGAGAATCACTTTAACAGATAGCTATAGACCATTTCTACATGCTTATAAGCTACGGTTTACTAAGACTTGTTACTATCAGAACCCGCGGTTGGTTCCCGGCTTTTCAGTTCGCAGTCGTGAAACACGATTCAAAAACCGCAAGAGCAGGCGGCTTTAAGAACTATACTATCTTTGACACCCATTTTACTCCAGACTAACACTCCTCTGAGACTAATTTCGCTGACTGATGAGCATTTGCATGCTGCTGTACTTCAGTGATGTAGTTGTCGAAATGTCGGAGGGGAACTCTCTTCTCGAACCTATGAATGGGTGTGAGCAAGACTGCAGCTCAATTCAGGGTTTTGAGGCGGTTAGGTTCCTTACATTTCATCTATCTCCGCGGGTGTCCTCCTCGCTACTTCAGGTAGGATGAGCCACGCGATAATGACAGCCACCGTGCCTGTGCCGGCGAAGCTGACTTCTTGTAAGCATAAATCCAGGGTAGGGGGAGATCACAGGTACGCAACGTACAAGAAACCAGTTTTGACGCCCCATTTGGTAGTGCCGCCGTTAATCATAATCGGAGTACAAAAACTGAACATGATGGCAAATAGATTGGTTGCGGCCAGAGACCATCCCGCTGTCTGAGCCCGTAGGCGCTGCTGGGGAATCTCCGCAGCGTAAGCGTACCCTATCGCGGACGCACCGGTGGTGGAAAAGGTGGCCAAACAAGCAAAAAATATCTTCGGTTGTCATGTCAGCATAAATCATCGCCAGTCTTCCAATTTGTCTACCAGTTGGTCTTAGTTGCCACAAGACTTACGAGCAAGGAACTAGTCGTCTTCTCAGTATAGTCGAAGCAGCCTATGATGCCTAGACACAAGACAGAAATGACTGTTACAGCGTACGGGTAGATGGTTAAGGGCCGTCGACCAAGCTGGTCGGTGAGAGTTGCAGTGACGACCATAGATACCAATTGCACCGCTGAAAGGATTAGAGTCACGAGGAAAGGATCTTTGTTCCCGGCGTATTGAACTAGGACAGCATGAGTAAATACCCCTCACAGCAAGCAGAGAGATTACACTAACAAAAGTAAGTTGCGTAAGTGTTGAAGACTGCTAGGCCAACAAATTGCTGGGTTAGCTTGGGCCAGCCGGATATAATAAAACGGATGAGGTTCCTGCCGTGGAAAACAGCAAAGGGCCCCAGTTCATTGTTAGTCTCAGCTTGTTGGCGCTCGATAGCAACGGTTGAGGTCATGATTTCCTAAGACATCCTGGGTCAGTATATCAAACCCGTTGTAAATAAGCAGTGTGAGTGCAGTGCAATCTACTGGTGGATGAGGAGAAATGAGAACAGGAATTACTGACGATTTGTTGGTCAATGTTGTAGCCATCGACCGCACCGTAGCATGTATGCAGGACTTGATAGGCTTTCTCGACCTTGCCTTTGCTGGCCAGCCACCATGGTGACTCAGGGATGACCAAGAATATAACCAAGATGAGACCAATCATCCCCCACTACAAATATGCCTGTCAGAGCGACGTATTAAATAAATCGGGCGTGAAAACAAGGCCATACCTGTGTATAAATTGCGGCCTTGTAATCAAACGGATGACTCGCATTAAGTCTGTTTAGGGCAACGGAGGCAAAGAGTTGACCAAGAACAAACCAGCTATGACAACGTTAACACCTTGGATTAGTTTTGGCAACCTCGGAAGTTTCCACAAAAATTTTAGTTTAGGAGCAACGTGATCATTCCGACTTACAATGTGTATGCGTTGATAAAGAATCCCCTGAGTTGAGTAGGAGAAATTTCAGAGAGGTACAGGGGAAGAGTTGACTGCAGCATGCCAACGCCCATTCCAGATAGAAGTTTTGCGGCCAGCCAATGCTTCCAGTCAGCTGCGAAAGTCTCCAAAAAAACACTCTTTTGATAAGACATGTTGTCAGTCAGTGACGTGAACTGAAGGAGCAGATGAACAAACCGCCGTCAAAGTAAGCCAGATGATTAACATGGCAGGCTTTCTGCCGAGTCCTTCCGTTGCATATTGGAGAAGCTAGCAGTGTCAAAGTCATTCCTCAAGAGATTCTCGATTTAGGCAACTGCTACTCACCACCTGTCCAACAAATTGACCGGCGGACTGAATCCCGCCCCAAGCAGAGATGTACTTGCCGTCAATTATGTTAGTTCCGGGGCCAGAGAATTGTTGGATGAATCCCTTGTTAGAGACAATTCCGCCGTTCAAATTAATCTCTGTGGTGCAGATGAGCAGAATGGTCAATGAAACTGCAAGCGAGGAGGACGTACGATAGCCGTCCAAAGAGGCGGAGAATGCTGCAAGCATAGCAATGCAGCCCACCCACTTGAAGCGACGGACACTCTGCCATACAGAGAGGTCATCCAAGGCGGACCGCATTACAGGCGCCTCTCCGTCAGCCCGACGGGCGTTTTGAGCAGCATCCTCCACAGTCTCAGAATTGGGTTTCGGTGGGGACATGATGAACAAACACAAGGGTGTAAGTTGAGTAAGTATCGAAGTGGCCAGGTAGTTCTTGAGAAACAAGCAACTTGCATGCCAACAGTTGGAGCAATGGCGGGTTATATGTGTGTATTATTTCTTCTGCAAATGCTAAGCTTATCCTTCTTGGACAGACCTTCTCCGCGTGTTGGGGTCTCCATGGGGTGTGGGGGTTTCTCCTAGTCGAACCCACTTCATCGCAATAGTTCAAGTACTGTTTTCCAATTTAGGTCACGGCGTGGCTCAAGGCCAATCCGGTGGCGTCGGTGAATGATATTCCTTTGGGGAAGTTCGTGTCAACGCTGAACCGAAGACATACCAGCGGTGCCGAATATCCGAATAGTGCACAAGAACATCGGCTGTATCTATACCGGGAAGTAGGCACTGACGAAGCGGTATGTCATCATTTCGCGATTCTCTGGACCGAGGATGACGGCCAGGAGCAGTGGGAGAGCTCTGAAATTCTCAAATGAGTCGAACGACCAAATCAGTGCAGTCTAGAAGCGGGACCTCAGATATTGATATGAGCTTGCTGGTCCGGCTATCCAGCCAGGGCCACGAGGAGATCAGTCTCGTACATTGCCACTCCGCATCATTTGAGATAAACTACCAGCCCTCAGTAATTCCTCCATCATGAAGCGACTTTCAGCTACTGCGCTGCTTGCGAGCTATCTCGGTCTTGCTTCGACCCTCGACTTTCATGTCCCCGAAAGCCTGCCGACCAACGCTAGTCCTCGGCTCTCGGTGGCACCCGTTGGGGTTTCGTGAGTGACTAGTCTGTTCAAGTTGCTTTGGGGTAGATTTGAGGGCTAACTAACACCCATAAGGATCGAGTTTTTCGCATTTCCTGGATATGTCACAAACGTGCCTGCGACGAAAACATGTCTTCAGAACCTCAAAGACCTGACAGGTACTTGGCCGCCGCTGAGAATTGGAGGGACAACCCAGTAAGCTACCTGAATGCGGCATTCATTGCTTCGTAGAGATGCTAACCAGTGCGGCAACAGAGATCGAGCCACATATGATGCATCGTCTACAGAGGCCGTGACCTACAATGTTGCTGATCCAAAAGACGCCCCAGAGACCCTCACGTTTGGTCCAAAGCTCATCTCCTTGGCTTCCGAGTACGGCGGCAGGGTGACACTAGGCCTCAATCGCCGTCTCAATAACCTTGCCAACACGATCGCGGCCGCAAAGCTAGCAAAAAACTCCATCCCCAATCTCCATGCCGTAGAACTTGGTAATGAGCCGAACTGTAAGTCAAACCAGTCACACATTTCCCGCCATGGTTCTAAGAGGTAGTAGTCTTCTCAAAGAACGATCCCATCGCCCAAGGAGCAGCCTGGAGTCCTGCAGCGGACTACAAGTCCCAAGTTGCATGGCAAGACAACGTCTGCGGGAATCTTTCCACCGACGCTCTGATTTCTGCTGGAGTCTATTTCGGGACCGCTCCCATGAGCATCAACGGTCTCACGGCCACTGAGGGCGATGCGAACCGATATGTGAAGCAGTACTGTTCTCATAACTACCCTCAATCTAAAGGCACGGCAGACCTTCCCAAGCTCATGGGCCATAGTTCGATTGCTACTCAGATTGCACCATTCAAAGCAGAGATTGCCGCAGCGAAGTCCAAGAACCGACCCCATGTATTTGGGGAGACAAACTCTGGTCAGTCCACGAACCGCGCCGGTTCTCCTATCCGAAAGCTGACAAATTGATCTATAGCAACTCAAGGAGGAGGTGGAATAAGTCAAACATACGGAGCAGCCCTTTGGATCCTTGATTATACTATGCAGAGCCTGGTTTTGGGCACAGAGGTAAGTCTTCATTCCAACATATCCATGCTTCCCATTAACACAACGTAGGCGTTCTACTTTCATCAAGGAACGATTGGTAACTGTAGGTTTCTTCGACCCTTGTCTTTACCTAGCCTCGGGCTGATTATCCTTCTTCGCAGGTGCGTACTGCTGGTGGGGAAAGTACTCAATGGGCGCTCCGTACTACGGTGCCTATTTTGCTACTCTTGCCCTCGCTGGGGCTGACAACATAGCGCCTCTTGATGACCAGACCACCCCTTACGCGGCGTACGTTATTTACAAAGCTGGCCGGCCTGCGAAGGTCCTTCTCTACAATTCCGATTACTACGTTACCGGCGTACGTTCTCAGCAATCGTTCAGACTGACTGGTTTGTCCGCTTCGACGGTCACCGCCAAGCGACTGACAGCCCCATCCTCAACCTCCCGGGTTGATCGCGGGGCTAATCCATCTATTGCTGGACAGACTTTTGAGAATGGATCGTGCGTAATCAAGGGCCAGAGCCAGGATGAGATTGTTACGGTCGTGGCCGGGATAGCTACGTTCACGGTCGAGGCGTCGGAGGCGTTGTTGGTTTACCTCTAAGCCTCGGAGGTGCCGAGAGACAATCCGAAGCGGATATGCGGATATTGAAAGATGTCGGATATTCCCTCTAGTTCGGTTACATTTCCAACTGTCGGGATGATCAAGAAGCTATCTCTATAGCCCGTCAAATTTAATTGCCTCTCCTACCCCTACCTTTGCCCTAAGTAGTAATCCCGTAAGTATGATAAGCATGTTCAGTGTAGTGAGATGGGATACTCATGTTTAGCTACGTAAGTCTACCGAAAAGGGCTCTCGGCTTGCTGAGAAAACTCTCCGAAGAGAAATTTGAGTTATTGAGTTGATAGGTCAGTGCCAACAGGTTCTGATTCAGCTGATAGGGCGGCTTGTGTAGCAGTAGGACTACAACTAGATAGTACAAGCGGCGCTCGTATTCATGCTCTCTACCTCAAACCGTCGCTAGTTCCCCCCACACTGGCTTGCCGTTCGTTCCCTGATGACCCGAACAGAGGGCTAGGCCTATCGCCATTGGCGAGGATCGTACAACGAACTAGGACTAACCATGACATTGAAATGGCCTGATTTCTTCATTACACCAATGATCGTAAAATTTATACCTCCAACCGTCGCCAGTTCTTCTTACACCAGCCTGCCGTTCGTCCCTTGATACTCCGAATAGAGGGCAGCGAGTTTCGCCATTGGCGAGGATTGCACAACGAAGTAAGACTAACAACGAAATTAAAATGGCCTGACTTCTTCACTGCACGGATGATTGTATGCAGCAAAGTCCAGGTGCCCTTCTTCACCCATACGTGCCTATTAATAGGTGTACGTCAACAGATTTGTCAATACAATGCCAGCATCAGTAGACAAAACCATGACCCAGGTACCATATTCTCCTAAGTGTAGACTGTACTTGGCTAAAAATTGCTTCAGGAGATAATTAACAAGCTCCAAGCCAATTGGGTCTGGGTTCCCGATTGGAATGACCATTCTAGCAGGAACACAGTTGCGCGGATCGTCACATTCCGGCGCTTCGTCCGACTTACCTCGCTCCCTACCAAAGCTCTCCTACACTTCACTGCCGACACGCGATACAAGCTGAATATAAATGGCACCCGTGCCGCTATCGGGCCGGCAAGGAGTAGCCACTCGATATGGTACTATGACTCTCTTGACATTGCCCCCTTGCTCAGGGTAGGGGATAATGAAATTTGCTTCATCGTCATACGTTATTTTGCAGCGTCCCGTGGCGGTATGCCATTCGAGAGAACTGCCTATCCGGGAATAACTGTTATATCAGATCCTTTCGCCGCAGATGATCAGTCCTTTAACTTCGATTCGCTGGAGGGGTGGCAGGCTGAGATCGATGATACCATTCTATTTCCAAAGGGTTTGTTGGAAGATGGCTTCCTCCATGTGAGTCTCTAATTTCGTTCTTCTTCACAAACAAGCTTCTTACACTACCGTAAAAAAAGATCAGTGAGCGCGTCAACCCAGCCCAACCAGCCAAGTCTGTCTCACCGGTTCCATACAACTTCAACACTCTGAACGGGGAACTCCCTCCTTGGCGCCTTCGTCCACGTTGCATCCCGCTTCCAGAACAGACGAGGGTGACCATCGGTAGCACTCGCAACTGCGAAGGTGATGTTCCGTCAGGACAATGGTTAAAAATGTTATCAGGGGATTCGACCCTTACTCTTTCCCAGAATTCGTCCTACAATTTGGATATTCTCGCCGACGTCCACTCAACGGCATTTCCCCGTTGGTCATTTACGGCCGCTAGGACTTGCCAGATCAGACTCAAAATTACATACTCTGAAGGTTATGAGTATGAGTCTCCGTCATATCCTTTCTTTCGTCACAAGGGCGATCGTCTGGACTCTATTAATGGCCATATCGTTGGCCCACACGACGATGTTCTGCTGAACATTCCGGCGAATGAGACCGTGGTGTATGAACCATTCTGGTTCAGGACCTTCCGCGTCATGCGATGGGAAATTGAAACCAGAGATGAATCAGTCGACCTTATCTCCTTCGCAGCCTCCCAAGTGAACTACCCCCTTGCTGTCAAAGCCAGTTGGTATAATGCCGATGACGACGACAGCAAAGGTATGTGGGATGTTTCCATCAGGACGCTGAGGAACTGCATGTTCGACGGATACTCGGACTGTCCTTTTTACGAACAACTGCAGTACGTTTTTCTTATCTTCTCGCCAGCACGACTCTGCCTGGTTTGCCTGGTTGACTAAATAATTTGCAGGTACTCTGGGGACTCTCGCTCGGTTGGCTTGTTCCACTATCTTCTCTCGGGCGATGATCGACTCATGAGACAGTGTATCAGCAATTTTGCTTCCTCAGTTACTCCAGAGGGACTGACTCAGTCCCGGTTCCCTTCGCATGTTCCACAGCTCATTGCCGGGTTCCCGCTCTACTGGATTCTACAGGTCTGCGACCACCACCTATTCTTTGGCGACACGGCGTATGCCCGATCCTTTGTGCCTAAGATTGACGGGGTACTCGACTTCTTTGATCGCCATATCGACTCCCTAGGCCTTGTCAGCGGTCTACCGGAGGATGTGTGGCAGTATGTCGACTGGGTCACCACCTGGGGCGCAACGAGAGAACATCCTGATAAGGGTGTCCCAACATCGGGTAGAAAATCGAACCGTCACACCTTTTTCAGCATGCTTTACGCCTTCGTCCTAAAGCAGGCGGCTCGATTGGTAAGGGATGTGGGCCGGCCTGGGCATGCCGAGGAGTATATTTCAAGAGCTGCATCCGTCGTTGCTGCAATCCAAAAGCACTGCTTCGATGGAGAGTTTTTCACCGATTCTACAGCCGATATTGCTGATTCTTCGGCGTACTCGCAACACTGCCAGGTATTCGGCGTGCTCTGTGATGCCGTAGCCCCTGGTGAGAGCGCGCGCCTTATTACTTCAGCCTTCGAGGATCCAGGCTTCTCTAAATGCTCCTACGTCATGAAATTCTACGCTCTGAGAGCGTTTGCCCTTGCTGGAGACGGAGTATACGAGTCGGCATGGACACGAACGTGGGAGCCTTGGCGCAGAATGTTGAATGAGTACAACCTTACATCGTGGGAGGAGGACGACGTACGCCAGCGCTCGGATTGCCACGCGTGGGGAAGCGTGCCGATCTACGAATACTGCGTGGAGCTGGCTGGCTTGCACATTCTAGAGCCAGGTGCGCGGAAGGTTTTGTTCAAGCCACGTCTCAAGCTGAGTCGACAGATTTCTGCTGTGGTAGCACTTGGATCGGACAACACGGCAGAGGTCGAATGGCACACGACTTCAGACGGGAGCAAGAACGTGAACTTGATATTTAAAAGCAAAGTACACCTGATAAGTCAGTTGCCTGGTCAGGATAAAAGGGACCATGGCTCGGTCTGCCGCATTACATTACTCTATAGCTTTGTAGAGTAGACATCGCACATCACGAAACACCAACAGTTCACATCCGCACCCGCAAGCTCAACTTCTTTGACTACACCAAGCGGATATCCATGAGACAATGAGAAGTATCGAATATAAAACAACCGCTTCATCGAGGCCGGACTTATCGAAATAGCATCGATTCGCCGTGTTTCAAGCTTTATGGGCATGGCCGCAATACCCAAGATGCTATTGCGCCCCCTGCAGTCTCGTACTCCTCCACTGAGCTGACAATCACATCTCTACTCTGGCAGAGTTTTTTCAGCTATGACAGGGCCCCCAGTACGCGAGGGCAACTGTGGGGAGCTGAAAATACCAATTCCACTATGTAGATCAGTTCGTGGCTGGAAAGGCGGAGGCTCTGTACCAATAACGGCCATCATTTTGCCAGATCAGACTGTTGGTTGGCTGAGATTTGGGCCGGAATTGTTGGAATGACAGCTATCAATCCCTCAGAAATGTATGGGAGCCCAACAAAAGATGGAAGGACACGGGGTATTTTCCGGTTCCATAGAGTATATCCGAGAGTACCTTTGGCCCTTTCCACATTTTAACGACGAAGACATAGATCGGAGAACAAATGAGATGGTTAAGACTGAAAGGCGATTATAAAAGCTTCCTGTTTCCTTGCCAAACAATTAGGCACGGTTATTATTGAGAAATTCGACATGTCAAATTGGGCCCGAACCCCCTTGTTGTGCTAACACGCTAGTCACTGCATGTCTATCACCTGGCCTGAATATTGCAGGAGCTGTACGGCCGTAGCTGATCGAAAGGTGACGATCACCTCTGCCAGAGGCTTGGCGCTCTAGACCCTTGTCAAGCTGAGATATGTCGCTTCTCTCCCAAAACCCTCGACTGTTCCTAACACCCAGAAGTTCCCTGATTGACCTCAGATTGAATCACCTCTGCCCGCCATGCAGTCCTCCGAGAACCCACTTACCTCCGATCACTCAATGACAGATGATATTGATCATGACCTTGATAACGCCTCGGATTGGGAGAGCACAAACATGGACACGCCAGTTCAAAGCTCTGAAGCCGACTACCAAAGCCTCAGAGAAGCTATTGAGAACAGCGATACTGCAAAAATCGAAAGCATCTTGGACGCGAATGCAGACTTGCTAAACGTCTCATTTGATTGCGAGATAACTGAGGACTCCGAAGCTGCCACCCTCCTAGTTACTCCGCTTGCCTATGCTGTGGCACGTCGGCTGGTCGATGTGGTCAAGTACTTCTTATTTGATCGGGATGTTGTTGACCGACCAACTCCTACCAAAGGCTGGTCAGCACTACATCTCGCTATCCGCTACGATTATCATGACAGCGTGGGTCTGCTACTAAGCAAAAACTCGGCAACAGACCAGCCAGATAATGAGGGAATGACCCCGTTGCACCTAGCTTCTCGATATGGGCGTGTCGAGCTAGCTGGGCTCCTTCTGGATACAGGTGCCAGCTTGGATACTCTCGACGATCAAGAATGTACCCCATTTCATGTGGCTTGCATATATGGCCAACTGAAAGTCCTTGAGCTGCTATGGGAGAAAGGGTCACCAAGTCAGATGTCTGTTGAAAACGCGTACCTCTTTAAGCCATTGGGCTTAGCAGTCATAAATGACAGGCGTAATATAGTCCCTTGGCTTCTCAAGAATGGCGCATCCATGTCACACCCAGGTGGCAAGCATGGGAAAACTGCCCTACACTTGGCCTGTTCATTTGGCCACTTCGAAATGGTCCAATTGCTTCTTGAGCAACATGCAAACATCCACCAAAAGGATGATTTCTCCAACACGCCTCTATTGCAATCATGTTGGGATCCGCAGCCACAAATCTTCGCCTTGCTGCGAGACGAAGGTGCACTAGTGTCGGATGTGAATGAACATGGCCGTAATGGCTTTCACGCCGTCGTTTTATCCGATGAGCCATTTGGAGAGGCGCATGAAGAAGTTCTCGGACTTTTGATCGGCTCAGGCGCTGATATCAATCACCGCGACATCTTCGGTTTTTCGCCTCTGTACCATGCTTGCAAAAAGGAGGAGACCGGGCTTATCGAGATTCTGCTCAATCTTGGCGCCGATATAAATCAGAAGACTACACCTCATGGACTCACCCCTCTTATGGAAGCCTGCTGCAAACCATCTAAGGAACCGGTAGAAGTTCTCCTACGCGAAGGTGCCGACACGTCCCCTGTTAACCCTCACGGGCTGACTGCCCTGTCCCTAGCATGCCAACACGGCCATCTCCATCATGTTGATGCACTGATGACAAAGGGTGCTGATGTTGCAGCCCGTGACCGAGACGGCCACAGACCGTTGTGTATTGCAGCTATTTCCGGAGAGACGCAAGCCATGCTGAAGATCCTGGAATCCCCACGGTACTACCCACTATATCCGGCAGATCCTACAGATCCAACAAGTCGAGACATCTTCATTACGGATGAGCCTCATACCTCTGAAATCGAGGAGCCTCTACTACATGCAGTCGAAAATAACTTATACGCGACAACAACGATGCTTCATGTCATCATGTACTGGGCTGTTGCTCATGGCCGTATCAACCTAGTCAAGGAATGCATATCCCGTGACCCAGAGGCGCTACACTGGAATCGTAAAGAGGCTAATTGGCTGCATGTTGCTGCTCAGCATGCCCAGCCTCAACTTATCACCGGTCTTCTCTCAAGCGTTGATGCATCAAAGAAGGCTGCGGGCAGAGTGACCGCTCTACACCTCGCTGCTGTTAGTGGCAGCTTAGAAACCGCCTCATGTTTGTTGGAACAAATAGGACTTCAATCTCGAGATCTACCAGCCAAGGAAGCAACAGCCACTGCAATACTGCAGCGTGATAGTCGGGGCAAATCACCTCTCAGTATCTCCATTTACCTCAAGTTTGAGAGAATTACCAATCTCTTCTTGGACGAGATCAAGGAATTCGGGACTTCTAACAAGAGTTTTGGGGAAACTCGTCCAGAAGAAGCCGCTTTCATTCTGGAACAGCTCGCTCAGTACGAAAAGCCTGGCAATGAGAGTACCTTGAAACACCTGCTAGAGCAGTGGTCCACAGTTTCATCCTCTATAGAGCTTGCAAGACCGATAGAACTAAAAAGTCCACTCGATTGGGCTGTATATTGCTCCCAAGCACCTGCAGTCTGGTGGTTGCTCTCTAAGGAAGGTTACTCGTCAGATCATGCTATCAACAACGCCCGCCAACTCGTGCTTTACTCGAAAGATGCGGGCATTGCAAAGATTCTTGATGAGTTACTACAAAATCCACTCCCGGCTTTGAGCAACATTGCGAACCCGATCGATGACCCTCTTCCCGAGTTACCGAGGCCTACGGACGCCAAGGATCCTGCACTCAAATTCCGAGGAACTATCGTTGAAATGTACTCCGATGGCACAATCAAAAGTACCCAGGATCCAAATCCAACAAGCGAGAATATCATATATGGCCAGGGGCCGGACAGAATCATGGAGGACTCTACAGATCTAGACCAGTGGCATTTGAATGCCCTGAAGAGCAAGATCAGAGAATTACAAGCAGCTCCCAGCTCTACTCGAGGTTCACCTAGCGCCCCCTATTCCAAAATCCTTCCAAATTGTCATGGCGATGATCAAAGCACCTCTCATCGTCTTGATAGGCGACTCCAGCTCCGTTGGATTCACCTTCCCGTTAATAAGGTAAAGACCACAGACTTGGTGTAGAGGTTCATATGATGAAGAGCTAACAGGAGCTTTCGCATAGCTGCACTTCATGCGAGTAAGTCACTAATCTATTATGCTTTTAGTCCTAGTTCTGACTGATTTCCTGTCAAGGATCTTATCGAACGACTTTCACATGACTCAAAACGTTCTGCGTTAGACCATCAAGCCTTAATACGCCACTTTAATCGAAGCTGGACAGATCTAGCAGCGGGTGGAGGGCAACGGTTCATGAAACCACAATGTGTAGTATGCCATTCAGATGATTTTACATTCAATTATCCCAAATGTTCTAATCATGCGGGTAGAGGGATGGTATTGTTTCCTCCACCACCAATGACTCGAGTGCAAAGCTCCAGGCGCACAACCATTGCACGGCTCTCTATGTACGTTCGATCATATCTATATAAGCATGGAGTGAATGGTACTGACTGTAATCAATATAGATGCCTTACTTGACCCTGGGCAATTACAGGCCGGAAAAAAGAGAGCATTCTCGCAGAGGCAGCGATATTGATACAGATGCTTCCAACGAACACACGAATCCAAACATCAGTCAGAGACTGCGACCAATAACCCACAGACCCCTGACACTAGATCAATACTACTACCCAACGCTGATTGACACAGATTCAAGGGATAAAGATCAAGTCTTATCACGGTATCTAGACGCGAAGGCCTTGGAAGCGCGTCGCGAACATGATTCAGACGGGACTCTAACTGTCAACGCGACCACTAGTCAGGGCGGAATTGAGGCAAGGCACTCGGCAAATATCTTGATCGTTGACCAGATCTGGATGTGGATCGTTGATGAGAGTAATGAGTCGGGGCCCACTTGTCAATTCGGCCAGGTTAGATAAATTAGCTATTTTTCCGTATCCGTAGAAAAAGACATGCTTTTCACCCCTTCTTATTTTCGCTTTTGAAAATCCCTTCTTATGAAAGATGCGTCTTTCGCAACCTCACGGCGGCTACGATCGGTCAATTGACTAGCTGTAGACGTGATCCATTTGATCAAATGAGAATACACACAAAACTCAAAACCTCCTTTTCATAGCTGTTGTGGAAGGTTGTTAGATTTTGGTGTGGTTGGCAGTCTGCATTTCAAGCTCGCTAACGGCTGTGGTGTTGTTCGTTTTTCCCCCAACACAGTAAGAGCACCCAGCGGATAACATATTGTACTAAGCTGACGTACGAATCTTCAGAGACAATCATCACAGCGTCGACCGAAACGAGACAACGAAATGAAAATCACAAGCAGAGTCTACTTCAAGCTGTACTGGATAACATGATATACGGCGAAAAGAAGGGCAGTTTTGAGCGCCCTAAATCCGTAAAAGCTATGATGGAGTTAATCCTCGGTGTTGCGACTGGCTTCTTTGTGAGGAAGCTCGTCCCTTTACCAGGCAACCCAAATGGCGTGTTCAAAACACCACTGGAAGTATTTCGAGAATCACTGCGAGACGTTGTACGTTTAGACTTTGTGAATTCATACGAAACGCCTCACCCTACTAACTTGAATAGGCCGATAGAGAAATTCTCCTCTATCAAGACTTCCTACGAGAACTCAAGGGCGAAACAAATTATCGCCAGAAAGAAGATCAATCCCCCACTACTCATGTCATCAGGGACATGCCATCAAATCCCCTTAGTACTTCAACAGAGCCCTACAGTATCTCACCTGAAGCTGATCTTCTTTACATAATACGCGACATTCGCGACGAGCTCAACATGCTCAAGTCCCTTGCCGACGATCAAGAACTTGTGTGGAAGCAGGCTTTTGAGAACCATGAGCTGAGAGGCTGTTTTGAGTATTACCAGCCTTGTACACCAATAGACGTCAAGAAGAATCTGGAAGATATGCTAGTCGAGGTAGAGACGATAAATGACTCTGTTAGATTTCCCGTTCCAGGACGTATAGGTATTCTCAGCTGAACTGAATATAGATCAATACTCTCCTTGACTTACGACAAAAGCAAGCTAGTATCAGACAAGCTAATGACACTGCAAAACAATCCAATACCATATTTGTCTTTACCATCATAACAATCATTTTTGTAAGTAATATCGCATCAGATTCTGTGTTAACTCAACGCATTTTGCTAATCGTATATGGGAACGTAGCTTCCCCTCTCATTCCTCGCGTCGATGTTTGCACTGGATGTGTCCAGCTTTCCACATGAGTCTGGCGATCTCAAGTACCAAGGGTGGTGGCTGTTCTCAATTCTCTGTAGGTTCCTATCAATATTCATGCAACTGCAAAGCTAATGCATAAGGGCAGTTGGCGTCTCTGCGACAGTCTCCATCCCTACTATCTTCCTCGCATGGAATATAAACGCTATTTCAGAGTGGTTTAAGCTGCGGAATAGAATGGGATCCAAAAGTGTGTGTCGCTCGAGGGTTGATGAGATGGGCGTAGAGCGAACAGTAAGCGGTCTTCAGGATTTCGCAGCGCGAACATTGAGTAAGCGACGAAAAGCTTTTACTGCATCGCGGGAGGGTTCTGAACTTGCGTAAGACCGACATATAGTCAAGTCTTGATGGGACATTTGAAGGACGGCAGAATAATAGTTACAGTTCACAGGTTAGGGCTTTGAAATAGATAAGATGAATTGAGCATAAAGTTAAAAACAACAACGGAAGATGCCAAAGCCTGACATCTCAACAACATAAACGCCATTGTTACCGAAACAAGGACACCTATCTCCAAGTATCACCTTTTGATCCTCAGACGGTATTTGAGATTCAAATTGCTTTCTTTCTATAGGAGAAATCTGGCTTCTTGTTCATCCGTCTTCTTATCCACTTGCTGTCGCTTGCAAGAGTCTTTACTTCGTGACTTCGTATTAAGGCTCTGTCTGTGCTCATGCACCGTGCTGCGCGACCAGGATGTCTAGCCTGGCAGCCCAAAACGTTCATTCAACCTTCAACTGAAGAAGCTCACTTGTTCGGCCCCCTGGAACTTGCCTTTTGCCCCAGGTTGTTTTCGGCAGCGTGGTTACACTGCTTGCAATTGGAAGCAGCGCAGCCCAATGGCCGTGGTGCAGCTGAAAGCGGGGACCAAGGATCATTGCGTGGGATTGTGAGAAGCCATCTCTGCAGCATTACGGAATCTGCCTCAATATTAGACCGGATTAGGTGATGGGGGGGGATGATGTGTGAGTGACCGATCCACCTGTCTTACTTGCCTTGCATGTCTTGCTGCTTCTTGGCATTGCTTTGCGTTAATTCCACCGCCATATCTTATGGTTAATGAAATCACAGTAATTTATTGAATTGGTTCAGTAGTATTATTATGGTGTCTCACGAGAGAACTTTACAGCAATGACTCTAATCAAGATATCATATTTATACTATACATGTTCTCAGCTGCGTAGTAGAGTGACCACAAGAACTATTAGGATATTGTCTTTTAGGATGTGCCCGAACTACCTACTCCAAGATCCCGCGTAAGTTGGATGTGTATGAATTCTGGGAATGCAGACCTCCAGCGCACAAAGCAAAGTCTCGGGCTTGCGGGATACCGTGCTATTGACTATCTACTAGGCTTGGCATAACATATCCCCTCCCACAATTGTGAACTTTGGCAGATACGCAAGATGCCAGAAATGGATTGATGCATCACTAGTGCTTCTGGGAAGCCAAGGATGGTGCAAGTCCCTCGTATCTGCGCGCTTTCTTGGGGGCCGACGATCCCTGGCGCCCGCACATCTTCACATATCCCGGGGGCGGGGCACATATCCCAAAGACCCTTGACCGCATATCCCGAAGGCAAATGGGCGCATATTTTTCAGCTCGAAGGAGTCTCAAACCAACCAGTCACGGTGTGGTGGGCCCAAGCTGAGACTTTGTTATCATCTGTACGACAGAAACGGCCTTAAGAGGCTGGCCGCCTCATTTACCGACCCGCGCCTCTCGGTCATCCTCGTGGTTCGCACTGCATTTAGCCATGTCGACGCCTTACCTCACATCGTACGCGAATGAATATTCGTTCGCACGGGGCGCCACCCGAGCCGGTGATGCTGCCCAAGCCGCCGATAATCACCGGTCTAGAGCTCTGGCTGAGATCGACGGACTCTTTGCTGGTTTCCAGTATCTGGAGAGGACAGAAGGTAATCAAAACTCGAGCGCTCGATCCTTCAGTGCACGCACTTTGATTCCAGATCTGGCATCATTTGACGACTTTGAACGCGATCTCAACAGCACAATAACACAACCGGACTTGGCCGACAACAATAATCTGCATCAGGACGAGAGCCGGGTCGCAGACAGTGAGGGCCAGCCTTCCAAATGCGATTGGTCATCAATCAGGGACGTCATGGAAGGATCCGAACATCACTGGCGAAGCTTCCAGCAGCTAGCGGAGAAGCTCAACCTCCCCGCCGTTAACAAAATTCGAAATCAATATGAGAACCCTCGTGGTCTTCGTGAGGCAGGCGTCTTTGCATTTCGCGAGACACTCTCTGGTGCAGCACCAAAGGACCTCAAGGGCGTGTTTGCATTTGCAAGCCTCTCATTTGTAGTCTCCCAACTGCTGTGTAGCAGAGGACGCATTGCAAAGCAGGAGATCCTCAAGGGCATCAAGGTCTGGAGAGACGCAATCCAGGACCAAGAAGAAAGAGAAGTGTTTCTAAAACTTGCGGAAGAGCTTTGGCCAGAAGCAAAAGTCCACTTCCATTTCATACCCCTCAACCTGAACCCAAAACATGTCGACCGCCTGCACAATTTATCGTCTTTTGGGGACCATTATTGGCAGCCACAAGAAGAATATGCGCCAACATCGCCGGCACACTTCAGTGAGGATCAGCAGGGACATACAAGCCAATTGACTTCCAATGTTGATTCGAATGCGCCAGAAAGCTTTAATATTCTGCCTACACATGGGAGTTTCAACGATCAGGAATACGCCATACAGTTGCTCGAAGAGTATAATTGCCTTCCCATGTGGGAGCAGGTGACAAGGATGACTGGCTGTACTCGAGAACTGTGGCACTGGCATGAATTATCATCACACTTGTCTAATGACTCAGGATCAATTGGAGCCACGGCAACGTCTGGCCATCTGCCTGGTCTGGATTTGACCAACAACACCAGTGTAAAGCCTCCAGATCCCGGGCACGATCCTCCAGATACCCCAACTTGCGAGCAACTTCAAAGTACAGCCGTCTTTTGCGCTGTCTCTACTTACCTCTTGAATTTTAGCAGGTTCTTCTACCTTCTATCTGGAGGTGGGCTCTCCGCAAAGAGCTTGCAATCCATCAAGGCTTTCAACGTGGAAAGCACCAACCTCAAAGATCATATCCTGGACATGTATCTTGAGCCATTGAAGAATAGCGGCATTACTCTGAGCTCGCAGAGCCTCGCCATCTGGGCAGTTGCGAGAAAATTTGTCAAGTTGGGATGCCTACAGAGTGTGCAGGAGGTCCAGGACTATCTCATGACAGTCGGAAGGGTAGGTCTAAGCCAAGACATTGGACGAAGACCAGCATTACTCACACAGAGTGTAGGAGATCCTACCGACAGGACAACCATTTACAAAGTTCTCTCGTTGGGTCTACTCTATAGCTGAAGGGCCTCTTGTCTCTGTGAGCAGCCCGAGTTGTATAAGTACACCCAAAGGCGGGCGAATTCGAAAAAAGAAGTCGTATGTGATTGAATGCAATGTTGTGAGCGATCTTAGGGCACAGCTAACCGAAGTAGAAGGACCTACGTATGCGAGACTTGTCAAAAACCATACTCCAGCTCGACGAACTTATCAAGGCATCGCAACAAACATAAGAAAGCACAGGTATGCCCTGCTGGGTGTACCTGGACTAATACCCAAGGAAGAGCGGATAGGCTGCGTGAACACTTGAGCAAGTACCATCCAGAGTATATAATAACTGGAAGGCAACAGCTGGTTGGCAATGATTGAAACAGGAAGCTTTGCAAACAGAGACCCCAAGAATATATAAAGTGAGATGTTTAGTATACAAGATGAACAACAAGTAATAATTATCTTGATAATATATGGAAAAGGTGATTGATTTTCTAAGACTGCCTCAAGAATCTAAGAGGAAATTCGTGCATTTATTGCCGGTTTAGAACATACTAATCAGTTACGATTTCTATTGCCACTTTCACAGCCTGAGCATCTCGATTTAACGGAGAGAAGAAAAAAAGTAAGGAGATTTTCACTTACATCACATCTCTAAGGTATATTTATAAACGATGTCTTTTTTTACTATACTAGAGTTCACTAGTCATTGTGTTGAGACCTCGGGTTTGGCATCTTCCATTCTTGTTTGACTTTTTACTCAAACTCTCCCCGTATAAATGTTTAAGAGTAGGAATGCCATGCAGTATTCTAGTGGCAAAGTCTCCTTTGCTTAACCTCGGTTTCATTCTTGTCGCAGTACCCCAGTTTGAAGCATGGTACAGTATCCTTCCGCCCACTCATATGTATACAACCCTTATTGTACCCGGTAGGCGTACGCCCTACAAGCGGACGTACGCGATCGGTCACAGACGAGTCGAAGCACCTAACACATGGAATACCTTATTGGCGTTTGACGCCTGCTAAGGACAAAGAATAGGATATAAAAGAATGGATTAATGGACTATATAATTCTAACTAGCTAACTGGGAAAAGGAAAATACTTACAGGGCAACGACGTATGTATAAGTACCACTAGAATAGCAGTAGTTAGACGCCCTTTGCCCTCACCAGGGATCCCCCGGCGTTAAATACACACACACACACACACACACACACACACACACACACAGTATACAACCCTTATAGAGCGAAGATTTCGTCTCCGTGCATCGCAGGAGCGATAGCTGATTCGATGAGCTGAATTGATGTGCCGACAAGCTCTACAGCTAAACGCAATATCACCTAAGCATTTGGTGTCTCGGCCTTTTCCATGACTGGTTGGGGCTTTGTGATATTCCTGCGTAGAATGTGTCGCTTGAAGAAGTATGGCAGCCAAATCCTCAACTCATATGATAAGAAATTCTTTGTTGGGACAGAAAAGACCTCTATATACGTGATTAGTAAATGGGGAAACACAAATCACGTCGGGCAGTACTAACGGTCTAACTCCTCCAATGTCATCTGTTTAGTTTCTCGGACGAAGCAGAATATTAGGATCCACGCGATGAAATTCAGTCCAGCATAAAAGCCGACTGAAGTATCAGGTCAGTATATCAGCCGGGAAAACCGATATTTGGATTGGTTAGTATTTTACTCACAAGCGCCAGTAGGAGTCATGACAGTCTGCATTCTAGGGAAGGTTAGGCTGAGAACGCCAGCTTCGGTCGCGAGTTAGCCAATAGATCATAAACTTCAGAATCTCCGACGCTCACCAAAGACGTTGTTGATACATACAGCCCAAGCCATGCCCTGTTCGCGTTGAATTGTGGGGAAGACTTCAGCAGAGTACTGGAAAGCAACAGGTCCTTCACCTAAGCAATAGGCTATTGTGAAGAGATAGATAAATCTTAGCCATATTAGCTTTTATCAAGTTATATCTCGTCGATTCGGTCTTACAAAATAACAGGTCCAATCTGTGCCCCACGGCTCCCTGAATCATTTAATAGCGAGAGTCCCGCGGCCAGGAGAAAGATGCACATGAACGGGAACGTCTATGAAACATCCAAGTCAGCCTTGATTTGGCTACACGGGCAGGAGAGCGGGAATGGCTCACAGCTAGGGTCAGAAATCTCCGCCCCTTTGTATCAATCAGGAAAAGAGTAGGGATTGTGAAAACAACTTGAATAGCACCATAGCCTAAGGATGCGTATAATGCCTCGTCTTGGGAATAGCCGACATTTCGAAAGATGGTTGAACTGTAAAATGAGATAACTACCGAAATTTGTGAGTATTGGTCTATTGCCAAATTAACCAAGCAAACTTACTGTTGATCCCACACATTTGTTGTGCCAACATCACCGTTGAGGCACCGTAGTTTGCCCTTCTAATTCGTGGTACGGCGAAGCAGTCCCAGAGACGAGTGAAATACCCAGCACCTCTCGCTTCCTTTAGCTCCTCCTGATATATGACCCATGAATAGTAAAAGTCCCTTGCACCAATGATTGGATGCGCACGGAGTTTACACATTGATTGGAATGCTTCGGCGTGCCGCCCGTGCTTCATCAGCCAGCGAGGAGACTCAGGGCAGAAATAAATACCAACCGCGAGGAGGAAGGCAGGGATGAAAGCAGAACCTAACTCAAGGCGCCAGGCAATATCCCCTACGTCCTTGACGATAACATTCGCACAGAAGCCGAGAAAGATACCTTGCTCAAAATGTTAGTAAGAAACAGTGGTCTACAATGAGGGTTGATATAATAGGTTGGTGTCTCGACCCACGATGGCAAACTCCCTTTAAGGGGTTAAAGGAAGGCTTACCTATGACGACCCAAAGCTGCCAGAACATAACGAGAGCACCTCTAATACGAGCTGGCGCCATCTCAGCAGAGTAGATTGGAACGGTAGCATTTTTAGCGCCAATTCCGATACCCATAACGAAGCGTGCTGCAAAAAGACCTTGCCACGACTGTGCGAACCCGGAACCTATAGGTGTGGCAACCAAACAGCAAGCTGTTATAAAAATCTCGCCTCGTCGGCCGAAGTAGTGGTTGAGGGGATCGACAATAAAGGCACCGCTGGAGAAGAGTCAGTGGGCACTGTGAGACGCTGCGAATCGAGTAGAGACCTGGCCAATTTTTCGAAACTTGACGATACAGGCATTTTGGTAATATAACTTACATAACTCCGGCTGTTAGAAAGATGATAGAGTTGATGATACCTACTATCCACTCGTCATTTCCTGGCTGGTCGATGCCAAACTCCTTGGGAAACGATAAATTGGCTCCATTAGCCCCAGTCTGGTCCCACCCTTGGGTGGCGGCTCCAACAGCGCAAAGGCCGATCGAGTACCATAGCATCTTTGACCCGTGCCATTTATGATCCTTCTCATACTGGAGGGCATGGAGTTCTTCGTTGGTAAGCTCCGGAATAGTACTGATATCCATCTCTCGGGCAACCAGGGCCGCTCGACCGAATAGTGCAGCATGCTCAGGCATGCCGTGCGAGTTAGCAAAATCGCATGCATCAGTGACGACATTATCAAGCGACTTGAGCTATGCAAAATATCAGCAGATGGGTATGTTTATGAAGACTCACGGCTAACCTTGAGGGGGTTTTCGACAATGTTTAGAGCAACTGATCGTGACCGCTGTTCAGGGACGTCTACACGCTCTGCACCTTGTTGCTCATGGTACGAGACACCAACATCATCTGTATGCACTTGCTTGTCCATCATGAGACTAGGTATGTGAAATCTGTTAAAGAAGGCTCAAGTACCCAAAATGTAAGGATTGAAAGGCCATTGTCAAACTGGCGAAGCTTGTATTAATATCTTTACCTCTGCTTATACACACTTTTGGCAGGGTTGATACAAAGTCTGCCTCATTACCGTGGCTACGCGAACTTGACGGACTACTGTATGATTCGGTGCGGGTCCCGAGCACCATGCTCCTCCATATTTCGGTGACATATACAACACTGGGGTTGAAGTCTTGAATGTGGGGTTTGGGGAACGTGGAGGACAACTGGGGTAGCGGGACCCGGGGTTTGGGTTTCCGCATTGGTATTTTGACAGTCCTGGCCGCCAATCCACTCTACCCAGTAAACAAACCCTAGACAGCGAATAGGCAGTAACGCCGAAATACAGGCAAAGGCTCGGCAAGTCTGGACTTGCGTCTTTCCATTTCTGGGCAAGTCTACAATTCCTCTTGCACTGGCGCTAAAGGCATTCATTGAACACCCTCCGCGCCTAAAAGACAATACATAGTAACAGCCCTACCGTAAATGACCACGTAGCTATTGCTTGCCCATAAGCCTGGACTTTTTCTCTCTTAGGACTCTTTATCTAGTTATTACAGAGAGACTTACATGGAAGAGTCAATCACTCGCTCGCGTCTTTATGCAGGCTGTGACAGGTGTTATGCATTTGGGAATCCAACGCGGTATACAGATTTGCGTTGTCCTCTCCGTTCCCCCAACTTTTGCGCGTTTAAAACGATTCTGGGACTTGTGGAGAATTTTTCATCAAGCTTAACTTTAGATGCATCTATCTTGATGTCTATAGCTGCTGAGCAGCTCGGAGCATCTACCGAGCTAGATTAGATGAACTCCTTTAAGCGAGCGCCACACACTAAAACGGTGACTCACTCGGTGGTCTACCCGAGCCTAATTTCATGACCCGACCATATCGACCTCTCAATAGTGTCACTGGGTTATACTTTTATGCGCATCGTCCTGATGGCGAACTGGGCGATCTGGACTGCGGGCGAAGGGCCGAGCGGAAGAACGTAACAGAACAGTGGACAGCTTGTAAAATACTCCATCGCCACCGAACTGAGCAACTATACATGCATATAACGTCGAAGAGTTAGAAGTGTCCTGTAACCAAACAACAAAGCACTCACGGATTGCCCTCGTTTCTTGAACTATTTCGAGCAGTCGCAAACATCATAATGGCCTCCGCAACAGTCACCGAAGTCTTGCAGCGAAAGCCCAAGAACTTTGCCATTCAAACCAACCCGGCGCATGACCTGCATCTCATCGAAGCCGACGTCCCCGAGCCGGGGCCGTCAGAATGCCTGGTCCATGTCCGAGCGACCGGCATTTGCGGTTCAGACGTGCATTTCTGGAAGCACGGCGCCATTGGTCCGATGGTTGTTTGTGGCGAGAATGGCCTTGGCCATGAGAGTGCTGGTGTCGTCATCAAGACCGGCAAGGATGTAACCAGGTTCAAAGTTGGTAAGTAAACCATTCCTATGATGAAACAATCATCTCGATACTAATATTCTGGGCCATAGGCGACAGAGTTGCTCTTGAGTGCGGTATTCCTTGCTCAAAGGCTACCTGTTACTACTGCCGAACTGGCCAGTACAACGCTTGCCCTGATGTCGTCTTCTTCTCTACCCCTCCTTACCACGGCACTCTCCGCCGCTACCACGCTCACCCTGAAGCTTGGCTGCATCACTTGCCTGACAACCTTAGCTACGAGGAGGGTTCATTACTCGAACCTCTCTCCGTAGCGCTCGCAGGCATTGACAGGTCCGGCCTTCGCATGGGTACTCCGCTGGTCATCTGCGGTGCTGGACCTATCGGTCTTGTGACTCTTCTAGCAGCCCATGCGGCCGGGGCTGCCCCTATTGTCATCACGGACCTGGACGAGAATCGCCTAGCCAAGGCCAAATCTCTCGTCCCTCGAGTTCGTAGCGTGCTTGTTGGGCGGGGAGTGGAGTCTGCGGACCTCGGTAAGAAAATTGTCGACACTCTGGGCGAGGAAGCAAGACTAGTGATTGAATGTACTGGTGTCGAGTCCAGTATCCATGCTGGTATTTATGTAAGTGCTAGATGAATCTGGTCTTGTTGTTTCTCCCGACTAACGCAACTCCTAAGGCTTCTGCGTTCGGCGGCGCTGTTTTTGTTATTGGGGTTGGGAAGGATTTCCAAAACATCCCTTTCATGCATCTCTCTTCCAAGGAGATTGACCTCCGCTTCCAATACCGTTACCATGACACCTACCCCAAAGCTATCAGCCTAGTAACAGAAGGACTGATCGACTTGAAGCCCCTCGTCACACACCGATTCAAGCTTGAAGAGGGTGTCGAAGCGTTTGGTGTAGCATCAAACCCTGCTGCGAGGGCTATCAAGGTTCAGATTATTGACGAGTAGATGGGTGGTTTGTTTGTTCAGCCATGGCACAAAATCAAAATAGAGTTTTCACGTTAAAAATTTCAGACCAGTAGTACCTTGAAAAGAATCCCGCCCCAGCTTACTGAAGCCCTAAACATGCCTGTGAGTCGTAGATCAATACCCAGCCCTGCGAAGAAGACCCGTTGCTCGAAATCTCAGACTCGGCCCTTTTATACTTGGCAGCAGTCAAGCACACTGACCAAATACAAACATCGTATAATCATACTTGAGTTCCTACTTTAGAACTATGAGCTCCACATTGCCAAGAGCAGCAGCAGGAACAAGAAACATGACCTGGACAGTCGGGAATTGAATATGTTGGTCCCTCGTTGAATGGGGCTGAGGATTCATGCAGAAGGTGCGAAAGTGGTGCCTCCAATTCGATGTCAATGTTGCTTCCACCCCCAAATCGGTATTAAGAAACTGACCATTCTCTCGTCTGCACTTTTGATTAAAGCGATATCGCTGCCCGTAATCGTTACATGCGATGGCGGCATATTAGCTTGCGAATCTACAACGTACTCCATCACCGTTTCGGCTGCACTAAGGTCAAGCTACTCGTCAGCAACATCTCCACACGAGATTTGTAGGGAAACATAGCCACAACATTAAACTGGTATTGGCTCGGCGACACCTCCGAGAAGCCACTCAGCCAATCAGACAAGACTCCGAGCTGCGGCAGCTTCTCCATCAACACTCATGCCACCCACCAGGCGGAAGCTTTTGAGAAACAGAACCAACAAGGACAAAATTTATGTAAAAGATGATGCAAACGATTGAAAAGTTATCTATAGGTGTTGTGTGCCCGAGAGGATCTAAGAACTTATTCTTCGATTAGCAGACAACCGCAACCATGTCTTTAACCGGAAAAGTCGGGATCGTCACGGGAGGAGCCCGCGGAATTGGGAAAGGCATTGTCCTGACCTTGGCGAAACAAGGTGCAAAGGTTGCTATCTTAGATTATCGGCCAAATGGAAAGCATCGCTGACTGAGCTTTATAGGTCGCTTTCACCTACGTATCGCAGTCGTCAGAAGCACACGCAAAAGATCTTATCCGCCAAGTCGAGTCCCTCGGCTCTTCAGCCCACGCAATCCACGCTGACGCTGCGTCTCTCTCCTCGCCCAAGAAAGTCATCGAGTCTACTCTTGCCGCATTCAACGTCACCTACCTCGATATCCTTGTAAATAATGCAGGACTCGGATCTGCAGGTACACGAATCGAAGAAATCACGTCTGAGGAGTTCGAAAGAATAATGGGAGTGAATGTTCGCGCTGTTATATTCATGACACAAGCGTTCGTTCCCTACGTTCGACCGGGCGGACGTATTGTCAACTTGTCGTCTATTTCTGCCCGAGGCGGTTTTGCTACACAGTCAACGTACTCAGCCTCCAAGGCTGCGGTTGAAGCTCTGACCCGGTGTTTGGCAACAGAACTGGGTCATAAATACAACGTTACTGTCAACGCGGTCAATCCTGGGCCCGTAGACACGGATATGTACAGAGCAGCCGGAGAAACACACCTTGCTCGTATGAATCAGCAGAACAAGAAGACACCGGCGGCCCCCCGAGCAGGTACTGAGAACGATGTTGCAGAGATCATCGGATTTCTTTGCGAGGAACGATCGAGGTGGATTACTGGAGATATTGTTTGTGCTAATGGCGGTATGATATATATTTGAGCTAGAATAATAGCACAAAGACATGCGTATAAGACCCACGAACAGGTGCCTAATAGACAAATAGACATGTACCACGAACGGAGGCCATCAACCAGGCATCCAAGTCCCCCAATCCGCATGCAGGCCCGTAGAGTCGAAACTTTCTTGCAACATGATCCCTCCAGTAGCATCTAGCAATTCAGCGTCCGAAGAACCCTGAGCATAAAATGGGAACGGCATGCTGCGCTCTCCCAGAAAAACTGTGCTTCGATCCTGGGCATCTGTATTGGGCTCGCATGTAGTCTGGCCTTGTGTGACCAGCTCCCAAATGGCCATAGAAGAGCTTTGCGGATTTTGGCTGGCCGTCGAAGATGTCGGTGCCTCTAACATGGACAGGAAGAGTTCTCTTTGGTCTGTGATCGTTAGCGAAAGATTTAGCCTCCGACGAGGACAACGTACCCAGCAGCCTCTCCAAGATATCGCGGGCACGTAGTGCCATGCTATTCGTAGCGCCGAGATTCCATAGACAATCCACAGCCCGCTTCAGGTCCCTCTTCCAAGCAGGCGCAAGAGGATGTGCAGGGTCATAGATGCAACAAGTTGCTTGCACAAAGGCAGCTGTGATCAACCAGTAGGTGGCATACCAGGCGAGACCTCGCGGTTGATTGGGCTCCCTCTCGACGTAGCCACAAATAGACTCGACGCACTTTTCTGCTACATCAAGACACGTTGAGATAGGCTTGACAGATATCTCAAGGCTTTCCTTATCCTTGATCTTTCGAAACAATACTGGTCTGCTGAGGATGATCCGGAGGTGGAATGATCGCCAGATGAGGATCCGCTTCGGGATTTCGAACCGCGCTTCGTACATCAAGCCTTCGTCAAAGTAAGAGGGGAGATCTTTGTGCCACTGAGCAATGCTCCGGTCCAGTGCGACGGCCCTGTCATGGCTTGGGATCTGATTAGCAAGAAGTTCAATCTGAACCATATTAGCGATTTGCGCCAGCCTGGCATGTTGCGCAAGACAAGAGGCTGTACTGGGCCCGTCTTTGGGACTGGGAAGGCTTTCCATGTCAACGGCGAGGTCCTGGTCATCGAGGTTGGAAGGAGGCCGGACATTGACTCCGACTAATGATGCGGGCGGTCTTCCGAGGGTCAGTTGAGCCCCAGAAACAAATACAAAAATGGCCCACCATACTCGTCTACGAATTTCCATTGTGAACAGGCTAGAAGACGGCAAAAAGAATTCGCGGTGAAGACCGATTGCCAAGGCCATACTCCAGCCGATACCGATCAGGACGAAGCTTGAATTCGGTTTATTCCGCTTTTGTAGGTAGTTCGCCATGAGAACAAGCCCTTGGACGTAACTGAGGGATCCTTTCTCCAGGACATCCATGGTCAAACTTTGTCGGGCTTTCTTGTAGAATGGAATGTCGCTGTCTGATGCATCAGTTGCGCCGACAAAGGCACCAATCGCGACAACAATGTTGTACAATAGTGGCCATGAGCCATCGCGTGGTTTGGCCAGTGCCCCTATATCAATATCCCCATCAGTGGCTGACCGTTAGGACTTCTAAGTAAGAGCTCACCTGAAAGCCGGGCGCGAAACGTTCCCTCATGAAGAATTGGGTACGAGCTATGGTAGATCTTGAAGTAATCGTCTAGATACCGTGAGATGTCGGCTGATGATGCTTCAGGGGTGTTTCGGCTATCTGTGTCGAGCGGGAAAGGTGTTCGCTGATCAGCAGGGGCATACAAGTGCAAGGTTTGAAGAAATTTCAGCGCAGCGACTCCAGATTGAGGTCCGGTATATCCGACTTTCCCCGGCTCTGTAACAAGAGAACCCATCCCGTCAGTCGTGTTATCAAAAACTTGGGTTTCATCAAACTCGTAATCTTCAGCGTTGCTCCATTCAGCCGGACTAGGGTCGTTGAGCGGTTGATTTCCTGCCGGCCCATATCGTGTCTCGGGAGCCTCGGAAAGCATACCAGGACTCGAGCTGGGAGGCAGATCCTGGTCACCTGATTCAATGCGTCGTATCGCATCTTGAAGATTGACTTCAGGCAGGTGAAGAGCCCAAGCCTTTTCCATTGATGCTACCAGTCTCTCGGCCTGATTTAAGCGCCTTTCTTCACTGTCAGCAAAGAATAACCTTGCGGGTCCTGCGGTATAAATCGGCCTTGCCTTTGCAGGGTTGTAAGTGACTCCAAAACTGAGCTGTATCTGCAGTCTTTCCTGTCCCTTGCACAATTAGAGCATTTCGCCCCTCCTGAGCATCGCACTTTGCGACGTTTGCATTCATTGCAGGCTTGTGCCTTGCGCGACAACAGCGGTCCGTGTAACGAATCGCCTTGTGAGTTACTCATTGTAGATACGTTGAGTAAGTTGGCCTCAGTGGCAAAATAAAGGACGAGATCTGGGATGCCTTGAATGCGTTGGGGAGCGAAAGCTTCTTTCTCCCCGCCCCTCATTTTTCGGGCTTGGATCATGAAGTGGTCTGTGCGAACCGACTTTCATGGTCTTTATTCAAGCCACAGCAGGGGCAATTGATAGGTGCGTTTATGACTAATCCAAGAGGCAGCCCGTACATGTGCCTTGCCAACCGTTTTGCACGAGGTCTAAACCGCTCTTGTGAATTAGACCAGCAAACACGATCTCAAAAAATGAGGGGGACAAGCACAAATTGCGACCTTTATCAGTTAAGGGGCGGGATTCTGGCCACGTCACAGTGTTTTATTTCCGTTGCTTTGCCTCGATAGCAACCATTTCTTGGTGTTATACTGCATAGGAATACTGAGTGCAGTTAGTAACAAAGTTGTTATTTCTATTGTTTTTGTTCTTCTTGTCAATTTAGGACCCTTGGGTCCCCTTTATCTTCAACTAACATGGTTTTGAGAAGATCTTAGAAGATGTTTTAATCTACTTAGGAGAAACAAAAAGAAATCGCAGCTCCTATCGTGTAGGGTGGATGTCATTGTATAAAAGGCTTCCGGTGTTTAGTTCATCTTCAACACTCGTGAACACCGTCTTCAGCTACTTTTTCTACCTCCTTCTACTTAATATATTCTAAACCCAGCTAGTCAATCTAATACTCCGAGTAGTCTCTCCCTCCTCCACAATAATCACGTAGAACATTCAAGTGACGCACGTCATCCCTCAAGCCAGGTCACGCCACCTAGAACGATTTGCCATAGAGCCCCGCTGGGAGAAAGCTGCGTCGGCGCCAGATTGTTGTTAAATGCTCCGCCAGCTCCAGCTCGTACACGCCATACTACTTTCCCTGAAGCGAAATCAATCGCTGTAAAATACCAGACATACTCTCCCTGGGGCGAAAGCTCGTCATCCTGCGTATACGAATAAAGCAACCCGTTAGCCGTGGAAAAGCTGAGGACACTGGTCGAGCGAATAGGCGTGTCCCAAAGAACTACGCACTTTCCATCTTCCAAAATATCTATGCGTGTCATGCCAGCAGCCAAGGAGGTGAAGTTGTTGAAGCTACCGTTGATGTCATCGATCGTATCAAGGCTCTGGATGTGGGGGGCCGCATAGTGATTGTTGACAACAACGCTGTAAGTCGATCCGTCATAGTACCCGACCATGGCATTCTCATTAGCACTGCCATTGCTCTTAAATATTGGAACCTGGCACACTAGGTTAGAGCCTCCTGCGGAAGGTTCCCCCATCACGCTGTCAACCTGTCGGTAAATATTCAGATTGATTCGATCGGGCGCATTGTCGGTCATTGCGACATATCTATCGCCAACCAATGCCGGGGTGGATCCAGAGCCGTTGGATAACCCACCAGGCTTAACTGCCCTATCGACTGAATACTGCTCAACCCAAACAGTTTCGATGTTTCCGTCAGCTACCACTTGGAATGCATACATCTGGCCAGCAGCGCCACTGGCCTCGAGATCAACTGGCCCACTGTTGGCGTAGACAGTTCTTCCATTCACCGCGATGGAGTTCTCGAATATCTGATTGTCGAGGCGATGGGCATGAATAGCGCCGTCTGTGGCAACGTAACCAATGATACCCGAATCGTCTGCCGTTCCAGTTCTTTTCAATCTGCCGGCGATGAACCACACACGGCCATCCGCATCATACACACTAGCACTTGTGATAAAGTCCGCTGGCAGCACTGTATTGAGGTTGATCTCTCGATGTTGCCTCAGAAACGTCCCAGTCGTATTATCAACGCGTTCTATTTCGATAATGCGGCCTTCCAAAGTGGGCATGAGAACAAAGTGTTCAGTGACCATACCATATGGGCTCAATAGAGTCTCGTTTCTTGGTGACCAACTCGCCAGGGTCTCCAACGTTTTTGGATTTAGTGCAGCTAAGCAATAATGATAACCGTTGTCGCCTTCGCAGATAATTCTCGCTGTTAAGCGCCCGTCCTTGTGGAAATATTGCGCCGACAAGCCAATGGACCGGCTCTTGACCCGAGGCTCCCTTCCGATCGGCGCCTGCCAGTCATTCACGCGGCAGTTCCCGGCATCTGCGTGGTACGTGATGGCGTCTGGCGAGAATAGTGTCTTCGCGGCGAGTTGCTGAGGTTCCGCTGGTTCTCCGATGAACAACGGACCTGGTACTGTCTGGCTGTCGAGAACAAGACCAGTGTCGTTCGGTGGAATAGGAGCTCCCTTCAGTGGCCAGTCAGTCGCTTCATCCTCATACCTAGGCCAACAAAGCGCCTGACTTACGAATTGACCGTAGCTAAAGCCAACTAACGCGACAAGCACCACAAGAAGATGGTGCGTGTACATGGGGCGGGGCAACATGGCGATAATAAAAATCAAAGGGATGTATGTGTTGTCGACTATAATGCATGGCTACTCAGAAACGCTCTATGCTCTGTGAATAGACGCACACGCAGTATATAAGAGGATAGCCATATGGGCATGTTGGTCCGTTGTATCGGCAAACGCATTGTCCGAGGAAGCCCGCTATCTTAACACGAACGGGGCTTACGGAGATTAATTGAGGCTATGCCTTGATCGCTTTTGGTCATGATAAAGAATAAAGGACCACCATGCTTGGCGTCACCCCGTTACGTCGTATCGAGCATTCTATTCTCAAGATCCTCAGTTACCCATGTTGCCTTTTTTGCAAGCCATCTCCACTATCTCAAAATTTCCAAGTTAATGCTCGTGAGCGACTCTCTTACTCGAGGTGCTAGTGGCCACGACCATGCAGCATCGAATATGGAAGCAATTAAAGGAAAAGGAAGACAATCTGGACTGCATGGTGCACTCTCATTGCCCTTGACGCAGCTGGACTGCGCTCGGAGTTCTACACAGCCGCACCCATCTGCGTCCTAGCCTAGAGTTATGACTTCATTCACTGATTTTTCCTCATTTCTACAGGCTTAGGAACGCTCTGAAATACATTGTCCTGGCCCCGAAACCTCGTATGCGGGCTCCGACTCCATAGCGTGTTCTTGGACCAGAGCCTGTGTCAATCAGAGATTATTCTGCAACCCCGTTATGATCAGTGCCCTTCGCGGTTACACTACATTCCACCTCTTACGTGTCAAGCGGGTCGCGGAACCGGGGCTAGATCCAAGAGGCTGAGTCTGAGTGCAAGTATTGTTTTAGCTCATCCTGTCTCCGCTCAACACGAATTAACACATCATGAGAATGGAGCATAGTATTAACTTCCCTTGTCGAGCTCATCAATTACTTGGCGGGCCTAGATTAGCCGGCCCCAATAACCGAAGTCGAAGGATTCCTTACAAACCCGCGTGCCCCTCCAACAAACATCTTCGTTATCGTATCGGATTCGGGTTCGGGTAAACGAGGAAGATACGCCACTCTAAATTAAAGTAGTACCTGATCGGTATAGTGGGAAAGCTGGAGAACAAGGATACTGTTTTCAATACATAGCCCTTCGTTCTCATGAGTTCAGGAGCCGCCGTGTCCAGTTCAAAGTTGGCCCGAGCAAGTTATTGACCCGAGCTTCTAGTCCACCTGTAGCTCTATTTTGATAGGCATTGTCTCAACTGAACCTCTGCTCGATTGTGTTGCATCTATCGTGATGGCAGACGAGTGGGCACAGTTCAGATATTAAAGCGGCGATATTACATACGAGAATCTACTTGTCTAGTTTTATATGATCGATATCTCCATTCCTATGAATTGTTTCTCTCTCAGCTATTTTATTAAATAAGAGAAGAAAGCGTTTACTCAGATCTGGAGGAAGAATCCACGGTGGGGGTTAAGCCTGCTAATCTAACTACATATTATACAAAGATAGAGTGACGGAACTCACCCAGTCCGAAGTCTTTGAATCGAATAAGGAGGCACTTCAAGATTATCTATTACCTCACTCCACTCGATCACAGCTCTTCAAGCAGTGTTTGTTTGCACATTATTCACACAAAATACCCGAGCTGACATAGTCATTCCTCGTACTCCGTAGTCTCTGACCACCGCAAATCGCCCGTTTGGTGGGTATTTCAAGACCTATGAAGCGATCTTGCGGAACATAATCGTCTTCGAAGCATCTGGGACGCTCTGGCAATCGTTAGTTCAGCACTTATTCGCCCACGGCTCATAGACTTACAAGTGCGCCATGCCACTTATTTTCATATCTTCCAGTAATACCATCGGGATTCTTCACCTCGTATTCTAGCAGAGCCACAGCCATAATCATTTTAATCTCATTCACAGCGAAAAACCTGCCGGGGCAGGCATGCCTCCCATAGCCGAAGGTAAGACTGGTCGCGCCTACGCCTACAAACTGACTACTGGCGACCACTTCAGCAACTTTAGCGCCTGAGGACTCCTTGTCCTTAGACTGCCGGAGTTTGTAGAAGCGGAGTGCGTCGAAGGTATGAGGATCTTCGAAAATCTCGTGGTCAAAGGCTATGCCTGCGGCAGGAACCTCTAGAAAGACCCCCGAGGGCATATAATGGCCATTCGACAGAGTGAACGGCTTGATAATCTTGCGTTGAAAGGAGGCTTCTTAGAGTTTAGCAATGCATCACGGCTCGATAATTTAACTAAGCTCACCAGCACTCAGTGGATGGAAGCGCAAGCATTCCTTGAGAAAGCTGTCGAGCTTCTTCATGTTTTGCATAGACAGATTAGTAAACTCACCATCTGATGCCGCAAGTGCCTGCCTGACATCCTCACGGAGCATCGGTATTAGCTCTGGCATGGCTGCAAGGGAGTAAAACCTACGGTATGTTAGTTGGCCTTTATCAGCAGAGAGAAGTTCGGCTCACGCATTGGTGGTCACTAAAGTGGTGGTGTGAATTGCCGCAAAGCTAACCCCAAGCTGCATCTTGGCTAATTCTTCAGCATCCTTTATCCCATCTCCTTTCTCCTGGTTGTCGATAAGCCATTGTAGCATATCATCAGGCTTTTCGGCATTGATAGTCTTGGCGGATTCTAGTCTGGCAGCAACAACGGGGCCTAGAAAATAACTAGCCTCTCTGACGCGTTGATGTACTCGCTTGACGAATGGTATAAACGGCGCTACGACGGGTCGCATCCACTGAGGTATCATTGCCACAACATGGGAGGCCGTCATCAAGTCGTTTGTGTAGTTGATTGCTGCATCAATGTACTGCTCGTTACGGCATAGCTCGGGTCCGACGAAGACGCGACCGGATACCATGGCGACGATACGGAGCAACTTTTCGTAAATGTTGACAGAGGACCATTCTCCAGTCTGCGGAAGCTCTAGTTCCATTGATTCGTGAACCTCTATGGAGATGACTGGATTAAGCCTAACTGAGAGTCCTGATTGTTAGCATCTCAGCCAAGTAATTGTCAGGAAGATGTTTTCGAACTTAATGCAGGAGTCAGCGACGCTTTCACTGTGTGTGGTAGTCCCGGAATTTCTGGTTTGACTCTGGTATAGCGGCTTTGCAGAACCTACCATCCAGTCAGCTTCCTCGTCAGCTTGTATCGCTTCATTTCAGATACTTGCCTCTGCAATCGCTTCTGTAGAGCTCAAGATGTCGTCAGGTAGCTTCTTAAGCTCACCTAGATACTTCGACGATATAACGATGGTCTCGGCAGCTATTATTCTGTTGGCATTTTCCTTCTCAATAGCCTTAGTCAAGGAACTTACGTGCTGTGGTCGCAATTCGGAAGTAGTCATTCCCTTTCTTGATCTGGTTGCCCGTAAGTATTTGAGTCGCAGAGATGGCGAAGAAACTAACCAACTGGTAGCCTTCTAGGTATAGGCTCCATGCAGCGCCAGAAGCGAATTGCTTCCTTCGAGCGGAAACTCCCCCATTGCCGACTTTGGGAAAATCAGCTAGGATATCGGGAGATAGGAATACCTGTGCTATCCACACAGAAAGGAAAATACCCAGGCATGACGCCACGAGCTGCCATCGAAGCGACAAATCGCTAGGCAAAATGTTGAAAGCTGCCGTTTCATTCATACCGGAGAGGCAGATATCTATATTGAAGAGGATTTGACAACACTAGGTGAACTAGGGGAGGATTTTATACGTAGGTACAAGTTAATGTGAAATCACTAGTGGCCTCGCTATTAGGTTAAAGAAGGCAGCAGCTTGTTAGATAATAACCCTCAATTAACGAAACCACAGGTGGTAATATAACGTTTAGCATCGGCTTCGCATTCGTAGCGGTGAATAGCTAGGTTATCGAAGATCCTACCTGACTATATACTGGTTATGTTATTTCTTAGCTCAGATTTCCTTATCTGGTCACCTAAACCGACCTAGCTCGGATTCGTACTTCGTATCGCTCTTAGATATAGTTATGTTATATCTATGGGCGTTGTATATTTGTGATGAAAGGGGATTAGGGTCGGTGTTCAAGCTATATTTGTCTTGGTGTTACACTACTATATTAAATTCGAAGTATCTGTTATATTGCATCAGGCTACAGCTCAGCTCTATTGAATCCTTACAAACGGCTAGCTTCTATCTTAGAGCGATTTCATTGTACCATATATTGCATAGGTTAACGGAGGGTTTCGCCTATAACCTGTGGTATCAGCTAGGAACCAAGCCTACTTGTAGACGATATATAATCCTCACTCGATAGCAGAGCCTAATGTTATAAATCCTTAGATACAGGGGAGCATCAAGTCTCCGAGATACAAGAAATGAAGTATCCTCGTAGCTGGAATCCGAAACAAAGCGGAGCCACTTTCGAGAGGCCTCTTTGCATCGCCACTCGGGGGCCCGGGATCAATTACCTTCCCGGTGTGACCTCAGTCAACAGTCCGTATAGTCTCGATGCTGGCCCATACCCCCGGCCACTCACTAAAACCTAACAATTTCTTGTTCTGCCCTTTCTGTTCCTAAACTCTTTCACTTAAAGTAACTTATGCTAGATCCGGGTAGCACTCTAGGTTCCCTGTCCAGGTACCGCCGTAGTTAGTAAATCATCAAGATAGCATTCATTTCCTGAAAAGTCGCTGCGGCGATCTATGCTGCTTGTGTGGATATACGCAATGACAACGCTATCGTCCTCTTCATCGAACCCCTGAATTTTATACTTGTCGTGCATGATGTTCTTAGCCATACGGTACACACTTGGCAAAATACGACGCACGCTTGGCAAAGATCGTCGCACCGCCACTATTTAATTACAGTTCTTCTGTAAGCCGCGCGGCATTGTAGCCAGTGTCGCCCTCAAAATCAAGAAGCCATCCAGGCTATTTTACAGCAGCTTTATCAACATCAACCGAAAAGCAGCGCAGTCAATATACCAGACGAACGGTCGTAAATACTCCTATTTCGTAACTATACAAACTTTCCATGGGAGGAAAAATGGCGAAGTGCACCGTTAACCCTCAACAAATGTTCAGTGCGTATACATCCATTTGGAGCTTCACATCTTTCATCCTAACAATCCGCGTAGTCTCAGAGACTCCATTTATCTCGAGTGTAACTGTATATGATCTACTAGTTATGCTCTCATCTGCTTTTACGATAGTCGGCAGTGCTATTACTGCTCATCTTATATACGGTCACGCTACGAACTACACGAAGCCTAGGGAGCAGAAGCAGTGAGGTTCAATCCGTTCTTCCTAGGAATAGAGTAAAACTTACCTCAAGCCAGAATCATTCGAATCCTACTTATCGTACCTATTTTCTCACTTTGTTTCACCCTCGGCACTGTCTTCTACCGCAGCAATGTATATTTCGCGAGCGTGTACGAGGCTTACGAATCTCTTGCAATCGTTGCCTTCTTTCTCCTTCTGTGCCAATACATTCAGCCGAACTTACGCGCTCTCCGGAACTATTTTGCCGAGACCGAAACAAAACCTTGGATTATTGTGGTTCGCTTCTTTATGATTCATTTAGGCAAAAATAAAAGAGGAGTAACAGCGGATGGTTTCAAGTGGCTCAAGGTAATAATAGGCTTCTCCCAGGGCTCATTTTCCACATCCCTTTTCTAAGTCCAAAACAACGCTAACGTGATGACAGATCATTTGGGTTGGAGTTGTACAGTTTGCTGTTGTCAAGATCCTTATCTCAGTTCTTAAATGCATTACGGAGGCCACGAATGTCTACTGCGATCACTCTAAGGACGTGAAATACGCAAGCATTTGGGTATGATAATATTGATGCCTCTGTTCTCAAACCATCATGGACTAAAAACCTACTATAGCTCATGATTTTTGGAATATTTTCCGTAGCAGGCGCTATGACGTGCTTGTTTCAGTTCTTCTACCAGAGTCGAGAAATATTGTTTCAGCATCAAGCCGTGCTTAAGTTCTTAGCAATCAAATTGGTTGTCATCGTTTTCTACACTGAAGGGGTACGCTCTGAACCGTATTTCAATAAGTCAGCCTATTCTAACGACCTTAGTTTATCTTCGATCAACTGTTAGGAAAGGATGGACCCATCAACCCTTCCCAGTTTATCTCGTATGCTTCCTGGTCTGTGGGAATTCCTAATTGTCTATCCGCCTTTCAAATGACACTTCTGTCGATCATGCATCTATGGGCATATCCTTTCGGCGTGTACAAAGTAAAGAGCTTGAACGAACAACTTCCAGGCTTGACTCATCAAGTAGAAACCATTGACACTGCCGTCATGGGCGATGGTTCGGCTAATCTGGAGACCGAACCTTCAGGCGCCGCGGAAAATCGCAGTCTAGCTGGCTGGCGGGCTCTAGTAGACACGATCAACTTGATGGATGTCGCGGAAGCAACGCTGCTGGCTGCAAAGTATCTTGTTGGCCGTTGAAATCGAGATATCATAAGAGCTGACTGCATTAGATGAAGGGTCAATCGTGCTTGACTTTCTTTGAGTGGTTCTACAGCACGAGGTCATCGTTAATGGATGGCCAATTCCGAAAGATATCTGATAATAGGATAGAGTTTTCAAAGGGCTTACTTCTTATGTAGTTACTACTATAGAAGGGCATATACAGCGAACCCCCTTTACTTAGCTCTCCTCTACCCAATGCATAGCAAGACGTTTTCTAAACTCAGGGTTTCACATAATCCGCGGATACCGTAGACAGCCGGGTTCCGATCCATATTCGCCCAATGTTGAGACAACCAACGGGCCGTGCTGTCAACAGCTTCCATTTGAAGACTGGAGTCATGGAAGAGTTTTAAAAGGGCCTTTCGGTGGCTGGGATCGCGCATACATGAGCCAGCCACTAGACTAGGCCACATAAACGTCGTCCATTGTGGCGAATCAAATGGCAGTTGCTGAAAGCTTTGGAGAAACAAGTTGATGAAAGGGTTTATTGTTTCTTTCAAGTTTTCTGTAACGTCTTGCAAACCGTGCTTCGAGACATGGAGATATATTATGGACGCAGCCTGATACATGCGTCCAGAATGTTGATTTGTCAAGTCGTGACTGACACTGGTAGCAGCCCAGCGAGATATCATCTCCATGATGATGTCATAATGATTCGCGTCAATTGGCCCGAAATTACCACGTTGCGTGGCGACGGATGTAGTACGCAATATTAAAGCAAAAAGATCGCGTGAAGCGCCGAGAAGGAATCCGTAAATGGGACTGCGAGGATGCAGATGCGTGAGTGATTCAGTGAGAGTGTGGGGATCCACCAACTGGCTTTTCAAACGATCGCTGGGGTCAATATTGGCCAAGATAGCAAGATATGAGTATTGCTCGATGAAGAAGCCAAGAAGCTCGTCTTGGTGGAACTTGGAATCATCCTGCAGGTCTCTAATCATGTACCCGCCCGCTCGCAAGTGATGATACAGAGCACCTCGTATATTAGCATGAATGATCTATACATCATCGGTCTCAGCTTTGCAAGATCCAAGCGGAAAATTGACACCTGCCGACGTACCTCATACCAACACAAGGCAAGGCAGCTTGCAGCAAGGGCAGCACGGTTAGCAGCACTGCACGCGTGCCATTCCGTGATGCCAAACTTCAGACTGCGCACAGCAACGGCGTAGTGATCATAGGCCAGTATGGAGAAGTCTGGGCTTATATAGGCGCGGTGGCAAGCTCCAATAGCGAGTATTGCATGCTGGAGTGAAGTGCTCAAAGTAGCCAACCGGAGATGGTACGTGATGAATGGATTCTCAATGTTACTTCTGCATACCATCCGCGGAGCTGTCATCAGCTTGAAGTACTCTAGCAAGTCCCCTGCGGGTTGACGCCGAAACAGCGGAGGTAGAGGCGAGGGTTGCCTCAATAGCCTCTTGAAATCGATTGACCGTTGAACATTATCACCGCCGTTGCAGAAGTGAGTCAGGCTCGGGTTACCATCTTGTGTGCTTCCAGAATGACCTAAAGTATTGGCGAGCTCAGGACCAGCTGATGGCCAGGTGCAAATCAAGTGATTGCGGCGACAACCAAGACACAAGGGTGTGCTTGCGGGGCAGGTTAATCAGCACAGCCCCAAGCCAATTCAGTTAAAGGTCGCAAGTAGGCGGTATATACCTTTGATCACACTTCTTCCTACGCCTACGACAGGGCAAGCAACCTGCCCTCGTCCGTTGATACGGCTTATGTGTAGTCTTGCTCATTATACTCTCGTAGCAAGTGGAATGATAGTGTTTGAGGTGAGATCACAGGGAGTGGGAATGAATCACCCTGGTTATCAATTACTTAGGGAATCCACCGGTGCTAGCCTGGAATGTCTCGGGGGCTAGCAGAGGAGTGTAAACATTAACTCCAGCGTCCGAGTCATAGGATAGCTAAAGCAAGATGCCTGAAGTATTTTCATATGGCCGCGACGTCTCAAATAGTCTTAGTTTCGTGTTTCTTCGATATGCCACATGTAGATCAAATGTTTCTTGCAGGACAGACGACAAATCGACACTAAAACCAAGCACTCCAGACGCGTCCTTCAATAACCCCGACGCGAAAGAGAGGGGCGTAGAGTGGAGCAATGATGATCACTTACCTAAAACGGAAACGTTCAACCGCGCTTATCTCCGCTCTCGGCACCAGGAGATTACCCAGGCTGAGCTTGGCTTCACTAATTCATAATCACTTACTTACACATTTAGATACCTAAGTTATTCAACCATAGGCTTTTGCTTCTCTTTCTCCTTTTCCCGTCCCCCTTGTTTTTTTACCTTTTCTCTTCTGATGGTCTCTATGATTTTTAGGCAGGGTAATGGGTTTAGCAGGTTGTTTTTATTGTACATGTATCCTGTCATGGAAGAGTTTCGTGACTTTGGTGTGAGTTTAGGGTAGGTCTTCTATGTAAGCGCGCTTATCTGTTGGACACCACTTTGGGTACGTGATGGAGATAAAGTCAAGCCACGCGAAAATATATACATAACCCTGGAGCCTCCGATTTAAATATATATAGCACTGCTAACTTGCTGTTGAAATATTGAGGTGTAATTCCCTCGTATTTTCTTTAACTTGTCCCCTTGTACAAAGTCTGATAAAAACATCAAACATGGCCCTCTCCAAGGATGATCGTCGGAGATCCTTGCCCGACGTCCAAGCATTTGATGCGGCGACAGCCAATGTTGATGACATTGTGGCTGCTCTGATTGTGGCGGGCGGTTGCGTGCTCAAGGGCGCTGTGGCACAGGACGACCTCGCCCAGATCGAGAAAGATACGCGTATTTGTATCCTTGGCGACAAGGCCTGGGGCGGAGACTTTTTCCCAAAGGAAACTAAGCGCGTCATGGGCCTCATTGGCAAGTCGCCCACCTTCACAAGGGCTATTGTGCAGAGCCCCCTGGCCGTGGCCGCCGCCGAGAAGATTCTCACGTCGACGTACAGCTGCTGGGTTGGGGATGAGTGGAAGACATTTGTGAGCAAGCCACAGCTGAACAACACCATCATCTTCAGCATCGCTCCCGGGGCGCGTAACCAGGAACTTCATCGCGACGATATGATCCACCATAACCCGGTTCGCCAACGTACCGCTGCCGACTATAAGATTGGCGACGACACGGGCGTCGGCTATTTTGTCGCCGGGAAAAAGGCCACCAAGGATAACGGCGTCACGCGCTTCATTCCTGGTTCTCACCTCTGGGGCCAGACCACGCCACCAGACGAGAGCCTGACTTTCTACGCTGAGATCGAGGCTGGCGACGCCTTCCTCTTCCTGTCTAGCTGCTACCATGGCGGCAGTGCAAACAAGACGGCAGACCAGGAGCGATTGATGTATAGTTGTTTTTACACAAAAGGTTTCCTTCGGCAGGAGGAGAATCAGTATCTGTCGGCGCCATTTGAGGCCATCAAGGGCAAGTACGATCAGCCGACATTGGAGCTTCTGGGCTATAACTTGAGCCCTCCTTTCATGGGATGGGTGGAGATGAAGCATCCGTTGGAGTTTCTTACAGGGACAGAGTCTTTCAAAGATCTATACTAATTTAATCCATCAAATTAAATATATAGCTGCTTATCTATCTATATTCTCTTATTCACATAATGGAAGGCTTGGTGGCGGGGACCTAGAGTCAAACGGTAGACACATTACCTCAAAAGCTCTAGCGTCGGCAAACCCTGGTCATCACTTCTCATGAGGGCTACCTAGGTACCTCCATGTAAGCAACGCCAGCCGCTCCGTTTATAAGGGCAGGTTGATTCGTTGGCAGCAAAGCTAAGGCGGCCGCTTCATGTCAAAATGCCTTGGATAGGGCCTGACCCATGACACGATACCAACACTTATTACAGCGGGCTGATGCTGGACGTTGACCTACCTAATCGGGCAGTGTGTTCTTTATTCATAGCCCAGGCCTTTGCCAAATTAGGTAGTGTGTTGTTGGCTGAGCAAGTCGCATTATCCAGGAAGCCATGAAAAGTTGCATTACCAATCTTTGTTGGGCTATGTTCTGGTGTCAGACTACGGATTTTGATGTTATTCATGATTGTCTCGCACGATGCTAAGATGATTGTTCAGGGAGACGCACCGACCCTACTTAATATAAATACCAACTGGCCTCGCGACGGTGGAATTGGGGACGAAGCATAGTAACACAGTGCTCCTCGCTTTCAGTCTACTTTGCTCTCTCAGCTCTGATCATCATGCAGCACTCCCTCGTCTTTTTGGCAAGTGTTGGCGTCTCCTTAGCCACCCCACCCTCGTACAACGTCCCTCACGTTACCATTCAGAATGGAACGTTGATCGGCAAGACGAACAATAGCGTTGACAGCTTCATCGGCATCCCCTATGTCAAGCCGCCGATAAATGACCTGCGTTTCCGTGCACCGCAGTCAATCGAGGAGTCTTTTGGCGTGTTGGAGCTTCCCGAGGTCGCGCCGGCCTGCATCCAGATGCACCTCAGCGATGTCGACACGACTGGGATCCCTGCCGAGGCTGTTCCTGCCGTGCAGCGCCTTTCACAGACCCCAGAGACTCCGCAATCTGAAGACTGTCTGACTGTCACTGTTCAACGACCGGCGGGTGTGTCCCCAGGTCAGAGACTGCCAGTGCTTGCATGGATTCACGGAGGCGGTTGGGAGATTGGAGCATCGCAGTGGTACGACGGCACAGCCATTGTTAGAAAAAGCATGAACATGAGTGAGCCAGTAGTGTTCGTCTCCATGAACTATAGACTAGGTGCCTTTGGCTTCCTGCATGGCAAGGAGCTTTCAGAGAATGGCAGTACAAACCTCGGCCTTCGTGACCAGCGCAAGGCCCTGGAGTGGATTGCAGAAAACATCGGGGCATTCGGCGGTGACTCTGACAGAGTGACTATCTGGGTATGTTCACCATCTTCACATGAATCCAATCCAATCAGCTTCAATCCGCTTACCATTTTTTCCCCTGCAGGGTGAGAGCGCTGGCGCTGCCTCCGTATTTGACCACCTCACCATCAACAATGGTGACCACACGTACCGAGGTAAGCCGCTCTTCCGGGGCGGCATCATGAACTCATGCACGCTCATTCGGACACTATCAGCCACTTCTGCGAAGGCACAGGGTGTCTTCGACGGGCTTGTCACCGCCGCGGGATGTGCCAACAGCACAGAGACTCTGGCATGCCTGCGCCGGGCCTCAACCGAGACCCTGCGGGTGGCTGCGCAGTCGTTTGGGGATTTTTACACAGTTAAGGGAAACAACTTGCCCTTCATACGCCGACCTGATGAGTCCGACTGCTTCTTCTCGCAGTTTGGCGACGAGGCTCTGGAGAGCGGGCGGTACGCTCGAGTGCCTGTTATCGCGGGTAGCCTGGAGGACGAGGCGACTATATTTGCCCTCTCTCAGCGTGAAGTTGTCAACTCGACCGAGACACTAGTCGACTACATGGCAAGCTGGTTCCCTGAGACAGACCGTCAGGTGATTGCCAATCTAATCGACACCTACCCCGACGACCCGGCGGCTGGCATCCCCTCCGGGACGGGCAATCTGTACGAGCTCTATCCCCAGTTCAAGAGAAACGCCGCAGTGCAGACAGACGTCACCTTTGCCGCGGCCCGCCGAGCTCTCCTGTCTCAGATGCAGGGCGAGGTCCCCATCTGGGCCTGGCTCGGCACCTTCCAGCACGCCCTGCCGCAGCTCGGGACGTACCACACCTCCGACCTTGGCACACACTTCCGAGGGCTGAACCCCGTCGCCGGCAACGCCATTAATGCCGCCTACATACACTTTGTCCACCATCTTGACCCCAATGGCAGGACCAGAGCCCCCTGGTGGCCTCAGTGGGACGAGGAGGGGTTGGTGCTGGCCAACTTTAGCGCTTCGGAGACGGGTTTGACCAGGGACGACTTTCGTAGAGAGAGCTTTGATTTCATAAACGCGCACTCCTCGGAGATTCGCCAATGAAGGAATGTTCATGATGATGTTAGAACACGCTGGTTGGTTTGAGTGATCTGGTGCTGAGACGATTTGTGTTATGCTGGCGTGGTCGTTCAGTACAGGGAGCAGCAGGATCTCCGCGAGCGACTTACACGGAACGGTGAACAAGTGTCTTGAGGATAAAGTTGACATATGATGTTGGTGAGGATACTGAGAGTAAAGGAATAAAGACTAGCAGAATATCACTTTAAACTTAATAATGAAGTATATTGAGATATGTTTTAATAGACTTTCGAGCTTATTCATGTCCACTTGTGTTCTGAAGTGGTTGGATTGGTATAAGACAAGTGTATGAAGGTAGCTAGGTGAAAGAGGGTAGCTTAAATCTTCATTCGACGAGCCGCTGGTCCTGACGGCAAGTGAGTTATCGGTGCAAAGGTTGACAGGCTTTTTCTTCCGTATGGCCATATCTGTGCTTGGAAAAGCTATTTGCTCTACGCTTGTATATTTAATGTGTTGAGATATCTGGCTCTGGTATCTTCCGTTGCTGTTTTCAACTGAATACTCAATTTCGCTTACGTATCCAGACTCATGATGAAACCTTACTCTAATCTATTGGAAAGTTATGATTTATTAAGAAGCAGTTGTAATAATTCCTTTGTAGGAAGCGAGAAATCCACCACTTTGCTGTCAGCGCCTGATCTTGTGGTTAGTAGATTGCAACCTGCATCACTCTTTCATTTAATAAATCAGCACCTATCCCACCCGCTAAACATTTCCACTTTTCATATTTTCAGACGTATTTTGATTTTGCAGAGCAGAGAGATCAGCTAGCCACCTTCAGATCCTGGCACGACTACGGCTATCATAGCTACTTTAGGGAGGTAGATAGACCAGGTTTGCAAGTTTACTGCACAGCGGCTAGAATAGTCTCATTTGGGAATAGCCCTAGGTTCCAGGAACCGGAATCTTCTTTCCCGGACTTCGATACATCTGCCTGATTCATGCGATAAACTCCAACTGGTCAAGGATCAACCAAGCCCAATCACACAGCGGCTCGAACAACCCAAGTCTGATTAGCAGGATGGCGACCCATACGGACAAGTAGCAGGGTGATAAATAGTGCACGCAACGCCGCTGGAAAACAAAATGGCAGCATGGGTATAGATATCTAGGCATTCGTCTCTTCAAGATAGCCATTACGTATTGCTTTGCATTTCGATTGCAACCATGATTTGTAAAACACTTCTCTTGCTCATTCTGACCGTGAGAAATGTGTCATCAAGTCTCGAATCATCTGGGCTTTCTGTCAAACTAAACGATGTGGATTACTTCATCTCGCCATTTTCTCAGGGAAGGGCATATGATCAGCCACTTGACGCCAAATCTCGCGGCGGCCAATTCGGTTTTGTGCCTGTGACAGTGATTGCGGAGACCAGTACCAATATCACTGATCTGCTCACTAATTGGACAAGAATCGACGATGTTTGGCAGCCTGGCTTTCTTACCACCATCATCCTCGCCAGCTCTGGCAGATCGAGATCTAGGCCTGTGAGCATGACCTACTATCCCAACTTTACATCTGAGATTCTGCCTCTGCAAGAGAGTAGCCGGATTCCTTCCGGTCCTTATTTCCTCGACACTTACACAGGAGAGGTCCATCAAGCCTTTCGCCTCTACGATGACTTCGCTGGTGCTTTCACTCAATCTTTACTACAAAAACCCGATGGGACTTTCCAAACCTTATCTGCTCATATCCAATCTTCGGCCTCATTGACTATTGGTGTACCATCCCGTCTCTATTTCACAGCGACCAAGGAGAAGCCTTTAGCTGGTGTTCGTGTGGGAGTCAAAGACATCTTCGCTCTCGCTGGTGCAAGGAGATCCAACGGCAACCGAGCGTGGTACGGTCTTTATCCGCCAGCAAGCCAGACTTGTGCTGTGATGCAGAATCTGCTAGATGCGGGTGCTATTATTGTTGGCCTTCAGAAATTGTCGCAGTTTTCCAATGGCGAGACACCTACAGCGGATTGGGTCGACTACCACGCACCGTTTAACCCTCGGGGAGACGGATACCAAGATACTGCATCATCATCTGCTGGGGCCGGCTCATCCATAGGATCGTATGAGTGGCTCGACCTGGCTGTTGGAAGCGATACCGGAGGGTCTATTCGAGGTCCGGCAGCAGTTCAGGGTGTATTCGGAAATCGGCCGACTCATGGTATTGTCAGCCTTGACAATGTCATGCCCATGTCACCCAGTCTAGACACTGCCGGCTTCTTGGCTCGCGACCCCTATATATGGGGCGCTGCACAAGCCGCAATGTATAAGGGCAATTACACATCTTACGGCAGCTTTGAATATCCTGGGAAGCTGTATACACTTGACTTTCCTACCGAAGACACCCCGACAACTAAGATTCTGAACAAATTTTCGGCCGATCTTGCCGCATTCTTAAATGCCACAGTAACACCGCTCAACATCAGCAAAGAATGGGAGAACTCTGCTCCTACTCAGGTTGGAAGCAATACTATTTCTCAACTTCTTAATCTCACATATACAGCTCTCATCACCATGGATCAAACACAATTACTTCGCGACCAGTTTTACAAAGATTACGCAGGTAGGTTAGAATGAAAAAATGATAGGCCCATTGCTGACATTTTCGTTTTGCCTGGCAGCTGTTCACGACGGACGCCTTCCCTTTGTTGACCCAGTTCCCTTGGCCCGCTGGTCTTGGGGTGATGAGCAGCCTGACTATCAAAGAACTAATGCTATTGAAAACAAGACGCTGTTCATGGACTGGTTCAACGAGAAGATTCTGTTTAGATCTCCCAACACCAAGACTTGTTCAAGTAGCATCATCTTGCACACAGACAGCACGGGCAGTCTCTCCAACCGCAATCGCTACCTCAACCCACCCGCTCTCCCATTCGGCTTCTCCAATGGAGAGATTTCTGTGTTTGCAGAGACCCCGGATAGCGTTTTCCCGCTCGGCGAGATCCCCGTCCAGAGCACTATCACTAACCATACCGAGCTTGTTCCAGTAGCAGTCGATGTCATGGTGGCTAAAGGATGTGATGGATTGATTGCTCAACTCGCATTAGACCTTGTCGAGGCAGGGATTATTAAGAAACCAAAGGCTGGGTCAACGCTCAATGGAGGAGAAATCTTACTTCGACGAGGCGATGTGCCATTAACCTCGGCATAAAGCGCCTAGAATGCTCCTAGTATCCCCCTGGTTTGAACATTTTTCCTGAGGGTGTATGTATCCATTTTCAACATGGAAAAACTAGTGTAATATGAATAACGAAGATGGTCGTTGATCAAAAAGCTTGAACACTACGGAGTTGTGGAGTGGTTTCAGGCCGTTACCGCAAAATCCCAAGATATCGCAGACCTGGTTGGATGTCTAGCTCTAACACTTATTACTTGGGGTTTGATTTGGATGTTTGTAGGTATACACTGAATTAATCAAATGGACTTGGTGGTATTCTGGGACAATAATCCCATCTGGTATCCAAGGGCTAGCGGTAGTAAGTGATAGCGCCTTCTAGAGACTTCCTAGAATTGCTTCCTTTAGGTAGCGATATTCGACATGATTTTCTCCCTTTAACCCAACTGGAGTCTCCCCAGGTCATGATTTATCAATGAAAATAACCCGGGGACCTTGGGGAATTCTCAACCATGTGTCTGGGACCCTGGGTAGCTGCTTTAGCCTCCCACCGAGTTAAGCTCACGCAAAACCTCCAAGACACCGAAAGATATGTAGCAGGTAATTTCAACATCGGCGAATTTACTTTCATAACAGTAGCACTGGAAATCTTTCTGTGTGAGGTTATAGGAGAATAGTCTATTACGATCTTGAATAGAGTTTAATGGTAAAGTCTTCCTGAAAGCTGAAAATTAGAACCTTTTGAACCTTCTCCTACGAAAACGGGAGCAGCATCCTAACTTTAAGCACTTTTAGTACGAGAGGCCAAGCCAATCGGGTTATCTTCCGGTTCCCCTTTGGACATTAGGAGGTTGACGCATTCACAAGAATAAGGTTCGTAGGCCAAGCTGGAATTCCACACGTCCCATTCCAGGCCAATCCTATTTGACGTCTCCGTCGATCCACGGGTGCTTTTTGAACTCAGAAAGGATTGCTTCAATACCGCTAGATTGACATGTGGCAGCTATTAAGGTCAATCAATAAAATAAGACCAGCGGATATTATAGGTTCAGCGTTCTTCCTCAAGGTACACGCTCCGGCTGGGTATAGACCAAGGACTGAATATATATTAGTAGTATACTGTGTGGCTGAATGGGACATGAGAATAGAGGTTAGACATACCTAGGCGCTATACGTCAAGCCCATCAAACGCCTCCATTCCTCCTATGCGGTCTAGACCTGCTCGAAATATTAATATACCCTAACGCTGTGACGCTTACACTACTGGAGCTGAAGAATTCTAGCCTCAAAGTCGAATAAGGATGTGAGCTACAATTACTATTCACACGATAGCGAATATTGGAAACGCCACCATTTCAGCTGAGCAATAGTCCGCAGTTAGATTCCAGAACGAGGATAGTGTGTCGATTTTGAAGTTCCCCTCACATTATCACAAGCCGTGCTCTATATAGCTATAAGTGCTGGATGCTTATAATCCTTGGAAGGGTTTCGGAGGGGGGAAATGGTCCTTCATTGTGCCATTATACACTACGACTGCCACAATGATGTTTTCACCTATTTACATATTATTCAGCCTTTTGCATCTGCCCATTATTACCGCTTGGGGACGTAAGTCTAACACCAGCGTTCTTTCAATGAACCAGGGAGGCAATAACTAAGAGCAACAGCCCTTGGTCATGATACCACAGCGTGGGTCGCCAGTCACTTTGTCTCCGAAGCGACTGCAGAATACTTGAAAGATCTCCTTGACAACCACGGCGAGGATTATTTGGCTCGTATTGCATCATGGGCAGACATACCTGGAAACAGCCGCCGCACTGACCATTTCATTGATGCTCACGACGATCTAGCAAACCGGAACTGCAATGTCAACTATGCGCGTGATTGCAAGCAAGAAGGATGCGTTATAAGTGCCCTTGCTGAATACACTGAGCAGGCTTTGGCTCCTGCGACGGGCAATGGGGACATCAATCAGGCTGTAAGGTTGCTTGTGCACTTCATAGGGGACTTACATCAGCCACTACACAACGAAGACGTTGCCCAAGGGGGAACCCAGCTTCATGTTCGTTGGGAATCCTCAGACAGGACATTGCATAAGGTGTGGGATACTCAGATTGCCGAGAAACTCACCGAAGAGCTTGGGGGTAGGCCCACAGACCGTGCTTCCAGATGGGCGGACCAGCTTGCGAGCAAAATCACAGATGGAGAGTTCGCGGATCAGAAGCGCGAGTGGCTGAAACATTTGGACGTGAGGAACCCAAATGGGACCGCGATGATTTGGTCTCAAGAATCAAACCAGCTGGTGTGTAAAAATGGTGAGACTCGTCGTTATGTGTTGTTTTACTCTCTTTCATTACTCCTCACTTACATATTCTCAGTTTTCCCGCGTGGTTTCGGTCCCGACCAAATCAGAGGAAAAGAGCTTAGCGGAAATTACTATGAGCAAGCTTGGCCAGTTGTCGAGAGACAAGTTGCTCGGGCCGGTTATCGTATGGCAGCTTGGCTTGACGCAGTGGCCGAGCAGGTTCATGGTCGTGGACAAGGAGAACTTTGATTGACTGGGGTTGGGTCTGCACTTGTTTCGACGGGAGCTTTAAGACCCTCAATGCAAATCTGCCAGATCCAAGGAACGGACGAGGTCCTTTTTTTGCGCCACAACTTGAATGTTCAGTGCTAAGCCACTGATATCCGGCATCTCTAGGGATCTGTACGAGATAGGAAAGTATTATTGTTTTAGTTAACTTGAACCACCTATGTGTAAAAGAAAGTATAGTTGGAAATTAAATCAATCGCTTCATTTCGTTAGGGAAATTAGTATCAATAGGTTCAAGTTACAAGAGTTTCCGCATATGAAGATCCCTTCTCATAACCAAGTGGCACTACTGAAGCTAAACTAGCCCCTCAAATATGTTTAGGTATAAATAATATATATTTGCGTAATGATATATGTTGTTCCACCCAACCGTGATATGAAGGCAACTATAGTCCTCGGGTGTACCGAAATTTCTCCGCCTGGGAAAATTTATTCAGCCCGGTCTTTGAATCGAGTATCGTAATATTAACCGACAAAGACTAGAATTGGGGTTACTGTCAGCTGGTTGCGTTGATATTCAATCTTGTAGCAGATACTACTACTTACCTTGCCAGTTCCGATCCTCCATCACATTCAGCCAGTGTAGCTTTCCTCTCACCGTGCACACCGGATCCATTTCAATATCTGCTCTGGGCTCTGCCGGCACCTTCTCCGCCTCGTGGATATCACGCCGGGCCCAGGTCGCCTGAACAATATCCCAGCACGTGTCTACATTCTTCACACGCAGTCGCCCGATGATGGCATGCCACCGCTGCTCTGCCCACTCGCGGTCCTCAGGGTCCGTCAGCTCAACGCTGGCGGCCAGTAACGGGAAGATGTGTAGGTTCGTCACGACGCTTGAGGAGGGTATGCTGGCTAGCTTCAAGAGGACCTTCCGAGCCAGCTCCGCAGACGACTCAGAGGGGATCTCGGGCACGGCTTGGTGCAGATGCAGCAGTGTTGCGTACCGCAACGCCTGGGCTGTCTGTATCGAATGCTGGACTACCTGCATCTGCTCCTCGAACGATTCCATGACGCTGAAGTGGGGTGGTTGCCATTGCTGAAGTTGCTCGTGGACCTCGCTGGCACGACTGACTAGTGCCAAGCTGTTCCTATGTGTTCGACGGGCTTTCTGAACGATCGATACGACAGTGTCGATCAAGGGGAAGATGGATGCGGCACATCCAAGAAGAGGATCAGTCTCCATCCTGGCTTCGTCTGGCGAAGGCGTGAGAAATGATACAACTTGTGGAGGCAAAGGCGGTGCCCAACGGCGCCAAGTATGAGCAACCCACTGGTCAATTCATCAACAATCAATTTGTCCAAGGCAGCGGTGACTACTTTAGCACTGTATCCCCAGTGTAAGTACTCTTCTATGGACCTTGGTAACGGTCGAAACATCATATCAATATTAACAATATAAAAGAACAGAAGAAGAGATCCTGAGGCTTCAGGGGGCTTCCCCTAGTGATGTAGACACGGCTGTAGCTGCCGCTCGGCAAGCCTTCAATGGTCCCTGGTCTCAACTGCCTGCCATAGAGCGCGGAGCATATCTTTACAAACTTGCTGAGCTCATTGATCACAATCGTGAGCTCTTGGCTGCCATCGATGCCTACGACAACGGCAAGGTAAAGACACTGCCCTAGCCAAGCTCGGGCTATTTGATGCTAACTGCATAAAAGACTTTCGCCGGCGAGAGCGCCGGCGATCTGGACGAAGCTTACAATGTTTTTCGGTATTATGCAGGCGCGGCCGACAAAATATCTGGGCAAACTATCGAGACTTCCCCCGCAAAGCTGGCATATGTCGTCCAAGAACCATTAGGTGTCTGCGCCCAAATTGTTCCCTGGTGCGTAGGACATGGGAAATACTTCAGATTTCCACCAGAGGCTAATTAGGTATACAAAAGGAACTATCCGTTTATGATGCTTGCTTGGAAGATTGCCCCAGCGCTGGCATGCGGGAATACCGTCGTTCTCAAGCCTGCAGAGCAGACACCCCTTTCTGCTCTTTACTTTGGTAACCTGGTCATTAAGGCTGGCTTGCCCGCTGGTGTTGTTAACATCATCTCCGGTCATGGCCCTACGACTGGTAGTGCTCTGGCGAACCATGCTGATGTTGACAAGGTCGCCTTCACTGGAAGCACGGCGACAGGTAAATCCATCATGAAAGCTGCTGCCTCCAATCTAAAAAATGTCACCCTTGAGTGCCGCGGAAAGAGCCCCAGTGTCGTTTTTGCCGATGCCGACTTTGAACAGGCTGTCAAGTGGACACACTTTGGCATCATGGAGAACTCGGGAGAGGTACGTTTCGCCTCTCCTCCATATACCCGTGAAGAACTTGTTAACGCAACGGATAGGTCTGTACGTCAACCTCTCGTATTTATGTTGAAGAGAGCATCTATGACAAATTTGTCGATCGTTTTATTGAGGTAACCAAGGACAATGACAAAGTTGGCGACAACTTCAAGGAAGACACGTATTATGGAGCTCAAATCTCCAAGACCCAATTCGATAAAATTTTAGGACATATCGAAGAAGGTAAAAAGAGCGGAGCTAAACTGTCGTACGGGGGCGCCAGGTCCGGTTCCCAGGGTTATTTCATCCAGCCTACCGTCTTTGTCGATGTTAGTCCTCAACGCATGTATTTACCCATGGTTTTTTTCGCTAACGTGTGAATCCCGCTGCAGTCAACAGAAGACATGGATATTGTTAGGGAAGAGATTTTCGGTCCAGTCGTTGTCATCTCCAAGTTCAAGACAGAAGACGAGGTTGTTCACAAGTGCAATGACACAAGCTACGGACTGGCTGCAGCTCTCTTCACAGAAAACCTGTCCAAAGCACACCTTGTTGCACGCCGACTTCAGGCGGGCATGGTTTGGATCAACTCCTCGGGGGACTCGCACTTTGGTATTCCGTTTGGAGGCTACAAGTCCTCTGGGATTGGGCGCGAACTAGGAAAGTATGCGCTTGATGCGTATACCCAGGCCAAGGCTGTTCATGTAAATCTAGGTTCTAAGCTATAGATTTGACAAACAAACATTGAAGTGGAATCTTATCATCTAGGCCCTTTGAATAATTCTTATGCCAGATGAAGTGAGGTTCACTGACCCAGGTCTACACAAATCCGCATGTACTTCAACATTACTTACCTAGTATAAAAACCTCGCAAAAGCTCAACACGTGATAGCGAATAACTTCAGAGATTATAATACTCAAGCCCATAACAATCTATAATAATTCAAATGGCATGCTTAGAGAGATATCCGTCGTCAGCGAAAGAAATCGTAGCTCCTAAAATTTCTATCAAATTCGGGACCTCAAAGAAGATACTATCAAGGTGTCAGTCTTGGAGATTAGATATTCATTGACGGCCATATCCTTCCCACTTTCCCTGCCGTAAACTGACTCCTTGATACCACCAAATGGACTTTCGGTTTCAGTTATATATCATATAGTAGCGCGGGGATGGAATATTCTGAAAAACTGTACATACCTGATTTTCCCTCCGAAGATACCCTGGCAACCAAGATCCTGAACAAATTTTCAGCCGATCTTGCCGCATTCTTGATTACCACTAACATGTCCCAAAGCACTGAGTCTGCCTGAACTCCATGAGAAAAGTAATCTTATGAACCGGCGTTGTATAGATTATAGTGTTTCATATTACTAGTCATTAATTCCCGTGCCTCCTTTTTGTCACACGCTCAGCATTATCTCGAGATATAGATCTTTTGGAGCAGCGGTATCTTTGGACAACGTTCTATTTTTGCCCCGTGTGGAAAAGGTGAGCTTCCCGGTTAAGATCCAGTTTTTCATATCTTGAGCCTTAGGATGCACTTTATTAAGATTCTATTTTCAATGGACTGCAATTGATCGTTGCCTGCCTTTAATGTTACATCTGCTAGCTTGTATGGCGTGAGAGCTTGAGCTATATTGCGGCTTTTGATTCATTCATTAGCCAAAAACCAAAGTCGCAACCCCTTTCCGGTAGGTGCTTACGGAAGTACGTTCGATTTAGAAAGATCAGTTACGCCATATCATTTCAGAATAATGCTAATTCTGAAATAAGGATTGCATTGATTTAACATGTATCAAAACACTACACGGATTTTCAGATCAGGGGAAGGAGATTAATAATACTTGATATAGCTCTTTTTGTAATATTATCTGCCCAGTGTGATTGCAATGGTACTACCATCCATACGTTGCCTAAAATTGGAAAAGCACAATTTTAGGAAGTAGGTTTCAATGTTCCAATATTTTTAGAAACTTCTTCTGCTTGGTAGCATATATAATCCGTTAAGGTATCTCTCTTTAACTTGGCACGATCATCCACACCCACAACTTGAACCAAACATCATCTACTACTAGAAGGAGATTTAAACCTGTTTTAAGTTGGCCCTTGTTCTTCCTTTTCTATTACCACCACATATAAACATGCGCTTCAACTTGTTCCTTGCTGCCACGGGCTTAGCCAGCGCCGCAATTACCACCTCCTACAGCTACGCCCGCGGCCTTGATGCCGACTACCCTGAGCTTGAAGAGCGTGACGTATTCTCATCCAAGGAGGAGGCTAGTCACTTCCTACGAAGCCTCGATGAGGACGAACTCAACGCCCTCTACGTTCGTAGTAAAAAGAAGCAGTTGATTAGACCCGGGGCCACGGCAAACCGTAGGCCCATGAAAAACATTAAAACCATAGCCGCAGGCGGAGGCGGAGCGTCTAGAGGAAGACGTCGTGCAGCAGATAGAGGGAGACGTCGCGCGGCGTGAACGAATCTCTAGCACAAGAAACCGCAATCACGCCAGGAGAAGAGTCAGGGGCTACGAGGAGAAGTGCCCTGGCATACCTTGACCCGGAATAACGACCAAGTGGCAAGGATTGGTGGCGCGAGGATTGAGGGGACGACGAGGTAGCATGTAAATCTTACCAAACAACAACGGAGTGATTAACTCAGAATCAGATTTGGGACTTTTCATGGCTTTGCTCAATAACGAAGTACTTCAAAGACACCGGGATCAACCACGTCGAAAGTCTGACCAGCAGCTGCAGTTGCCCAGTGTCCATAAATGAGAGTAGGGTCATTCAATTGGAAAGGAAGTAGGTAAGCCATGGATTGATTGTTTCGCTCGGATTATGAAGAGAGCTGGTTAGAGATCTGTTGCACAGAGATCAAGACGAGTTATTCTTACCATGTGCAAGGTACCGATGCAAGAGCAGAAAATATCGCCTTGGGTACTCTTTTCAAGCGAATACAGTGTGTTCAACTAAGGCCTTCCTCTGTGGTAGAAGTTTTTTTGACATTCAGTCTATTGCTTCGCTGCATTGACGAGTCGATCGTATATGCTTATACTTGGTAAACTTTTCCCGAACTGATAAAATTGTCGTGGAGCTTGTGCACTTGATCCCACAGCCGATCTCTACCCGTATCGTTAGTCGTGACGATGATCACAATGGTTAATCCACTCTCAGCATCGTACCTAGCCCGGACTAACCCCTCGTTTGAGCACTTGATGAGAGCTAGTTGGATGTCCAACTGTCTATTTTAAGATGAAAGGAGAAAAATCTGGCTATTCTATCTTGTTTGGTACTTCCACATACAAGATCCAGGAGACCGGACAGTTTACCCGTGGGCATGTCACTAAAGCGATTTGGAAAGTTTGGCGTCTCCAAGGCTTATGTTTGTAAAATGTGTCTGTTCTCATTCGTTGTGTCCAGTAAGCCATTAGATCTTCTAAAAGTATCTCTCGTATGCCTTTGCCGCATCTAAGATTGTCTTGTCAAATGGGATCCATCCTTGACCAGTTGCCTTGGCAGCCTTACTTGCGTCGACCCTTCGCGCATCAGCAGGCTCAGAATAATCTGGCAAATAACCCTTACCCGGCTCGCCTTCTCCGATGATGTCTTTCCTTCCTGGGTAGTGTTTGCGCAGGAGATCGCGATAAGCCTGTACGTTTGCGAAGTTGCCATTTCCACCAGCGATGAACCGTTCCCCGTCTACAACTTGCTTATTTTCCACGGCGAAAAGAATTATTCTCGCGACATCACGAACATCCACGTGAGTCCCATTGCCAGGTCCTACTAGAGGAACATCCTCGCCCTTCATGATGCGATATGCAATAATGGCAGTATCGCTCAGCTTCTCGGGGTCCTCGGGCATAATTAGTGGCGGACCAGCAACCCATACAGGATTCACCGCAGTCATGCTGAACTTGATCTTGCCCGCGTTCTTTTCACGAAAATCCCAGAATGCACGCTCTGCCTTGACCTTGCTGGCCCCGTAGATTTGATGGCCGGTGACGTTGGAGCCCGACTTTGCGAGCGTCTCTTCGGCCTCTGTGTTCCAATCCTTTTCCGTCACCCCTCGTCCCTCCCACTGAGGCCCACGTCCTCTGACAGCCACGATGGAAGACATGTACACAAATGACTCGACGCTGGGCTCTTTCACGGCAGATCCCAAGATTCCGACTGTGCCCTGGACAGCAGACCCGATGACGTAGTCGACATTGGTATTTGAAAAATCAACCGGAGTTGCGAGATGCGCAATCGCCTTCACGCCATGAACAGCATTGTCGAATGCACCGGGGCTCGTAATGTCAGGGACAAGCGTGGCTGTGAGACTGCCCGAAGAGGCGTACGAAGGTAGGGCTGCAAGTAGGCTGGACGCTGAATTCTGGCTTCGGACTGCTGCGCGGACCGAGTAGTTGGCGGAGAGGAATGCTTCCACGACGCGTGCACCGATGAAGCCGTTTGCGCCGGTAACGAGAACGAGACCCCTTGTTGAAGCCATATGGTCTGCTGTTGTGTTTGATGGTTGCAGTTGTCGTAGAGTCTTCTGATCGCTACCGACAATTGTGAGGGCAAATAATTCTTTAGACTTGACATAGTCGTCGTCATGGCCCGCTTAGTTATATACATTAAGCTCTCGTGCCTTGTCGATATTAAGTTCAGCCACAGCCGGTGTTAATCGGCATTAGATGCTTCTGATGATATCAATGCCCGTGTCTGTCCTGTCTGACTAACACTGAATACCACAATCGGTTCGCGCCTAGAGCTTTATCCCCTAAGTCCGGAAACTCAGTAGGAACATAACCGACGTTGCGAACGGAGCACTCGGAGATTTTTAATGCTAAAGCCAGCCATTGATTGCTTCAAGGCCATTCGGTCGTATCCCTACCAGGATGTTTAGTGCCGAACCGCCGCCGAACCCGCTACCATTTGCTGACTCGGCAATGGGCTCGACTTTTGTCCGCGGGGAGTTAGGGCGGTAAAAGAAGGCGAGAGCGTCGGATTTTCTATTCTCCAGTCCAATCTCGGTACAGGCGTGGACTAATCGAATGAATTCGTCTTTTTCGAAATTCCAAAAAAATCGTAGATTTCCGAGCATCATAATGCCTTAAAGACTTGATAAGACATACCTATTTGAAGAAAGAAGTCCAAACTGAGCCGATGTCAATTGAATGAAAAATAGGTCTCATTTGCTACCTACCCTGTAGCTAACCATTCTGGAACATATCACATAAACCTTTGACCCTTTCCAAGTCATTCGTGGAGATTTCAGTAACTGTAAGTTAGTACTAGTTTTCATAGTATGGCCATCAGGTCTTCCGCTCCCTGTCTTAACATTGTCGCCCAATGTCTCTGGTGATCGAACGTGGTGGTGATTGCCCAAAAGTGTCACGTAATGAATGAAAGCTCAAGCAAGGGGAAGAAGCCAAATAGCTAACTCAAATGGCACTAGGATATAGAAAGGACCTTTGTTCGTGAAAGCGATAAAGGATTGGGATTGCAAACGGGGAAGACGTCATGTGTGACGCCACCTCTTATGATCAGAGCTAACAACTACCAAGTCGGGCCAAACACCACACGGTGTCAACTGTAATGAGAGTAATTGATGACTGAAACCATTCAATTGTAAGCACTTCTCTGTCGAATATATTAGGTTAGTCAATGGCTTGCTTAAATGAGATCTGCTGCCTAGAGAAAAAGTGAAGTCCGTTAACATTGATCGTGCTGGAGAATGAGAAGAGCACGAATACAAACAAATTAACTGCCAGGCACGCAAGTGCACTTTGGTCACGTTTACCGTAAGATATCTTCTAAGCGCATGGGTTCCTTTACGTCACTCAGCAGTGATTTTCCCTCCTTCTCGGGAATAATAACAAGTGGTTGCTTGTGGTGTGCGGGAGCGTGCCGCGATATCCGACTGGTGGCAGCATCATTGCCGTTCTCGTAAGTCAGCGGTCGCCCAACAACAATGGAGCTCACCTACCACAGACGTCATAGAGGTCACATCAGTGAACTTGGCGTGAAGCCATGTTTTAGGCTTCTCTCAATGCAATCGATCCAAGGGAATCCATATTGCACTTATAGGAAATCCCACTAGCAATTTAGAGAAGTGGAATAGATAGCCTACTAACGGCTTATTGTGGATAATAAGCACAGATGTCGAGTGGGGAGTGATCGGCATCTGGGGATGAGTTCTCACAAACGTATAAAGAGGATTGGCGTCTTCATCTCGATCCTGTAGTCGGATTGTTGTCCATTGTCCTTCTCGAGTTACGTGGACTGTGTTGCAGAAACAAGTCCCGCAGAACAGTTCTACCTCGTATTAAATTCTTTACAATTGTATGCGGAATGGAGTCTAAAGGAGACAATGGCGAGTTCTCGCCCAAGGTGGAGAAGTTTGAGCACACAACTGGCCACCGCTCTTCTGTAGCGAGAGCGGAGAATCTTGCTTCAGAGTTTGAGAATCCTCTTGCTACCCGGACTGAGGAGGAGGTTCTTTCTGATGTCGAGGAGTTCTGCCGCAAGCATAACCTCATGGACTTCATCGAAGACTTCCGCCAGGGAGCATTGGTCGCCCGAGATCCCCAGAATTCCCTTAAAATGAGTGGCCTTAGCGAGGAGAACAGACGCGTCTTGGAACGGGAAGAAACTCACCGCTGGTCCCAACCCTTTACACTCTATTGGCTGTGTGTCATGTGCTCTGCTGCGGCCGCCGTCCAAGGCATGGACGAGACTGTCAACAATGGCGCTCAGGCTCTATACTTGGAACATTTAGACGTCGCCGGCCCCAATGTGACAAGGTTTGACAAGTCAATGCAAGATAACCTCACCGGCCTCATTGTCGGAGCCCCCTACCTATGTTGCGCCATCATTGGTTGCTGGATGACCGAACCAATGAACCGCTGGCTGGGGCGGCGAGGCACCATCTTCTGGTCGTGCTTCATCGCTGCTGTCACCTCCGTCTGGGAAGGTGTCGCCAATACTTGGGTCAACCTCTTCCTTGCGAGATTCTTCCTCGGGTTTGGCATAGGGCCCAAGTCGGCTACTGTCCCTGTTTATGCTGCCGAGTGTGCCCCAGCACCCATCCGAGGCGCCCTAGTCATGCGTGAGTTTCACAGAAGTCTTTGTTTTGCAACAACTCCCTACTAACACCTGATCTAGAATGGCAGATGTGGACGGCCTTTGGTATCATGCTTGGCAATATCATGGGTGTGGCTTTTGGCCCATCAACTGGCATTGACCCTGACCTCGGATGGCGATTGATGCTTGGGAGCACGGTAGTTCTTCCCTTGATTGTATGTGTTCAGGTCTATTTCTGTCCTGAATCCCCAAGGTATGTGTATTTGTAGCCCCGGATCTCTTGAGAATTACCAATCAACTGACTAAAATGACAACCCCCAGATGGTACATCCAGCACAACAAGCCTGAAAAGGCGTTTCGATCCTTCCAAAGACTTAGGTTCACCAACCTCCAAGCTGCCCGAGACACGTACTATACATATGTTGGTGTTGAACTTGAGCGTGAGGCGAACAGAGGCAAGAATCTCTTCACACAGTTCATCGAACTCTTCACTGTTCCTCGCAACCGGCGGGCTACTCTTGCTACCTGGATAGTCATGTTCGGCCAACAATTCTGTGGTGTAAGTAAAGCATTCCTTCATCCGAGATTACGTCCAATGAAAACAAACATTCGCTAATATGCTTTGAATAAGGTCAATATCATCGCATACTACTCTACCACAATCTTCGTTGAATCTGGTTATTCTACCAACTCTGCCCTTCTTGCATCAATGGGAACCGGTATCTTGAACTGGGTGTTCGCGATTCCTGCTCTCTTCACGATTGATCGCTGGGGACGTCGAAATCTTCTCCTATTCACGTTCCCATGGCTTGCCCTCTTTCTACTGTGGACGGGAATGTCCTTCTTTATCCCCGACGACACTGACGCGGGCACCAAGAAGCGTGTAGCCATGGTCACCACCGGGATGTATCTTTTTGAGATATTCTACTCGCCGGGCGAAGGCCCCGTGCCCTTCACATATTCAGCCGAGGCGTTTCCTGTACATGTGCGTGACGTCGGCATGTCCTTTGCCACGGCCACGACCTGGTGCTTCAACTTTATCATATCCTTCTCGTGGCCGCACATGGTCTCTATATTCCAGCCGCAGGGTGGTTTTGGGTGGTATGCAGGCTGGTGCATAGTCCTCTGGTTTCTCATCCTACTCTTTGTCCCAGAGACCAAGGCCCTCACGTTGGAAGAGCTGGACCAGGTGTTCAGCAGAGGCACACGCGAACATGCGAGCTATCAGATCAAGAACGCAATCTGGCATCTTAGAACGACTGTTTTCCGCCAGAAGCTTGAACCACTACCTCCATTCTACGAAAATTCTCCCAAACTCAACAAGGCGTAATGTTGTTATGATCTGAAGATTAGCTCACCACATTTATATATATCATGACGATATTGGAGGTTTCTCAACTGAATGAGCAGTTTTCTTTGTCTTTATCAATATTCCCCTTTCTATTTTGTATGCGTTTATTTATTCATAACTTAAATATCGAACCTATTCTGTAATATACCAAGGCCGAAGTTAGTGACTACGATTTGGCAGACGAATGGGCTGAATGACTCACAATATCAAGCAGTTAAGAGAAATGGAGTAAGTGGATATAATATCCTTGTGTTAAAGAGTGCTCTCCGGGCCTGTTCAACCAGGGAGGCAATGTATTAAGTTTATCTCTAGGTACAAAAGAAAGAAGGGTTTCCTTTGAGAGGAAGCAGTGAGATAGCGGCTTTTATGGTGCTTCCTGCTTGAGTAATTCCAGGGTCTAGGAACCCTCAGGTGACCGGGATCCCTCTTGTGAGACCACGTAACCCTAGCGGAGCTCTTTGAAGAATACCCAAAGTGTTATAGAAGGATATGAGCCGAAGTGCTGACAATTACCTACATCCTTTACTACCTATATTAAACCTATAAAACTCCCTCGCGGTACTCTTTTTCCATGGTCTGAAAGATTGAATACATGTTTCCCATTAGCTGATCCGTATTGCCAGAGTCATCTGATATCTGAATTGAAGGAAACATGGGGAAAATATCCTCGATGGATTGGAAAAATTCAAAATCAGGCTGAATGATACTCTGAGTTTCGTCACTACCAACAGCTCGCTCGCCATTGCCATCGTCCCCCGAGGAAGCATTGTTAGCCGATCGTCGTGCCACGCTCAGCGTATCACCGATGGGTCTTAGGCCGCGAATGAACCTCCAAAGCCGTCGAGATACAAATGAGTCTCCGCTCAGGCCGTGAACCAGGTCCAGAGCAGCCTGGAATTCGTCCCGGATAGTGTGTGCAAACTTGTCCGGGGTCTGAGAGGCGGCCAATAGTATGACACCCAATGCAAGTACCAAGAAGTAGTTGAAACACATTTGTTGCGTCGAATAGATATCCGTCGAGCGATTCAGATCGTCAAGTTTCCGAATGATGTCCTTTGCAAGTTCGACTACCTTTTCGGCGGTCTCGGGATGTTGTCGTATGCGCATCGGCGAATGAAGTACCGGCTGGTGCAGAAGGATCCTTAACTGGCATTTGCGCAAGTAGAGGAGCATCCGCAGCCGCTTCATTCCACGTGAGAAGTGGTCACTTTCCTTGCTTCCCAGCTGTAGTTCCGCTGGAAGGTCGTCCCACCATTTGGTTATGCGAAAGTCGAGATATGATGTTTCATCCTGCCTTTTCCGACTGCAAAGAATGGTTGACGAGGCGTAGGATGTGTACCATACAGTCGACATGATATGACTAAATGAAACCATTGCTTTCAGATACGGCACCTCGTCGTCCTAAGGGACATATCATGTTAGTTGAAATGACGCAACTTCTGGCAACCCATAACTTACCGGTTCCGGGGAGGATTCATCGACATCGGAGTCCTGAATCACGAATGGCAGCCCATTTCCAAATCCCCAGCGGCGATCCAGGGTATACACACACCAGAATACGCGGACGGCCATTTTTCGATCATGGTCGCTTCCAGGCATTTGGCGAATGACTTGTGCCTGGTTCAGGCCAATCTCCAGGCACCAGCGAGCAACAATCCCAGTGAGCCGCCAAGCGCGCGTGTCGTTGTCGGCCAGGAACTCCCACATGGCCTAGTAGCGATAAGTCAGCTATGTATTTGTATTGTGGTTGGAGAATTGCCTGGCTTACCAGGAGAAAGAAAATAGTTATAATGGGGATATCCACGTCCTCCCAAATCCTGTCTTGAACAGAATATTTCACATTGTCAAAAAGGGCCTTGGCTAATTCTCCTGGACCACTTGTTTCGGTAATCAATGCGGTCGCAAATACCAACTTGATTAGGCTCAAGTCATCGCGTCCAAGTATTTCCGTGTTTTGCAACGGTATGTTTGAACATCCATTGAGGGACAAAAGCTCTAGAGAATTATAGAGTTGCCTGACATTGTTTCGGATGGTTCCCATATCGAGGAACGGGTGAGAGATGTTAATCTCCTCCTCGTAGACACCGCAGAGTCTAGATGCTTCTTGGCTGGATATCAACCAGATGGGATCCAATTCAGGACTGCGCCGCTGTATATCCTGCACAGCGGGCGACGTCATCCGACTATTCCTCGTAGTCGTGCCAATATTAGCGTTGTTGTCATTTCTATCGTCTTGGAAGAAACCATTCGCTTTCAGATTTGTCTGTGCAAGGTTAATGTTAAACTTATAGTGTGCGGCTGCCGCCGTGTTGGTGCTCGCAGTTCTAGGTTCGGAGGCTTGGCTGAGATTATTTGAAGCTACACTCAGCAAGGGGGATAAATCATTCGGCTCCACTGGGGCACCTAGGTGAACAAATGTCCCGCTCTGACTGCCTGCATATGCTGCGTGATCCTGAGGGGAGGGTGAGGGTATCAAAGTGCAACTGGCTGGTTCTGGCTCCTGCGGAGGATCTTGCTTAGTGCCTGCATCTGGTTGATCACTAGGAAGTTCGACATCCAGCACTGTTGTTGGTTGCAAAAGAGATTCGCCATCTTCTTCGGCCTCGAGCTGACGACTCCGCATTGACCTACTTTAAATCATATTTGTTAAGAATAGGATCAGCCCGTTCATCCTATTTAGATACTCACGAGAGAGCTGCACGCCGCCGGGTTGCGTATGGGGGAAATGTGCCTATCCAGTGTGAGCTCCATTTCTCTTTATCGAGGTAGTCCGTGCTAGCCTACACTGTTTGCCACCTTTTGCACATGGGTTGCAAGGATGAGCACCATCACACTTCGTTTTGCGTTTCTTGCATTCGTAACTAAGATCGTCAGTCATGTCATGACCAAAGAGAGAAAATTCAAGGCCAAAGCGGTACCATGCAAGATTTACATAATGCCCTCTCTTTTTCCTTGTTGGTAGTTGCGATGCTACGCCCCTCCGACCCAGGCCTTGGCGGGCATGTCTATCGGCGCTGCTGGCTTGAGCGGTCCCAGGAGCCATAATTGCAGCAAGGACCGCCGAAAAAGGAGGCAGAAAAGCTTTACCAACGAGGGACACCTTCACGATACTTTGCTACCAACTATGAGGCGAGTTGGAGAAGCGAAAAACTGGTTGGACATTGCCATGTCGGAAATCGGAAGTAGTTGGTTCTTATGTAATCCAGGTTCGGAATTCAATCAAATCTACCCCGCCTTTACCGCCAGCCAATGGAGATCCAACAACCCTCACTTATAGTGGGGAGAATAAACCTATAACAAAATCCACATGGTCGTTTGGCGGGCTGCATGCGGGGAATTCTACCAGCCAAGCAAGCACTTATTTATACATACCTTAGTCTGTGCAAAAAATGGTTGCAGACTTGCCCTTGGTCGCCCTTTCTCTGAAGTCTTGTTCGGTGTTTTGTATGACAAGGCAAGCAATTTGTAGCATTAGTATCTTTACGATACTCGTGCGCACTTCGTTTGAAGAAGATAGTTTGAGGAGTATTAGTGGGATAGCGGAACACGACGTGGTCGAAAGAAGAAACCAAATAGGCAGTCCTGAAAAAGAACTCCATACGATTTAAACAATTATGATTTGATTACTCCCTTTTGTAGGATTGGGCGGCAACAAATGGGTTAATCTCGATCCATTGATGATTCAGGGTAGCAGAGAATAATCAGCGCCGAGATGAGCTAGTCCCATCTATGCCTTTAACTACCTTGACCGAATATGATTGTGATGCCAAACATACATACATAAATGAGGACAATAGAAAGTCTTGAAAAATCGTCTTAATGGGAATTGTCAATGTATTGTACAGAGCCACGGCATGGAAGCGGGAAAGGCAATTTAGTAAAGCAACCTAAATATGTGCATCTGTCAACAGGTGAAGGGCCTATGAGCCTCGCCACTCTCAAACTTGCGCTTCTTTTCGGCGTGAAATGTATGTGTCAGCAAAAGGCTTTCTATTAGCACGAGGAATAATAGGTAGACTTACTATCTCAGACACGCTGGAATAAGTGCCCCAGCCAAACATTATTATACCCACTAGAAAGACGGTGAGATTGGCGATTGCGGCTCCAATGTTCTGACGATCATACCATCGCCCCTCTTTGAGCAAAAATAGCCATAGGATAGAGGGTACGTAAAACGAAAAGGATGAAACAAAGAGAGAGGAGATGATTGATAATAATTCATAGAAAAGGGGAATGGCTTCAGAAATAACCCAGGCGAGTACCGCGACAGTAAAAACCAGAAGAAGCCAAGTTATCCAGCCTCCCTTTGTGTTGATATGCCGGAGTAGCGAGTGCTGAAATGTCTGTCCGTGTATGAAGCGACAAATAACTGTAATGTTGATGGATCCCGATATGAAAATAACTGGAAAGGCGAGCCCAAATGCGATTTTGGAGATGGTCGGGCTCGCTGATAGTAGAGCTGGCGATCGCACATCTTGGCCAATAAAAGCATATAAGATAGCACCCGTGAAAGTGTAGATGCCAATTTCAATGATACCAACAGCCACAATGGATTTGCGAAAGTCCTTTGGCGTATGCAGTTCGTCCATGAATGAAGGCATAGTGACGGCGAAGCCATAGGCAAAGACGATATTCATAATTGCAGTCATACTCTCGGCGAAGGTTGTGCCGTCTTTCGGCCATGCTGACCATGCCGAGTGTCTGGTAGGGGAGTCGACACCGGTGGCAATAATCGTAACTCCAATCGCTGCAATGATTGAAATGAAGTCAATGTAGCCTAGGATTGCAACCTCTGAGAAGGATGGGGGGATAGCTAGAAGAATTAGAGCAATAGTTGAGATGGCGCTAAAGACCAAGGAGCAAATGTTGCTGCTTGTGATGGCGACAATGGCAGTTTTCCCGGTAAGGCAGTGTGACCCGACGACCAAAAGAAGCTGTACAACAAAGCCAAAACTGAAAAGGTAAAACCCAAAACTTCCCAATAACAGACGGCCAATATCAGCGTAGTGTTTTATGCCTGGATACTTAAGTTTGACTTGTCCGATGACAAAGGCCGCGTACATAGCTGTCATGCCGATCCCGATACATAGCACAATGCCAAGAAACATTCCTAGGGTTGCAAATGCGGAGGGAAGGCTGAGAGTGCCTAGAGCAACGGCTTCCACAATCAGGAGAACGACAAGTCGCTTCCATCCAAGCCGCCGGAAGCGGTCATCAGTATTGATTTCCCCCATGTCCAACGTGCTCGCTTTTGAGAGCACGCCGTGGTTTTCATGAGGCCCTGGTGCGACAGTGACAGAGTCCTTGAAAGAACCTTGTCGCTTCTTCGGATTTCTCCCCGGATTAAAGTCTGCCTCGGCGATCTCATGTTGATCCATCGTTTTGGCACCTGAAGCTCAAGTCTAGGGATGGAATCGATCGAGTTGATAGAGTTAATGTGTGTCGTTGTGGCAACTGACTGTTCTCTGTGGCGAGGAGAGTAGTTGGTTTAACTGAGCCTATCAAGAACTACTACACGGCTTTTAAGGTTCCCTGATTGCTGTTGGGATAGAATAACAATGGGTTAGATGGTGAATGTTATATAAAGCGATGATTGGAAGACTGCATTACATGCCGGTTTAACCCAATGTAGAGTTACTGTAGGTGCTATCTATGCCGGAATGGATCAGGGGATTGCAGGATCAACGACTTGCCCCTGAATTCCGGTATTATTCCATGAGCCCAGATCGGCTGACTCGCAATTGCCGACTAGTTCCGATCGATATTTTATAGGTGTTTGGTTCATTCGGAATTCCGCTTCTTCGTGCGTCTTGGAGTCCATCCAAATGAAGTCTCAACCACTCTTCTGGGCTTTCGGAAAGTTTTTGCTCCAACCTCGCACCAGTTCCGGAACTTTCTAAGTACGTTATGGAGGGTTTGTAGTTTATACCCATGGGGCCCTTCTCCGGGAAGAGCTGGGCTACCGGCCCTAGTATGATACCGGGCTCGAAAAAGCTGGCACAAAGATAATGTTCAGATATGAGCGGTGGTAGGAATATTGCAAAACGCTTGATAGATAGGCAAGGTATTCAAGCCAAGTTTCTTCGGAATCGACTTTGTTGAGGAGGCGTAGATCATATTGGCATGTTTCGCCAGATCATGAGAATGACAATCTCCCTTTGTCTCCCTTGGACTGACTCTATTTCTTAATAATAACATTTTCTCAAGTACATATATGACATATATAGCTCAGATGAGTCCCTTGATACTGAGGTTTTGTTTCCCTCGTCTCTATCTGCAGTGCCAACGTACTGTCACTTACGCACAGTTTCTCAACGATAGTCTTGGCCAGTTAACATCGGTAATTGTGAGTTTTCACTTTACATAGAATATAAGCTTAAGCGTATTGTCTTGGTAGCGCTGAGGACAGGAAATATGACACTAAGTGCCTTATAGCATGATTTAATTCCGACTCGTATGTGGCGAAATAGGCTGGACGGGAATCTTCCGCCGCGGTAGCCGATTCCGAGCTCAACTTGCCCTTGGGTTTTCTTTGTGTAAATTGATATTGATGAGATACTTGTCTAAAATATTACTCGTCTACACAGATTGCATCAACTTTTAATATCCAAGATTGATTTGGTCATTTTGCTCACCAACTCTGTAGTGTCACGGAGCAAGGAAGAAGGCTGCAAGTAGATTGTTTACGGTTGAACGACTGATAAAGTTTCCAATATAACAAGAGCTATTGGGCACATCCCTGGCCACTCGGGGGGGTGCATGAAGATAGAGGGAAAATTACTTCAAGCCAGTGGACCAAAATAGGAGCTGTAAAATGATACCTTTCGGATATTGATTTACATGATATATTCTATGATTCATATTCAGTCTACATGAAGAGTATTTCTAACTCGCAGAGGCAGAGTAACTCTCTAATAGACGCTTTAAAATCACCGGTGCATCCATTCTATCCATCATTATTTCAACCATACGAAGTCCGGAACCGTATTTGAAGTCGTCATTGGAGATGATCTGCATGAGTTCCCCCCAATTGGACGCTCGAGCCGTCGTAGTCTTGTACGAGCCATCTGTAGGTGCTCCAAAGCAGTGAGGAGCCTCGAGGTAGCGCCAGGGCGCGATATCGTTGTACACTTCGTCTTTGCCATGAACAAGCCTTTCGATTGTGTAACCGTCGTTATTTATCAGGAAGATGATCATGTCGAGTCTTTTATGGATGATAGTGCTGAGCTCTTGAGCAGTCATTTGAAAACTACCGTCACCCTCAAACAGGATAGTTCTGCCCGTTCGAGACCCCTCGGCTGCCAAGTCTCGCTGGGCGAGAGCTACTCCTTGCGAGGATCCGAGCATGTAGCCGATAGAGAGCCAAACACCCGAGTTGACCAGGGTCGTCTGTTGTGGTAACACAAAGTCACGACCGCCGGTGCTGGGGGTACCAGTCTCAGTCATGATGATATCTCCGGGCTCAAAGAACTTAGAAATCCGCCTCCAGAACGTGTCTTGTGTAAGGAGGTCAGAAGGTTGAGGGGCAGCCAAGTTGTCCAGGTGAGCCCGTAAGTTGGGCAGATCCGGGTATTCGGCGTACTGGGTAAGCATGCTGGGATCCAGTTGAGCAAGGACTTGACGAAGAACGCCTGCGGGGTGCAAAAGCCATTTCTGGGCCTCATTGTTCAAGCTACCGATCACCACAGAGTCTTCATCCAGGGTGACTGTCTTGGATGGCTCCGGGATTGTTTTGAAATAGTACGTATTCACGTTGTTCTGGAACGGGCCAATGTAGAGAACTAGGTCGCATTTCTCTACCCAGGGGACATAAACATGATCCCCCACGGTGCCATATACTCCGTGGAAATTTGGCAGCGTCTCATCCACGATGCCTTTTCCGAATGGGGTTGTGGCGGTGGGAAACCCAGTCGCTTGGACGAGAGCATTCGTCTCTGCCGCCATACCATAACGTGAAGCACCCGCATCAACAAGAATGAACGGTTGCTTTGCTTGACTGATTCTCCAAATGATCAAATCGGCAGCAGCCTTCTCAGCATCGGCATCATTGGGGCTGGGGGATGTGTCTAATGGCCTTGAAAGCGCCGAGAGTGGCACTTTCGCTTCGACCATGTCCGCCGGGAGCTGAATATACACTGGGCGCTTGCGCTGAATGCAGGTGATCAGCGCTTGGTCGATCTGGTATGTTGCCGCCGACGCATCCATCAAGTTTTCTTGGGCCACGGTGATCTTGGCACACATCTCGGCAAAGACGGAGTAGTCATCTGGGCTGCCATTGCAAAGCGAATGATGCAGTTTCGCGCCGCGCTGTTGCAGAGCACGCGCCGGAGTTCCCACGATGTGAACGAGAGGGCTTCGCTCCACGTAGGCTCCCGCAATGGCGTTGATTGCTGAAAGCTCACCCACGCCGTATGTCGTTATCAGTGCCCCAATTCCCTTGATCCGACCGTATCCATCTGCTGCGTACCCAGCATTGAGTTCGTTACAGTTGCCAACCCAATCGAGTCCAGCCGGTTTGATGTAGTCGAGCGCGGTCAAATTGAAATCTCCAGGCACACCATGGACAGCCCGTAGGCCGACCTCATAGAGGCGCCTGAAGAGGAATTCAGCAAGATCAATGTGTTGGGACATGACAGGGCACGCGCTTTGGGTTATGGAGAAATTCTCTGGCAAAATTCAATGGAGTGGTGGTTACCAGGACAGGTAACCAACTTCAAGATATTTAACCCGGATTCAAGGCTGGTGGTCTTTTATCTCTTCTGACTGTGGGGAAAATAATACTCTGAACACAAGAAAGAACGTTTGATCTAGGGTTTCCGAAATTCCCCCCACGGCTGTTTGATTTGCTTTTACTTTGCTTGTGATCTGGCAAATTCCGTTGACTGCTGGTGAATTCCGGACCAGACCATCGGAAGTAAAACGGGTCCCCAGCCAATTCCGCAAACTTACAACACAACCCAAATGGTGTCAAATAAAGTGTACGCATTGATGGAAATTGGGTTGGTGTTCTTCACGTTTGTTGCCCTTCTTTGTTTTATCATCTCTCTATCATTCCGTTGCAATATGGCAGGCATGATATCGGCGGCAGAAGCCGCAACAAACGGCTTTGCATCAGACACGATCGATCTTGTCGCGTACAATGCGGCTCTTAGCGACGAGCCATTCGAAGTCAACAAAGCCTTCCATCAGGATCCCGATCCTCGAAAAGTCAATCTTGGAATTGGTGTGTATCGCTCTGAACAAGGCGAGCCGTGGCCACTGCCGGTTGTGCAGAAAGCAGAGCAGATTATTCATCAAGAGAGCGATCCTTCACGGCATGAGTATGGCGCAATTACGGGGGATGAAGATTTTCTTAGCGCTGCCCGGCAACTGGTTTTTGGTCCCGAGGATGATGGAAATCGACAAGAGCTTGCTAGAGTGACGTCCGTCCAAACAATTTCCGGAACTGGAGCGAATCATCTGGGTGCCATGTTCATGGCAAAAAGGTTCAAACCGACCAATGTCTGGCTTCCCGAGCCTACTTGGAGCAACCACTATACTATATGGGACTTTGCAGGAGTAAAGTGTCGAGCATATCCCTATTACAACGTCAATACCCAGATGCTTGACTTTGAGCGGATGATCGAGGTTTTGTCGACCCAGGCACAGAGGGGTGACGTGATTGTGCTTCATGCGTGTGCCCACAATCCAACGGGGACTGATCCCACCAAAGATCAATGGGAGCAAATTGCCGAAACCTGCCAAAAGCTCAGACTGGCCATTCTTTTCGACTCTGCTTATCAGGGGTTCGCTACCGGTGATATTGACAATGACGCCTGGGCAATCCGGCATTTCTTCCGCAGGAAACCTGCAATGAACTTATGTGTAGCCCAGTCATTTTCTAAAAATTTCGGGCTCTACGGTCAGCGCGTAGGTGCTTGTCACTTCGCAGTGGATTCCAGCTCGATTGAGGACAGCGTCCGCTCGCAGTTGGCCTACTTGATACGAGCAGAGTATTCCATGGCGCCAAGTTGGGGTGCTGGCATCGTCAAGCGTGTTCTCCTAGATCCAGAATGTTATCGAGAATGGAAACAAGATCTACTTACTATGAGTCGACGAATTCTCAAGATGAGGAGCGCCCTTTACTCTACGCTCATTGAATTGAAAACTCCCGGATCTTGGGAGCATATTCTCTCTCAGGTACCTTCTATCCTGCATGGCTTACCTTACCTGCCCTTCAGACTCTGGTTCTAATATAGCTTAAATTTAGGTCGGAATGTTCTCTTATACCGGCCTTAGCCCTGCTCAGGTTTCTCTCATGCGACAGAAGCATCACATCTACATGCTGAAATCTGGCAGGATATCATTATCTGGCTGTAAGTTGAGCCACAGATGAGATTAAATGTTCCTTCTGCTGACCTATAGGACAGTGCAACCTCGAAACGTGGTCTATGTGGCCAACTGTATTGACAGTGTCGTGAGAGAGGCGTCAATCAACTAAGAGTCAGCATAATTCAGGCCTTGCTAGGGGGAAAGCTGATGTTCCAGATGCGGGCATCTTGTCATTGCGGGCCCACCTCTTGGATGTAGGAGCAGTTCACTATCATTCCGTGAGGGCCAGGGGTATTAACAGATGTCGTATTACACATCTTATAATACTGGATGGGGACACATGGATTAGCTCTCTTGAAGCAATGATAGCCGACCTTGGTCAATAGCCGGTTAATCGAAGTAGCAAACTCCCTTTAACCGCAAGTAATCATCATATCAGGCCTTGCAAATCTCGCATCAGCTGGTTCAAGAGTAATTTGTCTCTCACCCCTTCCTTTTCATAGAATTAAGCCCTGATGCTATGTTGAAACACTTTTATCGACTAGCTAAATCTGCTTTCCAAGGCGAATAAATAATGAGAGTAGAGGTGTTGCTAGTGCAGCAATGCCTCGGAATTGGAACCCAATACGAGTTTCAATATCACTTATGTTGCGTGACTCCTCCCACTCTCATGTATTTTCCATCTTGGCGGGATTTATTATCCCTGCTTCTAAGCGCTCCATAAACTAGGTAGCTACTTGCCAGGCTTTTGTAGGGAGATAACTCACAACTTGGATTTCTTATGGAATAGTGCATCAAATTAGACCCGGTCAGCGTATACTAAACAAAGGGCAAAAGAAAAATTGTTTGTGATGCGTGAAGTAAACAGACGGCTGTCTGAATTGCAAATAACTACAAGGAGCAGGAGAGCATAGTGCTCTCACTCTAAACTTCAGCTTCTTCAATGGTATAAGCGTTGCATAATTTCCCTCAAGGTTATTGGTTGTGTAGAATCTAGGAATTGAAACAATGAGGGTAATGATCAATTAGTTGATTCAGTGAGATCTCTTAGATTGAAATACATTCTGATCTTGATAACAACGTAGCTGACTAGGAACTCAGTGACAACTCAATAAGAGTGCCCGTGATGAATCTCAGAAAGGACCATTTCTGTTGTCTTGTGTCATCAAACAGTGAGGGGCTGAGCCATATCATCCGTGGCATTGAAACTAATCCTCCCCGCCGGCAGAAAGTAAAGTGCAACAACTGCACCGTTTCGCACCTAGTCCAACCTCGTTAGCTTGTGTCTTTCAGTTTTGGAATTGATACCTACCTCGGGATAATGATGTGTTCCCGCACCTGGGCTAGTCCAGCCAGCGCCTTGCCATCCCTTCATCCCTTTCAGTTCAGCCCCGTCATCGATCTGCACAACGCAATTGATCTCGCCATAAGGATGAACATGATACTGTCCTCTGTACACATCCTTACTATTCATATAGACGGTAGTGATACTGAAAAACCTCGTCTCCGGCTTAGGAAGACTAACTCTGGATCGCCTGTATTTCTCACCGTCGATTTCAATTGAAGCACACCATCCTTCCTTCTCTTTTATGCCCTTGCGCACATACTTGACAAAATCTTCATAATATGGGTTTCCGGGTCCGTAATTTTCGTTAAGATATTTTTCAAGATCCTGTCCGGGTGTCCTATTCCTGTCAGCATGAGAGTTTGTGATGGGTCACGAGTCGCAGCATACAAGTCTTGAACCTCAGCAAAGAATTCCGCGCATCTTTGCACCAAGGCCTTCGCGGTAGGGTATTTCTCAAGGTCGACTTCCTCTTTCGCGTCCCCAAAGGTAGCAGGCAGTTTGTCAGTGATAGACATGATTCTAGTGAACGATGTTGCTCAGTCGGCAGCGTGAGAAACTCGATGCCTACTGCCACTATTATGTGATGAAGGTAGTTATAGCGTGTTGGGGGAGCGGTGGACTACATGTATAGGAGGTGAAGCTGTGTAGGAGCGTGACAGACAAAGCTATTAGAAGTAATTCCTTGAGCGCCGGAAACTGATAGCTATGCAATCTACGGAAATAGTTACGTATCTTGGAGACCGTTTCCAGCTGTCTCTGTAATGTCAAGGACTACGGAACCAAAAACGTGGGAATAAACGTGAATTCCGTATCTTGGAAAACCGATGAAAATGCTCACATATTATTGTGTTCACGGAAATTACGTAATGACACCATTGTATTGCCTTGCAATAATCTCTGTGAAGCATAGAATATTCCACGGAAGCAGAGGCTTGGAAAAGTTGCAGAAAAGCTAATTCCGTGAGCCCGGAAAGGTAGCGAATGAGCGATCGGCGGAAGTGGCTCACACGGAATGTCTGACATCCCAATTTCGACCTTTGGTATCATGCCGGGCCGAACCGCCACTGGTGCAGTGACAGCACGACCTTCGTGTCATATCAGGATGCGACAGCTCCAAGAATTACCATGGGGACTTTGCCTGGAGTCCAGGTTCCATTCCGGCAGCATCTCAAAAGAACTCTATAAGATCTTTGTATTCTCCTTCATTGTTGATTCCTAGCTCTCCACAGAACAAAATATTAATTCAAGTGTTGAATTCATGTATCAAGACATGAATAAGAATATGGATGAGACTATTGAGCGGCTTGATATTGCCATCATTGGTGCAGGTACGTTTACGAGCACCGGAAGCTGCAATAACCACCTAGCTAACCATCTTAGGTTGGCATGGCCTGGCAATGGCCAAGACGTATCGAGAGGTTCTCCCAGATGCCAAAATGCTAATCTTCGACGGGGCACAGTCTGTGGGGGGGACTTGGGCCAAGGAGAGACTCTACCCAGGGTTGAAGACTAACAACCTCCTTGGCACGTATGAATTTTCGGATTTCCCAATGTCTCCGGAACGCTTCGATGTCAAGCCAAATCAACATATTCCCGGGCACGCTGTTCACGAATATCTGGTGCAATTTTCCGAACACTTCTCTCTCACCTCTTTGATTCGACTAAAAAGAAAGGTTGAGTCTGCCGAGCTGATGGAGGATGGTAGTTGGAAGCTCAGCCTTGTCTCTACTGAACTAGGACGGGAGGCAGAGTCCTGTATCATAATCGCTGGCAAAATTGTGGTTGCCACTGGCCTCACATCAGAGCCATTCGTACCTACCTTCACCGGGCAAGAAACTTTCAACCGAGGCTTATTCCATGCAAAGGATTTGAAGAGTCGCGCCAAAGAGATCGAGAACGCCACAAGCGTTGCCGTCCTTGGTGGAAATAAGTCCGCCTGGGACACCTGCTTCTTCGCGGCCAAAACTGGAGCGCATGTACACATGATTATGAGACCAGGCGGTGGTGGTCCAAGTTGGGTTTGGCCAGTCTTGTTCTCGCCTCTCAAGGTCTCGATCCAACGCTTGGCTGCAACAAGATTCTTCACTTGGTTCGATCCCTGCATTTGGAGCGAACGTGATGGTGCCGTGGGTTGGATACGCGGCGCCCTTCATGGCACTTATTTTGGCCGAAGAGCAGTGTCTAAGTTTTGGGGAATGCTCGAAGGCTTCGCTTCCAAGGCCCATCGCTATGACGAGCACCCAGAAACGCAAAAGTTAAAGCCATGGGTGAGCCCTTTCTGGATGGGAAACTCGCTTAGCATCCACAACTACGTCTCCCCCTGGTTCGACCTTGTCCGTGAGGGCAAGGTTACGGTGCATATTGCCGATGTTGTATCACTATCAGCAGGTACGGCCCATTTGTCTGATGGGGGCGAGCTCAATATCGATGCATTTGTCTGCTGTACTGGATGGGTCACACAACCTCCGATCAAGTTTTTGCCTGAAGGGATTGACCTGTCATTGGGTCTACAGAACTTTGATAATGCCGAGAACCGCTATTTGACAGAGAAGGCTCGTGCAGAAATCTTTGCTCGGCTACCTGCTGTGCGAGGGTTGCCGGTTCGTACCCTCCCCCCTGGAACCGTAGAGCCAAAGCAGAATGCTGCTACTTCTGTCAAGAAGACGTCCCACAGCTATCGCCTTTACCGTTTCTTGGTGCCCTCTGACGAGAAGATGTTTACCCAACGGAATATTGCTTTCATTGGTTCTCATCTAGCGCTCAATGCCATTATGATCGCACAACTGCAAGCACTCTGGGTCACGGCCTATTTCATGGATGAGTTGCCTCACCTACAGTCGAGCTCCTTGGACTACGATGAAGTCAAATATGAAACAGTGCTTCATTCTGAATACTCTCGCATCCGTCACCCTCATTCGGCTGGCGGGGCTGGTGATAGATGCCCTGATTTGACGTTTGACTGTTTGCCATACATGGACCTGCTCTGCACGGATCTTGGGTTGAAGAAGTACCGGAAGACGGGAATTATTTGTGAAATTTGGTATCGATATGGACCAGCGGACTTTCAAGGTATGGTACAGGACTGGATCAGCAGGAGAGAGCGCCTTGCCCAAAGCAAGATGCCAAATAGCATGTAGGTGTGGGTGCTTGGGGTGGTGGGATGCTGTGATGCGATATGTCACAATGGAGATTAAGGCGAGTTTTTGTTTATATGCAAATGAACTGATAGCAATTCCAAAGTTGGAATCGGCTCTAGAGTAGCAGAGTGACAGCCATATTTATGTAGTGAATGGGGATGTAGCGACAAAGTTAGAGATCGTTGATATTAGGTTGACTTCTGTGCGATGACCCTCTGTATGGTTTGATGAATTCACGAAGGACTTTAGCAGTATGAAGAGTTCTATTATGAATCTTGTTTAGAGGTCGGTTCAGTAGACACGTTTGTTTTTTCTGTACTGATATCGCATGCCATCATAGTAGCACACTTTCAATAATGCTCCCTGGACGTGAACAATACTTTACAGTCAGATGGTAGGGCTCGTTGGAAGAAGTGATGCTTCTATGACAATTGATGCTATGAATCTTATGAGAAAGTCTCCGTAGAAAATCAAAATAGTATTGCATACTTTGGGGTTTCCTATTCATCTATTGTTATCGACGAGACGATGTCGATCTCTCCAATACTTCGTTCACTGTTTTCAGTGCAGTGAATAACTCATCATCATGATATCTCCTAGAAATTACTTGAACAGCAATTGGGGCCCCTTCAAAATCTCCTTCCGCCCAAAGTTGTCTAACGTGCTTACACTCATCGCTCAGGGGAACTTGGTCCTCCGATCCGTAATATTCTGTTCCCTTCCTACAAGCCTTAATGGGGGTCGGGATTGTTGCCCCAGGACAATCCACGTAGTTCCAAAAAGAGGTGTAGTTCCAGTAAAATGTGGTATCGTGCATACAAGCCGGCCCAACAGAGACCGGACAAATAGCAATATCAACTTGTTGAGACGCCCAATGTTCAGCAAATTCATATCGAAATAAGTCACGCTTTCCACGTTGTTCAAGGACGCCTGCTACTCCGATGTCGATATTTTCCACGTCTTTGATAGCCCATGCTGTTAGAGGAAGCATAGGTTCGCTCGTCATTGCAAGATGGCGCTTGAGTGTTCTACCACCATCAGGCCAGTACGCGCTGTTGAGGTTTTTCATAGCTTCGGCAGCACGGAAGGGGACAAAGTCCTTAATATCAAAGAAACCAGACTTCTCTAATTGCGATCGCACCCAAGTTAGAGCCCTTGTAACCGGTGGCTGAGGTGTAATCACACCATCGTTCATCATGAACCCAATGCGTAAACGAGCACCGTCGGGTTGCTTCTCCAAGCGCCGTGGCGTCCATGGAGTAGGGATGAGCTGTGGGTCTTGAATAGAGGGATTGGCAGACATCACAACATTCATGAAAAGGTCCATGTCCCTCAGTGTCGTGGACATAGGACCGACGCATCCCATGATGTTCAGTTCTGCAGCGAAACCGGGCACGTTGAGTAAGAAATCCTTTGTGGGCAGCACATGGGAGGTTGGGCGAAACCCAAATATGCCGCAATAGCCAGCGGGCGCACGTACACTTCCAGCGATATCAGTACCAAGACCAAATAGTGATCCCCTGAGAGCGATGAGAGCTGCTTCTCCGCCGGTTGATCCTCCCGATGAGAGATTAATGTTGAAGGGATTGAGGGTGCGGCCCCAGATTGAAAGCGACTCCAGATGCATAAGGGACTGGGGTTGGTTGGTTTTGCAATAGAAAACAGCCCCGGCATTGCGCAAAATAGCAATTAACTGGGAATCCTTGGTAGCCTTCTGCAAAGTATCAAGAGTTCCAGCCATGGACCAATGTCCAGCAATGGAGATTCTTAACTTAACGCTAATAGGAACTCCATGCAAGGGGCCTATCGGTTTGCCTGTTTTCTCCAAGTAATCGTCGAGATATTCCGCCTGGGCGACTGCCTCACGCATGAACCATTCTGTAAGACAGCATGTGAGCTGGTGGGCAATAATAGCCCGCTTCGAGAAAGCGGTCGCTACAGCCACTGCAGAAAACTTCTTAGATGCTATCGCCTGTGCTAGAGATGTCACGTCGTAGTTTTCAGTTATGTCTATCTCCTGTGCTGATAAAATGCCACACTCTCGAGGAATGGCAGTGACATCGACTGGCGGGTTATGAATGATCGACCGGGGTAGTTTCAACGCATCTGGCACTGCTGCTGCAAACTTCTCTAGTAGCGATGTCCGCAAGGTTTGGTATTTTTGGGATGCCGGCTCAAATGGAATTGGCTCGACGACCGGAAGCAGAGCGGAACTCATTTTAAATCAAGTAATCCAGTAGTTTTCGTGGGAGCGAAGAGTTCAGTTGATAAAACTAACATTTGTGATTTGATGCTTTATGTAGTCCGATAAGCTCGGCTAGAAAGAAGTCACCTAGTCCGGAAATATGAACAGATTAACTGTTAAATATTCCAATACCGTTTGAAACTATTACGCCAACTTCCAGTTTAACGGAATATTGGCTATCCGGAACTTACTTCGGGGAATGGGATGTACCACGGCCCACAAGTTTTATTCTGCCTAAGTAGGCAAAATTAGTGATCAGTCACATATTCCCTCGTTGGTTTATCATCCAGGAACCTATTCCGTGACCTATTCCGCCTATCACTAAATGATTCTAAAGTGTCGTCAAGATAACACTTGTACCATGACGGAAATGACCTATCGGGAGGATCGAAAGGTGTTCGTCTTCGGAATAAAATTTCATACATTTCCGTTACAAAGTAGTATTTATTATCTACAGAGTAGCACCCAAGAAACTAGGGTGCTCAATAATTCTCTATTGTAGCGAACATTCACTCTCTCACATATATTTCTCTAAATGCAGTATTATTTACCGATGCCAAGTATGACAGAAAGAGCTGTCTACAACGATGAACAACTAAGTTGCTACTTCGACCGTATTCATCTTCCCACTTCAAGCCGCCATTTTACGGTTACTAGCCTTGCACCTTCTACACAGCTCGAGGTTTTAACAAATCTCCAAAAACACCAGCTTTTACATGTTCCCTTTGAAAACCTAGCCCTCCATTACTCATGGCATCGCGTTATCGATCTGGATCCCGAACATCTCTTCCACAAAATTGTTCGTGCCTCCGGCAGAGGAGGCTATTGCATGGAAAATAATAAACTTTTCCATGTCATCTTACGTTCTCTTGGCTATAGTGCCTACATGGTGGGTGCTCGCCCGTACGAAATAGCGGCGTCTCAGTATGGTGGGTTCACTCACTGCCTGAATATCGTCGTTATCAACGGCATACGCTACGCTATTGATGTGTGCTTTGGATCAAGAGTGCCGGTCCTCCCTTTGCAGTTACATGAAGGCCAAGTCCAGCCTCATTCGCATCCAGCACAGATGCGGGTGCGATACGACTGCATTCCTCAAGCACTCTGCTCAGATCAGAAGGTATGGATATATGAACATCGAAAAAATGAAAAGGCAGAATGGATCCCGCAGTACTGCTTCGTGGAATTTGAATTTCTCCCTGACGACATCAATTCAATCAACTGGGCACCTGCTAGAAGCCCTTCCAGTTTCTTTACGCAAAGGGTTGTTTGCGTCAAATTCACTGCAGAAAACGAGGTGTATACACCTGCGTATATTGAGAGTGGTGATTATGATGGAGTAAAGCGGGAAGAAACAACCCCCGGTCTTATAGATGGAGCTCTAATACTGGATGGAAATCTGTTCAAGTGGAGAAAGAATGGTGTTAAGCAGTGGGAGGTTGAATTGAAAGCCGAGACTCAAAGAGTGAATGTACTACTGAGGTATTTTGGCATTTCTTTATCAGGACCAGATGTGAGAGCAATTAGGGGAAGCACAGCAGAGATTACCCAGGTGGCGGGCCCAAGCTTACATTGACTACCGCTCGAGAACAATGTTAAGGAATGCTTCTTGAGTTGGCAGGGCTTAATCTGCTTGTTGGATTCTTTATCATTTATTGATCGATATTTGCCCGTAGAGTTAACAAGCTTAGTGTGAAATATTAATCCCACAAGCCCGGTTACTATACAAGATTTCGAGTGTAATGAACGAGGAACATGCCCTGATAGGTAAAAAGAAAATCCCATAAATTACGTCAGGTACATGCGTAATGGGGATTGGAAAGTGATCTCTGAAACACTCAAATTGGGCGCTATGCGGCTGCTCCATCTTTTCACCAGGCCACTTCATTTACTGATACTGCTTCGAAGCTTCCACAAACTTTCGAGCATTCACCTTCTCATGGAACAGATGATCAAGCGTCTCAGCCGTCATACCCTTCAACTCCGGTAACCTAAAGAACGTCCAAAGCGCCAAGAAGACCGTCAAACCCGTTGACACAAACGCCGTCTTTCCTTGCAGGTTAGCCTCGCTTGCGTTGAGAAGGTACGGCGCAACGATGACGTTGATGATGGAGAGGACGTAGTAGGTGATGCGGCCGAGGGAGATGGTTTTGACGCGGAGCCGGGCTGCACCGACGGAAGCGGCGATTGTGTAGGGGATGGGACCGATGCTGATGCCGTAGATGAAGAACCAGACGAGTAGAAGTGCGGCCTGAGCCCAACGGATATTGGAGTTCGATTTCACGGCAAGATCGAGGAAGCCGACAAGACCCATGACGGGAATCATGGCAAAGAGACCGTAGAGGTAGAGTGATCGCCATCCGAATTTGGACATCATGAACCAAGACAGCACCGTGCCAACAAAGGCAAGACCAGCATTTCCTGCAAGCCGTTAGCAAAGATTCTCCAAACTCTACGAAGCCAAGCCATACCCAGGGACATCTTGAACGAGTCGTTCGGTGATAACCCAGCCAGGGTGAAAAAGTAAGTGATGTAGTTCTGGATCGCGAAACCAGGCAAAATCTGGCATCCCCAGCAAATCATCGAAATCTCCGTTCTGCGCAGATTCTCTCCCTTAAAACAGTCCGCATACGAGCCCTGAATGTTCATATCCTGCTCCAATCGAATGGTGCGAGCGATCATGGCCAGTGTATCCTGCGGGTTGATGACGTTTTGCGGTGCCGTGCAGATTCTTTCAAGGACCTTGCCTGCTTCTTCGTTGCGACCTTTCTTGACCAACCACCAGGGTGATTCGGGGGCGAGCCAGGTGGCGGTGGCCATGAAGGGGAACCACATCCATTGCAGGGCAAAGGGGATGCGGTAGGACCATTGTGTCGTGTTGCCCAGCATCGAGGTGATGACGCCAAAAGCGATGAGCTTACCCATGACCCAGCAGAGGTTGACATAGACGACCAGGTATCCTCGAAGCTTCAGGGGCGCAATCTCGGACGCGTACGAAGGTGTTGCCGCGGCGAAGAAACCACAGGGAATTGACCTGCAACTGTCAGCAAGGTCCACCAAACAAATATAAGTGTACGACTTACACAAGGAGTGTTCCAACCATCAACATCTCCACGCCGGTCGCAAAAAATTGTATAAACACAAATGCCGCCAGCGCAACATGGTTCACCAGCATAACCATCCTGGGCCCAAACCGATCCGCGAAATATCCATTCGACAGGCCTCCCAGAATCATGCCCACGTTCGTCACCACCGTCAACCCGATCTGCCACCACGCGGGTATCGACCACTTGCCATTCGGCAGCTGCTCTCCAAAACGTTGGTTGAACTGCGGGAAAGCGAAGAAGGAGGTGATGAGCAGCAGATCGTACGACTCCATGATGGTCGACATGGACATGGCGAGGGACCAGAAGACGGCGCGGTGGTAGTAGCGCAGGGAGTCACGAACGGAAAGAGACGTGTCGACGCGTTGGGCTTCGTCCGCGGCGAGGTCGGAGGGGGAGCGGGAGTCTGAGTCGACTGGCGAGGGGGCTTTTTCGAGGTGAGACATGGCTACGTCGTCTTTGGATGCCATCTTGGCGAACCAATAATCAAAGACAAGACGAAGGGGCACGCAAAGATTGCGAAAGGTGGATAGGAGAGTCGAATGGAAGTCGATGTGTCAGAGGTGGTGAAGTCTGAAGCCTGAGTTGTTCAAGTCGTCTCTGGGAGGTCGGCCACTTCTATATCACTTCCAACCTCAACACCGCAAGACATGATCCAATGAAACCGCATACCCCAGATTTATCGACGCAATAGCAAGGTTCTAGCACGCCATCTCCAGGTTTTCGCAAGATAGTACTCCAGGATTGTCCACGCCCAGGTTCTGAGTTTGCAATTGGTGTAGCACTACGGAAGTCGGATAACCGAGTGGCCGGAGCTAGTTTAGGCGCAGTCATAGTGCGGCGGTGGCCATCCACGGGGTGACAACTAATGAGAAACAGCGATTAAATGGAGTCTCGTGGGGAAATAAAGTTATCGTCCTTGACAGGGTGAGTCGTATGAAGTAGTTCCGTGGTGCCGGGACTCTGTCTAATGCTGCGTGTCCGGAAGCCGGGATCGAATACTGGAGCTGCAAGCCTAGGGTTGCCCTCACGTGGTGTTCACCCAGATGAGACACTCATGGAGGCTATTGTCTACTATTGGGCCTAGAATGTCAGTCTGTAGTAGCCAAGGGTGCCCATGACAAGTCGATGATGGCCCCATAGGCTGACATGACTCGCATTTCACTCTGAAATATCATTGGTACTGACATGAATACGACCATATGCAAACTATGTAGTATAATGAGGAGGGATTCCCTGTACTTGACCTGGGTGTTAGGCAAAGCAACGAGATCGCCCAACTGCAAGATCAGGATCTCATGATGCGGCTTACGATTGGAAGACCTATTAGACCATACCCTGACTCCGGGTGGTTTAGATGATGAACCGAGGAGCTGCATAGTCTCGGTGAGCTTATACGAGAAGAACAGAAATCATTTTTATGTGTTGTCGCGGTGTTACCCTACTGTTATTGTAGCTACAATGCGGACTCTCTTGGATTGATGCTTTGCCGTAACCGAGGAAATGCATCATGTTATTTCTATGTAGATACCCCAACATGTATACACTCGGCGTGCTCTATCTACAGTCATTGGTTTTCATACTTGGTATGTACAGGCTCATCACCAATCTCGTACATCTTATCCTCCAGCTTCTTCTTCATCATCACAACCACATCCTTATACTTTTCCTGCCCATAACAATTGAACAGCTCTAACGGATCCTCATGGCAGTCAAACAACTCCCACTCTTTTTTATCTGCATCACCTGGCCTCGCGCCCTCGAGCCCAAAGTCCTCGTTATACCAGTAAATCAGCTTATACCGCTGATCGCGAACTCCATAGTGTGCGTAGGCGTTATGGATGACATCATTATGCATCCAGTATCGATGGTACGCGACTTGCTGCCAGTCCTCTGGCGTCTTTCCGTGAAGGAGTGATTTAAATGATACGCCTTGCATATATGTTGGAATGCGCACGCCTGCGAAATCGAGGAATGTTGGGGCAAAGTCGACGTTGCAGATGATGTCGTCGCACACGCTCTTTGGCTTGATCTCTCTCGGGTACCGGATCAAGAAGGGCATGAGGAAAGACTCTTCATAAATGAAACGTTTGTCGAACCACCCGTGCTCGCCAAGGAAGAAGCCCTGGTCCGATGTATACACCACAATAGTGTTTTCCGTGAGACCCTCCGCGTCGAGGTAGTCCAACATGCGGCCGACGTTGTCGTCGACGCTCTGGATGGTGCGGAGATAGCGCTGCATGTAGCGCTGGAACTTCCACTCGGCGAGCTCCTCCTTCGTCTTGAAGGTGAAGACGTCTCCGGTGTTTTTGCAGATAAATTTGAGCGAGGTGACATCTTCTGGTGCCGGGATCTTGCGGTCGTTCCACCACCACAAGTCGATCATCTTCTCGCCAATCGCAGCCCTGGGGCCTTCTGGCTGCACGATGCCGAGATCGTTGTAGGTCATGTCCTCTGCTACCTTCATCTTAGCTACCTTGGCCGCGTTGGCACGGTTCTTGTAGTCGTCTGTGAAGGTGTCGGGGAGCTTGACGGGATCTTTGTATAGATCCTTGTGCTTCATGTCGTACTCCCAGCTCCTGTGCGGAGCTTTGTGATGGCACATGAGATAAAACGGTCTCGACTTGTCGCGAGCTTTCATCCAGTCAATGCACTTGTCGGTAATGATGTCCGTTGCATAACCAGGAACAGTCTTTGTCCCATCTGGCTCAATGAACTGCGGGTCCCAGTACTCGCCCTGCCCAGGCACCACACTCCAGTAATCGAAACCCGTGGGCTCATGATCAGCACCCTCGCCGAGATGCCACTTTCCAACCATGGCGGTCTGGTAGTTGGCGGGACTCGAGCGCAGCTGCTTGGCCACGTTGGGCATCCTCTTGTTAATCTTGGAGTTGAGCGTCATAACGCCATTGACGTGGTTGTGCGTGCCGCACAGGATGGCCGCGCGCGAGGGCGTGCAAATGCTGTTCGTGACGTAGCAGTGGTTGAACAGCATGCCCTCGTTGGCGATGCGATCCAGGTTGGGGGTGTGGTTGATGCCCGCGCCGTAGCATGATATCGACTTGGCGGCGTGGTCATCCGCCATGATGAAGATGATGTTTGGGGGTGTTTGCGACGCCATGGTAATTTCTCTGATGCCTATCAAACCGTTTGTGATCACAGAGTGTACGCAATTCAGATGAGGGATCTTTGAATGTCAAAGTCTGGAATTGTGACAACCTTATGGCCTTGACTTGAGCGGTTTACCTTCACACAAATGGACCATAAAATCGTCAAAACTCAAACAGGTGAATCCACTGGCTCTTGACCAAATCCAAGTCGAACGACCGTGTCATGCCCCGTGACTGACTGTTGGTATCGGCGTTCGCTTCTCGGGGATGGTGGTTGATCGGCGTGTCGGGGATCACGGAGTCGTGATTGGGCAATGGGCCAGTCGTAATGTGGGCACCTCCGGACTATCGGCGAAGACATGACAAGTGGACGCGCCATCAGTTCTTGGTTTGCCGAGGCCCGAAGCATGAATCCATTGACGGTGAATGAATTGAAGCAGGCATCTTAGATGGCTCAAGCTCCATACTTGTCATTGCCGAGTCACCAGATGCGGTTCTGGGGAACTGTGGAGGACCGAAATTGAGCCGTTCTCTCCGGTAGACCGCAGACCTTCCCAGTGCCAAGGGTCAGGTGAAGAGTCAGGCGAGGCGAGGCGGTATTGGCTTTCGATCAGAAGTAGTCCCTGTCGGAAGCAGCTGAAAAATCGGTGGGGTATCGAAGGTCACTCCAGTTGTCCATGGACCCGAAGATGAATGGATCCATCCCAAGAGCCATCTGCGGTGCTGCGGTCATTTCATCCAACGGGCTCTGGAGAAAGTCCGTCGTAGAGCCGACGTAAGCTGCGGTGGAAAGTGAACCGTGTGTCGGGTACGTCTGGGGCATAAGCTCTCTCTGGGGAAGTGCGGACGCCTGGTTATCACCTTGTGCCGGTGTTTGGCCGTTCGCCGCATCATTGCTGTCGTCAATGAAGCGAGTGTGCCGTAAAATGCTGTGAATGCCGAGTCTTTGCTGCTGTTGAGCGGCTAGTGCAAACCGTGGGCGATGAGTGTCACTATCCTCCTCCATGTCAGACGAGTCGCGGCTTGGTTCACGCTTATCAGCGGCGTGGGCCTTGATGATGCCGTCCAACGTAGAAATGATTCTTGCAGGCAGTTTGGCTGGTCCAGGAGGATACAAGCGGCGAAGCAGTGCCAACACGGCCGTTGCTTGCGTTGCTGCTTGATCGGGTGTCAAGGTGGAATCGGATGCTTTATGTTCTGACTTGCTCAGAAAAAGAATCAGTCGGCAAGCATGATAGCTACAAATAGCAATGACAATATCCACAACCAGTGGTTGAACACCCAAAGCTGAAAAGTCGGACAGCACGGAGATGTTAGTAGAAGCATGATGTAGGCACATTCTGGCCGCGTTGGCAATATAGGCGGGAGAGCAAGCCGAAGTGACTGGTTCAGGGGCCGCTTCAGCATACCCAGGTACAAACATGCGGTAAATATCGCAGTGTGTCTGATGCCACAACAGTTGTAGCATCAGGTATCGCGTCATCCACCGTGATCGTGAGTACCTGAGGAGCTCCGCCGCAGTGTAATGGGGTCTCGGGATGTCCTGCAAGGTCTTGTCCAGCTCCCTCACCATGCCGTGAAGTTGCGGAATGCGCTGTCCAAACAGCATGACCTGTCGCTTCAGTCGCATGACGTCGCGAAGGACCATGGATGTACGCAGCACAGAGGCAAAGAGACCATCTTCAGCGATACCATCCAGAGGCAAAGACCCTGAAGGCCCGGCTGCCGCGTCTCTGTCGGCATCAAAGTCCTCTTCTTTGCAGGGAAAGTGTAGGTAGACAGCCTCCGAGTTGCAGACTTCGCATTCTGGTAAGCCGATAGATAAACCTACATCCATCATGACGAGGCACCACATGAGCCTCCGCCGAATCTCTTGAGCCAATGTACTAAGGTCCGTCCGTTCGTATTGCAGGCGCAAGGCGGTGGCTCCTCGGGCGGCAAGGGATGAGAGCATGAATCCCTTCTGGTAATTGCTCGTCTCAATATGATACTTGACGATCAGCACAAGGGCCTGCACGGAAAAGATGCGCGGCTCCTCGATGCGCTCCCAGATGAGGTTCTCGGCTTGAGCGATCCAAGAGGAGGTAAAGGCAGGGTAGTACTTGGAGTATTTCAAGTGAAGAGCCGAGACGGCGCAGAGGGCAAGCAGGAGAGGTTTGTCCAACGACTGGTCAAGACACCGCTGGGTGATGGAAACTTCGTTGAGGAATGCGTAAGCAGGTAGGGGATAAATATAACGGAAGAAGTCAATAATGAGATGCAGCTGTTCGCGAACAGGAGGAAGAGGTAACGGGCTTGTGCTCGACAACGTGGGCTGGCTCTGAAAACTGGATGGGCTTTCCCATGATGCTTGCGGAGAGGATGCAGCACCATGAGAAACCATAGCGATATTCAAAGGCTGCATCATCGAGGGCGAAACATAGTCCTCAAGCAAAGAGGTAGAACCCTCAAAAGTCGTCTCGAGGGAAGCCTCGTCGGCATGGATCGGTCTACCACCCGGGCTGCTGCGGTCTTTTGCGGGAGTCGGATAGACGCAGTCTTTAGCGCGCTTCTTGCACCCGCTGCAACAGGGCAAATCGCCGGAGCATTTTGTCTTTTGGGAGCGGCACTCTATGCAGGCGCGGTTACGCTTGCGCTCCAAGGCGAGGGTTGAGGTGGTGTTGGAGACGAAGGAACAGTCGAAGGACAGGCGCTGACAGTCTAGGCAGCCTCCTGACGATGATTCCCGATGGCATTTGACCTGGATCTGTGAGTGATAGCTGCGGAAGATGAGCATCGATGTCCCAACTTACCTTGCGCATGCGACACTGATTACACGTCCCTCTAGAACGTTGGGGAGGCATTTTCGACGCGCGGGAGTTTCAGGGGGCTGGCAAAGGGAGGTCTGGCAGTCGCCTGAACTTATGAAGCGTCTATCTCAAAGTTCAGGCCGCTCACATCATTTCGGGGCGGTCGGCCATCAAACAGTTGACCGAGGCATTGTCGTAATGGAATGAGCGTGATGGAGCAAGAAATTCAGTCTCCAGATTTCTCGGTACGGCTGAAGCGTGCTGTGCCCCACCCCCAAAACCCCACGATTGCCCTGAAGATTAAGTAGATAGCGGTTGGTAAATCAAATGAAGAGTTCCAGATTTAGGTTTACCAATTATTTTGACTTTGATTCTTCAAGCGTTGCAATTGAAAAAGTAGTCGATCACTAGAACAAAGCCGGTCTACCTAATATACATCTAGGCATACAGTTACGCTGTCCAGCGCAGCATGTATTCTAGTACAATGGGATTGACCATATTTTGAATTGTGGAAAGCAAAGAATAGCTAAAGCTTAGACTAGCTGATCATGGGAACTCCTGCTGAAGTCGGCCGACATGAGAAACAATCTCCGGTCCCGAGCCGAATACAGTGGCGAGGAACTTGTAGCCATTATCACCAGTGGCCTCAATTCCGCCAGACAAAACACCCCAGATATAGACATCCTGGCCAACGGTTTCCCAAAACGGACTGCCAGACTGCCCTTCATTAGAATCGGTGTCAGTGTAAAACGGCCCGGTACCGCCGCACTTAAAGCCGACCCATTCGTCAATGATCGAGGTATTCTCCATCAGGTACGGCCTATATCCATCGTCAAGATCAACTGGATATCCCAACGTCTTGAACTCGGGCAAGCCAATCTTGTCCTGGGTGGGCGACTTAAGACCGAACCAGCCCTGTTTCTCCCCTAGGGGCTCCTCCAGAATGAGGATAGCCCAGTCTGATTTACTGATGCATTCGCCTTCAAGTTCGGGTGTCGTGATGGCATGAGTGACCTTCGAACTACCGAAGCGAGAGGTCTTGTCATAGCCAGGGGAGAACTCAATACTTTTCAGGCCATCAACCATGTAATCAATAACACAATGACGGGCCGTAAGAACATGACGGGGACCGACCAGAGCACCAGAGCAGCCAGCGGTCCAATCCTCACCACGGAGGCCAACTCTTCCCGCGGCTGTGTAGGGGTATTTGTCGTCCACGGACAGGTGACGATCATCTTCACCAATAATTGTAGCCCGCTTCTCTTGGTCCGTTGGAAAGGAACCCTTCAATACAGTTAGAGTGGTGTTGTTGAATTGATCCTCATTCAGGATCGTAAGGGCAAAGGATAAATCTGCTCTTGCTTGAAGGTGGCTTTTCGAAACGGAAGCTGGAATGGCCGTGGCACTGACCAAGTTGAGGGCCGAAAGCACAATAGTGGAATAGAAGTTGACCATGGTGAAGACAGAATGACCTTATAAAGGATTGTGCAATCAAAGAATGTTTTCCTGGGCCTTAGTCTATGCTGAGAGAGAAACATTCCTAGATTGAACCTGGGGTTCCCCTTTTCTATATGTTGAGGCAGCATGTTTCCTCTTTTCAAAACAACCGCGTTTGGGGTTTTATAATTACGGACATTTCCTCGCTAGGAATTCAGGATTTTCAGGATTTTTGCATTGCAGGCACAGCGTTCTTGGCGATTATAGAACGGTTAGTATACGCGTATATTTTGCTTCGCCTGCCGATGCATGAGAGTTATCGCGACCCCTTCCTAACATGTCAAACGCCATGAATGGCGCAATTGTTTTAAATCCCATGGTTACTACTTGATGCAATAAATTGAACAACTCCGGTCCGCCATTAGTAGCCCCTAGAATATAAGAACTAGGATTGTTGCAGATCTATATCTGAAACGACGGCATGTCAAGAGGAACAAAACAGGAAGGTTCCGTTCTACAATGGGCTCATCTAGCTTGGAATCTTTGTATGAATCAATATACCTGAGGGATTCGAGGAGCACGGATGCAGAAGGAGATCAGCGTTCATTATGGACGATACTTCGCTATTGGCGTGGATGTTCAACTGACCGCTGAGCCGACGGTTATCCATTTCCTTCAGCAGCAGGCTACGCATTTTTCTTTCGCTTTTACATGAGCCTAAACAGTGTACCTCTCGCAGTGGCCTTGGACAGTGGCGATAGTATTGCTTCGTAGCTACGCTACCTTTACATGACAAGACATTCGTCATCATCTTCGCCATAATCAAAAGCCATGCCATACATGTACCAATAGTTCTCCTCTGTTTCTGGTTTTAGAAATCCCTTGGTTATCTCGTCTGCTTCGGCTTCTGCGTGTTCATCCACGTAAACCGGTAAGGTGTGCGATTGAGAGTACCACTCCAAACGCTCTTCATTCTCTTCCCAATCGTGATCCGCATCCCTTTTCTCTTCACGGCGAATTAACCGAACGAGATGAAGCCTATGCAGTATTCGGGCATGGGATACCCAGTCGTGCTCATAGACAGCCCAATGTCGGTTGTGTTCGTGGTACCACCGCCTCAGCCTAGACTCACGGGCCCTGCGCCGCGCAGAGCGCTCACGCGCAACACTCAAAGGAAAATCACGTCGTACAAGACTAAGCTTGCTATACACATCTCGGAAGAAGCGCCATATTGTCGGACATCGTAGCAGTTGTCCATCGCTGTGAGGCGGCAGGTTTGGATCTTCGCTAGGTGGCAAGCTTGGTTTGGGTGAAGCAGCATGCTCTTGTCCCTTGATTCGGACAAAAGCTCCGAAGGCCTCAATGTCTCCTTGAGCTGCACACAGTTGGCAGGGAAGATTTAAAGTGCCAGAATAACAGTTTTCTGCTGCCCATGCCATACGCTGATACTCGAGAAGATCGAGGAAGTTGAGCTGCTCGGTCCCGCGCATTTTTATCAACACTTGCTCCGACGCAGATAAGCCCTCCTGCATTTGATTAACCAAGCTCTCCTCGCTGAGAAGTTTGGTAAACATATGCTTCCAATCGAATGATACCTCATGAGCCTCGTAATCGACCTCGAGATCCGGCAGCTCTGTGTCGTTTACAATGCCTCGCAGCTTGATGATGTGGGGCGTTATCTCGATACGCGCATGGGTACTGCCAGTATAATGCTGTATATCGATTCTCCAAGCCCTCTCAAGATCTTCCGTGCTTGTCTGCCCTTCCAGTCGGCCTATGCATGGCACCTCAATACGGAAGTCGTTAGCCTTGAAGACGGCGAGCCTCCCATTCTGCCCCACATCACCATGCTGGGCAGATTCCGGGGAGAAGCGATCAAGGCGTACAACAAATCCTTTAATGAGGCATTTGTTTTCTTTTACTCGACTATCGTCGGTGAAGAAACGCCCCTCGCTCATGCCATCCAAGTAGTCACCTCTGCTATCGACTTTGAACTCGATCTCGGTTGCAGGAAGCAGCTGGCTCGCAAATACCATCTCGATGGCAGTTTGAAGCATTCTACTCGCATGGCGGACATTCAGCCAAGCGCGAACAACCGCTTTATCATCTTCCATAACTAGGTACTCGGCAATCTGAAGCCATATGTCCAGCGGGACTCTGGACGCAGGTGGAATAACTGCTGAATAGCCCGCCTGCGTGGCCATGTTGAAGTGAACCTGAATATGATGTTATGAGCTATTATTTTCCATCCATCCAAGATCCCATTATCGAGCAGGCTCATTCGCCTTATATGCTTTGTCTTTGCGAAAGTAGAGGAGCGTATGATGTAATGAACCCTTGTAGAATTTTTATACCCCAGTACCACCTCCTCCTTACGGGTGCACACAGTCAGCCTGTCAGGGAGCCTGATGTAAAGCCTGGCGGTTACCCGTACAGATTACAATACGCCAGACATAGGAAATAAGACTGGTCCAGGGCGGAAATACGTCACGAATATCTAGATTCTTAATTTAGGAAATAAGATACCAAAGTACTGCTCGGTGTGCAATGTCTTATGTCACCCACTGGCGGGCAGTGCGGGCAACCCAATAACGGATCACCAGCCCCCCTCCCCCCAGTGTGCGACTGCCCACAATCCCTAACGGATGATGACTTCACTTAGAGAACTTTCTTGCGCTTGCGGCATTCAAATGAGGAGTCAGCGAGCTACTCCACTTTGCCATGACCTCCTTCTCTTAGATACAGATAACTAGGCATGAGAACTTCCTTCCAGGTGTGGACTATACGAGATAGACAGGACGTGAGGCTGATTCAACCTCGCAGGCTCGTGATTCATCCTCTTCTGACCTTCTTAAAGTAGGTAATTATAAGATTAGGGTAACATTATGATCTTACAGTCTAGGGGTAACTACGTCTCTAAGCCCGCAGAGTCTCCGGGGTTCAATCGCTCTCAATATCCTAAGTGTTTCGCTATTAGGTTCTCGTCACTGTCACGATGATGAGGGTTTATTGCGGATGCAAACCTGTGTACAAGTAAAGCTTCAGTTTTGTACTTGCCCTACTACTGGAAGCAGAGCCTGATAGCGTTGACGTTGGCGCATGACTTGCGTAATCGCGATGACGAACTCCGCTGTCGAATCAGGGCTAGCACATCCTTCCATTGTCTCGATAATAATTCCAAGAAGATCGCGTATATCTGGAACCAGTTCCATTAACACAGCATTTGTCGATGCAACGGTCAATATTAGTGAACATGCCAGAACACTTGAATACAATGTCAGCTTCATATGTGGATGAGAGCAGCCCGACCAGACAAGGTGGATACAAAAGCCACTTACCCATAGGTAGTCATCCAGGTGTATTGGGTTCGATGCATGCGGAGATGGTGCGCTGTTTTGATGCAATTTCTGCAACTCTGGATGCAAGCGGCACAGTTGGCCATGATGTACGTTGGTAGCTCCTCCTTCTCCTGAGAAGAAATGGCATATAGAAGACATGGCCGGTAAATGATATGCTGAGCAGACCAAAAACGAAGGCGCAACCATCCGTCGTGGAGGTCGAAGGGAACGTCGCTGTTAAAGTCTGGCCGTATCGCATCCGGCAATGACATGTACCAAGTGTCTAGCTGCCGAGAGAGCTCTGCGCAAATGCTGACGAGAGAATTCAACGTCAACGTGCCATGCGACCAAGCCGAGCCACCACTTCCGGAAGTAGTTGCTGTTGACACTGCCTTCAAATTACTTTCGCTCTTAGAATAGAGGGTGCTGTGGATTCTATTGAAGAGTCGCCTAACTGAGCAAAGAGCGAGGAACAGCAGACAATCGCGCTGCTGAGGGGTTTCAAAGTGAGGAAAGGCCATCTTATCGACCGTTAGCTCGATGCCGCTACGAGGTAGATGGAACTCAGCAAGGCAGTCTCTATTTTTTTTCTTCTATCAGCATCATTAAGTACATTATGGGTGGAGAGAGCTCACGATTCAAGAATATAGCATGCCCAGACCAATCTGTCGATGTAGGCAGCGTCTTCTTTGCTTAAACCGTGATGTGTTCCCGGGGGGCTGCACATCGAGTACCAAGAACGTCAGCAATTAAGCCTTTTAGGAGAAGTGACTTGCCGAGATCACAGACCTAGCCTTGATGAGTTGCAAATTCGACGATGCGAGAGTCACAAGTTTCCATGCTTGTAGCGGCCTCGCCATATGGAAGAGATATATTGCACCGTGAACGAGCGTCGAGGGCAAGATCACATCCGCGCCAAGGGATGCGCCCCACTCCACAACAGCAATTTCATACGCAAGTGAAAAGTACTCCATTCCATTCAGGTCGTCTTGACTTTCGGTGTTGCCGGTGGAAGACAAATTTGTTGCGAACTTGCCCAGAGCCAGGACCGCTAGGCATAGAGCCGACTCGGCGTCACGGCGGAAGTCATGCTCCATTACTTTCTCGTAGATCGATCGAAATATGTCAGGGGTTAGGACGGGAAAATTGGGGTAGATGTAGAAGAAGAAAGCGTCTATCAAAGCCTGGTTTGACTCGCGGCTGAGATCCAGAAATGACAACTCCTCTTCGAAACTCTGCGTGCGACGTCCTCCGAATTTGAGTACTCGACGGCGCTCAATTTGCATCATGAAATCCTCAGGGTACTCTCCCAGTAGAGGCCGTAACGGCGTCAAGGAGAACAAGCTTCCTGTGGTGGTTAGATGACCAACTGGAATGGTCAGAGGGGTATCGTCTAGGTCTGCCTGGTCTTCCAAAGTGATGATCGCATGTCCTGACTCTTCGCCTTCGCCGTTTATGATAGATTGTGTTGACAAGGCATTGCGGCCGAATTCCGACTCCGAACAAGTATAAGCAACTGCTGGGGAAACGGAAGTAGTACCATCGCGGCGGGTAGAAGTCGGACTGAAACGCGCATTGCGTATTCTTGACTCCCTCGTCAAGGTCTCTATGGCTTCCGATTGCTTTAGAACCAACTGGGCTAACTCATCAACACGACGACTAAGCTCATGGTCAGGTCTTCAATGAGGGCGTCAGTGAGAATAATCGCCGAGGATTTCCTGCCAGGGAACACGGGATCAAGATACCTCTCAGTTGGGACCTCGGGATACTCGCATTTAGTGCCTGTCTCTCGGCAGAGATTACACACGGGCGTTTGCCCGTCACATCTTCGTTTCCTGAGTGGTGAAAGACGGTTAGCTTCCTTTCCACAGAAGGGGGAGATGCATATAAGTGACCGGGGTACCTATGGCGGCAGTAGTTGCACGCAACTGGGGCGCGCCTCCTTGGGTAACTCATTAGCTGGTGAGTGATATCCACGGGCTAGGGCTCTTATGAATGTCGGCATCGTAAAGGGGGGGAAGTGACTTCTGCAAATGCCAACGCTCGGAAGCGCGTGTTGCGGGGATTGAACCTGGGGAATCGCCCCACCAAATTCATAATTTTGTGCTGGGGTTTCACGTGATATGCACTAATCGAGGAATCGATCTAGTGACTCCTTCAGCCAAAACAGTTTGCGGGGATCTATCCCTCGCCTACTCCATTTTGCTATGACTTCATTTTCTCAACATGATTTGCTACCCTAAACCATTTCGTTCATCGATACGTTCAACTTCAACCTCTTTATAATAGCGAGAGACTATTTAAATATATATAATAAATTGAGAAACCAGCTCTGTAAGTATTAGAATACAAATTTTCATAAATTAAAATCTCTGAAATAAGGTATTATGTTTGATATTTCCTTTCACTATTTTTTACTCTGATAGGCAGGTACAAGGTGCAACTTTCAAATGGTATTGTCGATCGCCTGAATAGGAAATGATGGTATTTTTAGATACGAAGTAACAGACGCAAAATGATTGGATTGGAGCCATTTCGGAACCGATCAGCCAATCAGAGGGCAGAAATTCCAAGTTTTGATTGGCCAGGGTAGATAAAGCCCCGTAAATTCAGACCCACAGCAATTACGGGTCGGTCAACTCCGCAACAATCGCTCGTCGCGTCAGAAGACGCGTCGGTCAGGCTCGCAGCAATTGCCTGTCATGAAGAAAGACGGAAGAGTCAGCTAGACCGGGCTCGCAGCAACAGGCTGTCCAATCGCGCAGCCAAGTTAGCTGTTGGCTGCGACAGGCCTGTAGCAAATAAACTCTCACGAGCTGTGATTGAATAATCTCATCAAAGCTTTGCTCTGATTCGCACGTCGATTTTTCAAGTCTCAATGATTTCGTCGGACCAATCATTTGGTTTATGGAAATCTAGAAGGATTCTAGCCATTTTGGGATAACTATACAGCAAAGGGGATCCAACCTTCCCCTTCTCATACTACCTACTGAAGCTATCAAAGCACTTACACCCAAAATCTCAAAGCATAGCGGAGATAGCAAGAGGAACAATTAATCTCAGCGCGGAACAATAATTGCATCAAGTTAGTAGCGAGTGAAGCCCCGCGCCTCGCTCTTCTCCCGCTTCTCTCGCTGCCTCGACTAGACCCTCACGTACCCTGAACCGCTTGCCCATCCCTATCATTTAGAGGCCTTGTCAAGTCCCGTGAACTCGACTCTATCATCGGTGCCCTTTGATGGAGTAGACCTCCCACCCTCTTCACTTCCCGGCCTACCAGTACCACCCAAGGCCCTCTCGCCATCAAAGATGACGGCAATCTCTTCGATTGTGAGATTCTTGGTTTCGGGAAACCAGAAAAAGATGATGGCAAGTACGGCCACGAGGATGACGATGTAAACTCCATAGCTGGCGAGATAGGTTAGAATGACATGGTTTTTACTACACGTAGGATCCACGAGGGGGAAAGAAATGACTTACTATTTCCACTGCAAGGCTTCAAGAGCAATAGGGTTTACCCAAGTGTTGACGGACATGCCAAGCGTCTGCAAGAAGACGAAAATCGCTTGACCCTTGGTTCTCATTGTATATGTGAGAATCTCGACAGGGTAACTTGGAGCGAGCACCTGTTAGAAGATTACTTTGCTTTGAGGAGGATAGTCACTCTGCTTACGAATAAGAAAGGGGCGTCCATGCTACGTCGTAGGCTCCAAGAAAGAGGAACAAGAAGGGAATGTTTGCTTTGCCGAGGGCCGGCACTTGGTTTTGGGCAAAGGCAGCCGATAGGCCCATGAGTATAGAAAAGAACACGAGCATGCCAGCGGTTGATCCAATCCAAAGAGGTCGACGACCAACCCTATCTACAGCCATAGATGCAAGGACTGAGATCACGACTATGTGTTGTTCATCAAATTGTCAGGTATCGGCATCATGAGGGGAATAGGCCCGTTCGAAAGCCACGTCGGGATGGACTTACAGTTAAAGACTTGCAATCCAATCAGAATATTCAGCTGCTCGCTCGTGGATGCAATACCCAGAGACGTCAATATGGGGCTCAGGTAGTACGAGATAATTCCGTTGCCAACCCAGTTCGTTCCCAAAGACACAATCACAAGAATCAAAAGTCGGTGACGGTTGCCATTGCCCTTGAGATAGTCGGTATACTTGGTCTGGGAGTTTAGCTCTTCAACGGCAAGGGCTTCTTTGATCTCGCGGTGCTCGTATAGAACGAGAGCGTCATTCGCATCACCATTGGCATGATACTTTGCTAGAACTCGTAGCGCATCCTCGGACCGGCCGTTCTTCTCGAGCCACTGGAATTGAGTAGGCAGATTAGGACAGATCCGCATAGAGAGCTGAGCTACGGAATTGCGTTCAACTTACTCTGGGGGATTCCGGAGCGGTTAGAGTCATGAGAATGGCCAGCACAGGTCCAACAACTTGAAGAAGGCAGGGGATTCTCCAGGCCTTCTCTCCTTGGAGAGTAAGGCAGCCGCGACAGACAGCAGCTGAAATTGTCGAGGCAAAGTAGTAGATACTCATATCTTAGATATTTCAGTTGTTAGAGACCGCCATGACATCTCTGGTCAAACCTCTCATTCGCCGAGGGTGTGGTAATGCACTTACAAAGCGCCCCGATACGGGCACGGTATCGAGGGTGAGCAATCTCCTGAAGTAGTGCTGGGGCGACCACAAGAGTGCCCTGAACTCCAACTCCCATTAGAGCTCTGCCTCCAACAAACATGCCAGTGTTCTGAGACAGGCCAATTACAATAGCTCCGATAGTCTATATCAATCTGTCAGACGCCATGTTTGTTGTGATGAATCCCGTATTGTGGGTATGTGGGAGGGAGATATGTGGAAATGGACGTACGGCGATGCCAGAACCTATCCAGACCGTGATAAGCTTGCCAAACTTATGGGCCAGTCGGTCGGCCAGAAAACAAACGATGAGACCTGGCAGGAAACCAGCAGAGTTCATCAAGCCGAGAGTACTGCTCGACGGATGGTTGAAATATTCCTGCCACGCGGTGATACTTTGGAGGCCGTTCATGAGGCTCCCATCATCTATGATCTTTTAGTAATAGCCATCTTCGTTTTGCTGTCCATGACTCAGCCCTGGGCTGATAATGTGAAACATACACCCATTGAAGAAAAGGGTCGTGCAGAGTCCAATACAGTGAAGCACGTTCCATCGGAGCGCTGTAACGTCTATAGTTAGCGACCAGAATCTTGTATCATGAGACTTGTTCATGCTTGCCTGGATCCAGCCACCATGAAGACTTGGTGTTATTGGGGAGAGATCCATAATGCGCAGTGCTAGTCCCGGTGGTTGTCGCCGCAATAGCGCCACCCATGATTCCAAGATTTATTTGTTGATGCCCGAGTGGGAAGAAAGGTAAAGATGGGGAAAGATGGCTAAGGAAATGATCGTTGTTGCCGTTGTTGTTGTCGTCGATCTGGAGCACTGGGCTTTATAGAGTTGAGGTTGATGTGTATTCATCTCGTCCCCTAACTCCCCGGATTCAGTCGATTGTTCCCCTTGGAGGTCAAGGCTGGGGCCCCGCAAGATGTGATTTGGATCTGGCTAATGCCTCCAGCCTCCATCTTCGTCAGTATCTGCGGTTAGCTGGAAGTCTAGACCCAGTAGTTGGAACGCTCCAAGGGTGTGGTCATGAGTAAGTCTAGCCTTGCTGAGTTCGTCATCCGGGTTTACCTTCGGTGGTAGATGCGTTCGGGTTGAAGCTGGCGGGGATGGCGGAACTGAGTCAATCTCAAGACGAAGTTGCCCCGCAGCTTTGGAAGGTGTGGATGCATGACCATGTGAACGTGCCGCCATCCCCGCTGGCGTTTGGGCTTGTCGTGATGTGACGTCTGGAAATAATAACAGGAGATAACATTAGGAAACCCGCCTGCCGCGCCCCAGACCTGCACCTTGTTCAAGTGCAGTCCATTCTCTACTAGCGCCAGCTGAATGTGATATTTCAATCCGCGCTAACCTTATATTAATATTGATCAATGACTGGTGGACGTGGCGAGGCCTGATCTCAATCTTTGCCCCTCCCCTCTTCGATTTCGCCGCCTTGGAACTGGGATTCTGTAAGGGGCCCTCGTGAAGAAATATGACCAAGCCATCTGGAAATGCGAGAACACTATCCGTGTTCTCGCTCGAAGGGAAGAACTGTTTGGGTGCGATTTAAGAAATCATGTGGTCTTGGCATGTGCTACGAGGCTGACTTTGCACAGTAACTGGGTACATCAGAGACTTTTATGAAGGCACTCTCAACTAATGACGGTAAACTAATTTCTCTCTCTAGAGGAGCAGGAGGGCTGGGCAGGGAATGTATCACGGCCTTCATGTTGTCAGGCGCCAACTGGTAAGAATAAACGAGTCTTCCGAAAAAAAGAGAAGTTTGTAACTAATGCCTTGCATCAGTGCGTGTGTTGACCTGAGCTTCGATGCTTGCAAATCAGCCATCGATGAAGTTATTGCTGCAGTGCTTCACGAGACGGGCAGTGAGCCTGGAAAAATGCATGCATACGCCTGCAATACTGTGGTTGAGAAAGAAGTCGAAGCAACGGTGGCCCAAGTCATAAGAGACTTTGGCCAAATTGATGTCCTTGTCACTTGTGCCGGGATTTGTGTCAATGGATCAGCCGAAGAGACAGATCTCGCAACTTGGCGTAAGGTGCTCCAAGTCAATCTAGACGGCACCTATCTCTTCGCTAGCATCGTTGGGAAGCATATGTTGGAGCAGAAGGTAAAGGGATCCATGATATTGGTTTCCAGTGCGGGTGCAACCCATCCCCCAAGGCCGCAGCTTCAGGCATCTTACAACGCATCAAAGTCTGGTGTAAACGCCCTGGCAGTTTCTCTGGCTACTGAATGGGCTCATCGGGGCATACGAGTCAACACTTTCAGCCCTGGGTTTATGACCACACCACTAATGAGTAAAACATCTGGCCAAGAAAATAGCCAGGCACCACTGACCGAGATACAAAAACAGTGGCTCACACAAATACCTATGGGTCAGACTCCTTTACGGTTCCTCGTATTTTACTTGTTAACAAACCAGTAGGACGCTTCGCTAACCCGGACGAACACCGCGGGACTTTGGTAGGTACTCAGAACGACCTATGAGCATCTTTAGCATTAACAACCTCGATAAAGGTTTGGATGGCAAGTTCGGCCAGCAGTTATTTAACAGGTGCTGACATAGTGAGTGACCCTTGCAAAATCCCGATCTTTGGCTTTATCTCATAATCAAATAGGTAGTGGATGGAGCTTGGACACACTGGTGAAAAGCAAGTTGGAAAATTGAGTATCAGTAACGGTTCTTGCAGCAACTTGTTGCCTCCACTTCGACTAGATTTCGGGGGAAAGGTTTGTCGGGAGCTACGCGTCAAATATACCAGATTTGTATTGGGGAAACTCTTGCTAGATACGTTGGTGATATCGACAAATCAATATCTACAACCTTCCAATTGTATCTTTACCCGTCGATCTTTAAGATAGAAACTCAATGACTAATAAGTGCTATTGATTTGGTGTATTGGATGTAAGGTTCTCAGACCTCGAAGTGATACCGACTCCAATCGTTATTTTTGATAGACAGATAGCTGTGAGTAAACATTCCCATATATAGGTTCCAAACTAACTTATGTTGACATCATTATCCTAGGAGCACCATTTCAGAAAACATTTAACTACTTTCCAGAGTTATTCTCTGCTAGTATTGTGTAAAGAGCAGTTTCCAAGTCTAGAACAAGCTGTCTGAGAGGCGGATCATCCATTGGCATGGTTTGAGTAAAGAGAGTTGCGGCCACACCGCTCTCACGATCAATGAACCAGACTAAGTTCGGCAATCCGTCCCAGTTAATGGTATTTTTTCTCCTGCGTCCAGCGACATCTTCAGCGTTTGAAAGTCCACACAAGCAATGGCTGATTTCCATTACATCTTTCCATTCCTCAGGAGACTGTGTGTAAAGCCATGCTTTGCCCCCTTCGGGACCTTCACCAATCACAAATTCTCGCAAAGCCGCCATCGAGCTGACGCCTAATTGTGGGCTGAAAAGTTCACCAATGGAAGGTTCACTCAGCAAAGGCCCGCCACCAGTCAGTAATGCGGACAGGAGTTTGCTGTAGTCATTGGCAGTGGAAAATAAACCGGCCCCACCGAGAGCATCACGACACGCGAATTTCCAAGGCGATGATCCGGCTTTTAGGTTCTGTGGCCCTTCTCCTTCAGCGCGAAATGCTAACTCATGGATATCCCCTTCGGTAACGCCAGATTTGGCGGGATAAAACGTTGTGTCTTTCGCGCCTAGTGGCTCCCAGATGTTGATCTGTTGGTATTCATCATAGTTCATGCCTGTCAGCTTCTCTATGACTTGACCTACCCAGTCAAGCCCCGGCCCATATTGCCAGGAAGTACCTGGCTGGAATACGAGGGGGTGATACAGCCCCTCGATTGTCCCAGAGAACATGTTTTCCTGCCGGCCAATCCACTCGGAGTATTTGACTAAGAGGGGGTGCCTTAAATCATAGCAAAATCCCGATGAATGCGTCAACAATTGGCTGCATCAGCAAATTGTTAGTACCGAATCAATAGATTGGAGCACTAAATATTTGAATAAACTCACCGCAGAGTAATCGGCCCCTTGACGTCCTCTAATATCGGTCCTCCCTTCTGCGCGTCGACATTGATCTCTGGGTCCTGGTCACCTTCGCCCTCAAATCCCAAAATAACCTTCAAGTTCTGCAGTTGAGGAATCACCTTGCGCACGTCGTCGTCAAGCCCGATCAATCCCCTTTCGACGACCTGCATTGCCGCCACGGAAGTGGTGAGCTTTGTTAAGCTCGCTATCCATGTCACTGTATCCGGCGTAAGAGCTGGTCCGTTGTTGGAGTTGACTTTGCGCTGGCCAAACGATTTGCGGTAGATATCATTGCCTGACAAGAAGCTCAGCTGTCAGTATCAGAGTTTCATGTCACGAGTCAAATGTAGTTCTGCTATGGAATGGGCAAGTATACCTTTGTTGTCGACGGCTACAAAAGTTGCGCCATGAATGACGCCTGTGTGTGGGTCGGTGTATTGCCTCAGTATACGATCTAGTTCGGCCATTTGCAATAAGTCGTCGCTGAAGAGCTTCAACACTTCGCAGAGGGAGAAAACTGGGAATAGCTATGAGATTTGCTCATTGACTGTTGGAGATCCTTGTTATTGTATGGTTGGGTAGAACGATACCACAATTGCATATGGCATTGGTAGGAAAATTTGCTCGAAGTATTGAGACTCTCCGTCTTCTTGAGTATTGGCCGCTGGCATTTTCCAAGCATATCTTATCACTTACATGACCAAGAATGTACGTGGATGACTTCATCTCACCTGGCCATTAGTCGGATCAAGGACGCTCCCCGCGTTCCCCGCTACACATAGCGATGTAGCGCCTGACAGTATGGAAGCGGGTCAGTCGGTCACAAGGCGAATGGTCTCGTGTTTACCTAGTTGAACGTCTTTCGAGGGAGATTTGAGACCCGCTACATCCGGTTGACAGCCAGTCAGGCAGATGAGGGGCAGCGGGGATGGCGGATAGCGGCTTTCCTGCCCACCATTAACTATTGATCCGCAACTTGGCATAGCTTTGAACGGCACAATTCTCAATCATAACTAATTGTAAGAGATGGCTTTCTTGCCCGGAATTCTTGGGCGCCTGGGTGAGGATAGAACCATAGAGTTGATCCTAGACTCAGTGGGTTAGCTTTTGCAGAAACCTCGGGCCACAATACTTAGACCTACCCCATTTCATGCACTTTGTTATCAGTCTGGAAGTTACTTAAACCGTCTGTCATCCTCAACATACTGTGCAAGTAGACGGAACAACTAGAAAATACTGCACGCAAATTTGTTACAACACAGACAACATGGCCCCAGGACTCATTGACGAGAGCGAGACCCAGAGTCTCCGTGGTCATGATGATGTGGCCGTTAAGTCATCCGGAAGCTTTCAGTATTCACGCCACCACCTGAAGAAGGCTAGGCCGATGAGAATTGTTGTTATCGGCTGTGGTATTTCGGGAATTGCCATTGTTAAGATGTTCAAGGATAGATTTGCTGGCCAACCAGTAGAGCTTGCTATCTATGAGAAAAATACGTCTGTTGGAGGAACTTGGTTTGAGAACCGTTACCCGGGGTAGGCCAACTACCCCATGTTTGGCACATCTGATTTGGAGCTTTGTTTGCTAATTCTTGGGATATTCTAGCTGCTCCTGTGATGTGCCATCACACACTTATACTTTCTCCTGGGATGGCAATCCTTATTTTTCTCGGGTTTACGCAGGCTCCAAGGAGTTATACGACTATTTTGCTGGCCGGGCAGAGGTGTACGGTGTACCCGAATACCTCCACCTCCAGCACCAGGTCACTGAAGCTCGGTGGAACGAGTCTAGTGGGCAGTATGAGTTGATCATCAAAGATCTATCTACGGGAAATACCATTCATGATAAGGCAGAGGTGGTGATTAACGCGTCTGGCATTTTGAAGTGAGTTCAATTCCAATCCGGACTTCTTAGTGGTGCTTAAACTTGGGCGCGTCTGACACTCAATAGCTCGTGGAAATGGCCTGATCTTCCAGGACTGGACACTTTCAAGGGGATCCTCCTTCATTCTGCCAATTACGACACTACAGTCAAGCTGGAGGACAAGGTCGTGGGCGTAATTGGCACTGGATCTTCGGGTATTCAAATTGTCCCACAGGTCCAACCAGGTAAGCAAGACTGGCGAGAATTGCAAACGGCGACGAGGAAGCTAAATGTCTGCAGTTGCAAAACACTTGCACACTTTCCACCGCTCGGCAACATACATCACGCCAGAGCTTGGCCTTGAGGTTGCGCCTGACGGGAGAGATACCGTGTACACCAAAGCACAACAGGATACATGGGCAGCAAACCCGGACGAATTCCTACGAGTTCGTAAACAGGCCACGCATGTGCTGAACAGTGGTTTTGAGGTCATTGTCAAATACTCGAAGGAGCAGAGAGAAACAATGCATATGTTCAAGAAGCTGATGGAGCAACGCTTAAGCAAGAAGAAGGAGCTTATTCCTAAACTTGTCCCCGACTTTGCTCTTGGATGCCGCCGGTAAGTATAGGCAATGCTAGCTGTAGGCAAATGCAGGGCTTTCACTAATTCAGTTCGCAGATTTACTCCGGGAGTTGGTTACCTGGAAGCTTTGTGTGAGGACAACGTGACAGTGCGGACAGAGGGAATTGCCGAAGTCGTTTCCAATGGCGTGGTTATGGCTGATGGTACCCGAGTTGAACTTGATGCCCTCATCTGTGCTACCGGGTTCAACACTTCATTCGTGCCTTCCTTTCAACTGATTGGTGAGGACGGAGCGGTTCTGAATGAGATCTGGAAGGCCGGGCCTCGAGGTTACCTTGGGCTCGCTGCAGCTAAATTCCCGAATTACTTTAGTACGTGGACCGACTTTGAGATATCCTGATACAGTGACTTACCTTTACATAGTGACGACCGGACCCAGCGCGCCGGTGGCACACGGCACGTTTATCCCGTGCATTGAGACGTATATCAACTACGCATTCAACGCGGTTGAGAGGCTCATGACGGAGGGTATCAAGTCTATTACTGTGAAGGAAGAAGTTGTCAATGACTTCCAGGAACATAAAGATGACATCGTGAAAGACTTGGTGTGGACTTCTGGCTGTCGATCATGGTATGCTCCCCCTTGAGATCTCTGTTTTTCCTCACCGCGGACATTTCTAACACCTTTTTCTTCTTTGCCTAGGTACAAAAACGGAACGACTGATGGTAAGGTTTGGGGTCCTTGGCCAGGTTCGGGACCACATTTTCTTGAATCTCTCGCACAACCACGATGGGAGGATTTTGATTTCAAGTACCTGACAGGAAACCGGTTCCAATATCTCGGTAATGGGCAGACATTGCGGGAACTGACAGGTGGTGACTTGTCTTGGTTCGTGACCGGCTCGCAGCCGTACGAAAACGCCGTTAGAAGTGCCGGCGCTAAGACGAATGGAAAGTGCTGAGGTTTGGGAATTTCTCACAGAGACTGTGTGTGGGCTTTGAAGTATGAGTGATAGACTTTCGAATTTTAGGTTCTTCCTCAGCATGCACGCATCGAACATAAGACATTGTCTTCAAAGAAAAGTAAAACAATACTAAACATCGAGAAAACAAGCCACGCAACCACGAACCCTCTCTTACAAATGCCAATATTATTATACCATTCTATCAATAAGTTATTTAATACAGTGTTCGAGACCTTTCCAGACTTGCAATACCATGGCGTGATCCTTCAAAGATGAGGTCAGCTTCGTTGTTGCTTCTTCATCCAGGTAGGAATGGTCATAATCCCCGCCATTTCATCAATAGTTTCATTCCACACCATCTCTCCCACTCGTTGAGATTCTTCACTCTTCAAATAATCAGATGGCTCATCCAGCTCCATATCCCCTAGGAGCCTTCCATGTGTCTCCGTGGATGCCACAACCGCTGCGTAAAGGGCAATTCGCCCTGCGGCTGATGGATCCCTTGCCATCAATGCTTTGACAACTACCATGATCATGCGAAGGTGGAATGGCAGTACGTCTGTCATGCTTGTGTTGACCAGGCCCGGACAAAAGCTATTGATGATCACTTTTTCAGGACCGTAGTGCTTGGCGAGCTGGCGTTGGAACAATAGGCACATGAGCTTGGTGTCTCCGTACCTCCCGAGGGTGTCGATATCTTCGGAAGTATCAAAGTGCTTTAAGACTTCGAGGTCGCCCTTCCCCAAGGGATGTTTACCGCTCAAACTGGCATTCGTATATTCGCGACTACCGGTCCACGTTACTTTTGATGGTTTGCCAGTCTTAGATGCTGTGCGTTCAAGAATGGGCAACAGTAAGAGAGTAAGCAGCACGTTAGAGTAGTAGTTAACTTGCATGTTCTTCTCATGCCCTGAGCTTGCAAACTCCTTGTCGTTGGTGCCAATTCCGGCATTTGCCATCAAAACGTGCAAATCTTGAAACTTGGCTTCGAATGTGGAGGCAAATTGACGCACGCTCGTGTAATTTTCCGTATCAAGTTCAAGAACGGTGACCGATGCTTTAGGGCTTTTGCTCCCAATGTCTGTTTCTTCAAGTAGTGCTTGCCGGACCTTTTCACCTTTCGAGACGTTGCGTACAGCCATAATGAGGTTTGAGACCTTATGGCGGAGAAGTTGACGGCAGATCTCAAGGCCTATACCTGCTGTTGCGCCCGTTACGATGATCGTTTTACCGGTAAGATCGATGCCAGAAGGCAACATCGGCACTTGAGGCTGGAATAAACGCATTGTGTCTTGAAGAAGCTGGATTATAAGAAACCACAGGGTTTGTATAAGAGGCAAGATCTGCGAGTGTTTGTGAGATTCTCAAAGATTGAGAGTTGTCCTCCTCTCCATCGGCAGGATAACATTATATCTTTAATAGAATGACTCTCATAGAATTACTGTTTGTTGCCTTACGAATGTGATGAGAAAGTCCGCCTTGCTTCACATGAGAATATCACTACATGGCGGACTTGTTTCGCAGTTTCAGTCCGAAAAGGTTTAGACTACTCCGAGGTTTTCTAGACTACGACATGCTCGGCCGGGGGAAGCCGCTTTGCGTTACGTTAAATACCGGCCTGTTGGTATTTCTAAACCGGTACAAGTTCCAGACGAGCCCCTTCGCGTTTTGGACCCGAAAAGGTTTAAGGGGCCCATTAATCACTTCGCACTTTGTACCCGAAAAGGTTTAACCTGGTACTTCCAAACGGGGCCGGCTGATACACTTTCAAGCCGTCCATTTCAGCAGTGAATCAATCAATCTTTCTCCGGCCACATACGTTTCCACCATTTTATGCTTTGTCTTCTGTTCCAGAATCCAGTAACCCCCCCCGCTGACCTGTTCGACACCAATGGGTAACATTGGCAAGAGATCAAGATGTTGCTTCACGTGCCGGGAGCGCCGGATCAAGGTAGAAACTCCTCTCCCCTGCCCAAATGCGTGCGGTGGCTGATGTTGAGCTTGCCTTGGCTAGTGTGACATGCAATTCCCACACTGCCGGCGCTGCAGATTGCTCGGTCGGGAATGTCCTGGCTACCCCGACACCTGGGATGTTTCCTTTCGTATGCAGAACGAATATGCCGAAGACAAGGTGCAAACCCGAGTAAAGAAGGTCAAGGCAGGAAGGAAGGCGCATTCAGAATCCCTCGCAGTCCGCATACCGTCAGGAGTCGATGTTGCGGTTGAGGTTCACAGCTGGAACCGTTTCTATCATGATTATGTAGTCGACTCTGGCATCGCTGCCTTCAACTTTCTGCCCAAGTTCCATACTGGCGACTCCCCCATTCATCTTTGCGAAGCACTTCAGGCAGTAACTGTTGCGAGCGCAGCACAACAGCTCCAACAGTCTGGATTGATGGTTCGCGCGAGATCCCACTATGGCAAAGCCATCATAAAGCTCAACACTGCACTGGATAACCAAAAATCAAATGCTGACGATTCGGTCTTGATCACGCTATTTCTGTTGTCACTATTTGAGGTATTAACTTGTGGATGACGGAATCGCATCCCCTGCATACGTTTGTCCCGCGTGCTGACAACCATTAAGACTGTAGTTCCGGGATATTTCAAAACCGTTATGATGGACAAGACCTTCCAATGCCACATACACGTTCGAGGTATCTTAACCGTCCTTCAGTTGCGCGTTCAGAGATCCCAGAAGTCTGATTTAGACGAAGCTATTTTCGCATTCATTTGTCACATTTATGTAAGTATGAGCCTGGGTTGTACATTGCTAATTCAAACTGACTCCCGAGCAAAGCTGATGAGGATTTTCATTAATTTCGAATCTTGCGACGAGAAGTGGTTAGCCCTGGAAAAATTCGTGACGCCGTGGACCAATGGGCCGTTGCTGGAGCCCGTTCTTCGCCGAGCAGTTGATTTTGTGAGGCGTGTTAATGTTCAACTTACAACCGCTACTAACCACCGTTCTGATACGGAGCTATTACTTTTGGCTAAAGAAGGATTGTGCCTTAGTGAGGATCTGGAAGCTACTGCCGCAGAGGTTAGGTCCTTCCCAGAAACGAGTATACCTTGTCGCCACTCCCCGAAGGTATTCAACAACATGTTTGGAGTTTCTACCAAATACACAGAGGCCATTTCAAGAAGCTCATATCGCACAGTCAGATATCGTGTGGTTGAAATGGTTGGTGAACTGGTCTCGCTCATGAACGAAGAGAGCAATGAAGCCAGCCACTGTCTCCCATTTGAATTCGATTTTCTAGAGAGACATTCTGTTCTGGAGATGATCTGTGGAGATATTGCGGGCGTCCTTGGATGTGACATTAAGAGAAGCGGTGAACCCGATGGAGGAGGTATGGCGTATAGAGCCTATGGCATGTTTTGGCCAATGGTAGTGCTACTTTTCTCTACATCAGCTGGACCGGTCGAAAGGTCATGGATACAAGAGAAACTGCGCAGCATCGGCGAAACGACTGGATTAGGGTTGGCGGTTTGGGCCGCAGATGCATCCAATACTTTGCGCCCCATGTCGCCCGTGACAACATGTTGATTGGATGTCATTCACATCAATGTCAAAGTAGTTGGCTTATTCTAACTAGCTGTAAACAAAACGCCCATTCGGCTTGTTACTCCTCTAGAATATTTGGCAGTTTATCCACCTGGGACGGACTACATTGTTCGGTGTTAACGCGTTTGCATGGTTAGGAAGATTAATGGTTAATATAAGCGCCTGCGATATCATCTTCCTTTCCCATGAGTTCCCAAGATCGCACAAATGGCCCGAAATGGTAAGGTCATAATATCTGCAAGCATGGAGATATCGGGTGCTCCATGCTCGAAGTCCGGCTGGCTTTGGCGAGGGCGGAAATTCAACTCCCTCCTCCATTACCAATGATTCTAGGTATTTAAATCTCCTTATTCCTCGAGAAACTATCTTAAATTGTCTCATCATTCAACATTCCAATTTTTAAAATACACCATCTTGCTCTGCTCGACATTCTCTATTAGCCATGGCGCTCAAATTTGATGAAGATTCCAAGGCAAGTGATCTTGTACGTCACTATGGCCCTCAAATACCAGGAAAGACGATACTTATCACGGGCGCTTCTCCTGGGGGGCTGGGAGCAGGCTTCGCCGAGCAGGTTGCAGCTGGAGGACCTGCAGTTTTCATCCTCGCTGGACGGTCAACCTCGAAGATGCAGCCGCTCGTTGACATCCTACACAGCAAATACCCGGAGATCAAGATCAAGCTTCTCGAACTAGACTTGGCTTCGTTCTCAAGCGTGCGTGGAGCTGCGGAACTCGTGAATTCCTGGGCCGACGTACCCCAAATTGACATCCTGGTCAACAATGCCGGCATCATGGCTGTTCCGTACCATTTGACCGAGGACGGATTCGAAAGTCAATTTCAGACAAACCACCTCAGCCACTTCCTGTTTACGAATTTGATCATTGCAAAGATCCTGGCCTCTGAGACGCCCCGCGTTGTCCTTGTCTCCAGCGGTGTACACCGCGTTGGTAATATCCGCTGGTCTGACTATAACTTCAACGAGGGCAAGCACTATCAGAGGTGGCTCGCCTATGGCCAATCAAAGACTGCCAATGCCTTGATGGGACTTTCTCTTGCGATGAAGCTTGGCTCGCGAGGGCTCTTGTCCTTCCCGATGTGTCCCGGTGTAAGCATGACAAACCTTTCTGCACACGGGATTCACGATCGAGATTCATTTTCTGCGGATCTCACGGCGATGGACAATATGTATGGGAATAAGTGGCTATGGGGGATGGCAGAGCTGCATGTTAAGGATTCGGACCAGGGCGTAGCAACGCATGTTTTTGCTGCCTTCGATACTGAGATTGCGAAACATAATGGGGCTTTTCTCAGCGATTGTCGAATTGCAAATCAGGATGAGGAAGAGGTTTATTCGTGGGCAACCAGCAAGGTCGACGCAGAGCGGTTGTGGAAACTGAGTGAAAAGCTCGTTGGTCAGAAATTCGAATATTGAAATACTTAGATGAGTGAGCTCATTCTCTATCTAGAGACTGGCTTTTTATTAGGGAGGTTTAACATGATTTATTGTGGGTCACTTGGTATTCACCGTGTCTTCCATTGCTGTTGTCTCCCTTGTGCTCAGACTCTTATACAATACATTGCGGGCCACAGGCTTTTAATAGGGATTAAACGTTATCATCGAGTGAATTAATTCTTTCTAGCTAGGCCTTTACCAACCAAAGGATGTTTACACCACAAAGGAGAAAACACCTAAGTAAAAGTCTCAGATTTCTACACCTCCTCAACAAATGCTTCGGGGATAAGCTCCCGCATTTGCTGGTATGCCTTTTGGGCACACCGCTTCAGGTCCCATGGCGTATCCTCTGAAACTTTCTCAGCGACCTTTGCGAGGTGTCCGGCACCAACTTTCCACTCCGCTTTGGTCAAGGGAAACTTCAATTCTCCGCAGGGGTTTCTTATCTCCTTCGCCAGCTCCAGCCCTGCTATCAGGATGTAATCGGCCCAAATGCTGCTATGGACTTGTAGATACAACTCGGAAGGAGGTGGCTTCCTCTTGTCTAGCTCCCCGAGAAGCACGTATAAGTCATACGAAATCAACTTCAACATCTTCACGCGCATCACCCCTGCAGCAAGCAATCTGGCGAACATCGCGTACAGAGATCGTGCTGGGTCACAGAGATTCTTATTTGATTCTTCCAATGTGCATGGGATCGACCCTGCGTGGGAGAATACGAATAATAAGCTTTAATAACAATGAAGCTGCCAGGGCCCGGAACAACTCAACGCAATGAATACGAAAAGCTTAAAAATATAGCCTTTCCTCGTACACCCAAGGAGTCATACGGTCAGAAAACTCTAACCATCGTACGAATGACTCACTTGCCGTCAGGATAGCGGCTTATCGAATAACTATTAATATGATCTCTTTCACCTGGCTTCCTTTATTCGGAGAAAGGGTTCCAGGAGATAGTATTAATAGAAATGCTTTGAAGCTTTTGAAACACAGTGGAAGGGGATCGACCCTGCAAGTTGCATAATGAGATGTCGTGAACCAGGTTCGAAGGGGCGGTATGAAGTTACTTACCGTGGATTGCACCGGCCCATTCAGATGCATCGCACTCAAGACCGTACTGGAATGACTTAATAGTAGAATTTTTCTGCTGTCCAGTTCGATAAGTAATGGATAAATACGAATCGTATAATTAATAGAGAGTATCAAGAACGCATCAAGGGAGAGTAAACATATTAGAGAGGAATCATGTACCTGTGAATCAAAGTGTGCTTGGTTCCAAAGTTCGTTGATGTGTAGAAGGAAGTTGAGGATTTTATCGTGCTCAATGCCTGGATAGGGCAGCTCAGGGATGAGGCCGTAGATGAAATTCCCCAAGCTCTGGAAATTTATGTTGAGAGACTGCTCCTCAGTGTAAAGTGGAGGAGTGTCATCTGGCTCATCATATGTGCGACGCGCGGTATCCTTTGGTAGCCATTTTTTAACAAGAAGATCGATGAACTCGCGTGCGGCTTTTTGGGAAGCAGCGACGGGGTCACCATCGTCGAGGAGGAGTGGAGTAATGATGGGGAAGAAGTCCTCAGTGATGTCCTCTCCCCATTCTTGCTCTAACTCTTGCTTCTCGTTCTCTAGATATAGCTGCCACTTGGGCTTTCCCTGGCCCATGGCGCTTGCGATGATGAAGGCCTTGAGGAGGCGAAATGGCGGTAAGACCAGAATGAAGTGTGCGGATGAAAGAGTGAATATAGTGAGCGAGCAAGAAAATATGTCGCAAAGGTTGTGAATACCGAATACAATTAACAAGCAGAGGAGGAGACCACAGAATAACTAGATATGTACAGCTGTAAGTTAGAGAATCATCAAACTCTTCGAGGGACGCGCCAGAACCGGAAGCAAGCCTTATACAGGTGATATCCTCCTTTTATATAAAGTGATTGGGGACTGAGGAGGCTCATCATTGATTGTCATGCATGAACGAAGTGGGGTTACAGCGGTTGTGTGAAGACGAGTATTGGCTGGAGGCATCGTTCACTCCACTGAACAGAAACAGGCAGCGGCTAGCCGGCGGTAAACAAGTTGCAACTGCTAAGAAAGAAGTCGCTTCTTGTTTGGTTACCCCACCTACCAAGTTCTCTGCAAAGCGGCTACATCATGAGGTTGCATAAGCGCCTGTAACTATGTACAGGGCTCAAGAATCACAAAAAAACATAGGCAGTTAGTTACATTGATGAAACCAAATTTTAACCACTTCATGATATCGGATTCTATGGTTCGTCCGAAGGCTTTCAGTCTCCTCCCTATGTATCTAATAATGGCTTCTCTTGCCATCGTTCCCTCTACTAACAAGACCTTGAAGCATTGAAGGTTGTTTCTTCTTCCTAGTTCAAATTATCCCACTCCACCTGGGCCTACTATGTCTTCACCAATTTTAACATGACGGTCTTTGTCGGGTCCGGTAGAAGCTTGTGTAGGATGTCAGTAATAATTACGTACGTTAACCATAAATTGAAACTTACATTTGATTCAAATTCCAAATCTGGATGCCTGGGCTGACCAGCAGGGTTTCGGATATCAAATCGTAATAGGAACTCTGCCATAACAAGTTTGATCTCAACGTCTGCAATGAATCTTCCCGGGCAAGCATGACGCCCATATCCCCAAGCCAGATCAAGCTTCCCAGTACTGATGTAAAGGTGTTTATTTTCGCAGCCCTCTTTTTGCCTGCCTTCGTAAAAGCGAAGCCCATCGAAAACTTGCGGTTTCTCGTACAATCGATCATCCACTTGTATTGCCGTCGTGGGAAGCTCCATCTTTGTCCCTCTGGGTATATAGAGCCCGTTCGAAAGAGTCAGGGAATCAACGGCCAGGCGTTGGAAAGTAGCTGGTATCAGGGTGTCAGTGTAATAGGCGCAAAGGGAAGAGGCTTAGTAACCTACTTAAATCTGGAGCATGAAATCGCTGGCTCTCCTTCATCCAGCTATCGAGCTTTTTTAACTCACTCAGAGCCTTTTTGTTGAATGCTCTGCCATTCTCCTCGTATACATGTTTAATTTCCTCACGTAGTTCCGGGATACCCTCTGGATAGGCTGCCAGGTCATATAGCAACTGAGTGAGCGATGCAGATGTTGTATGTATTCCAGCGACTACGATCGCCATCTGGAGACGGACCATATCTTCAAGGTTAATCTTATCGTCGTTAATGAAATAGTCCATCAGCGAAGGAGGGTCGTTCATGTGCTGTTGCTGCAACTTATGTTTAGCGATAGTAGAAGACAGAAACTCTTTTGCTTGCTCCCATTGTCGTAGAATAAGCTGACGCTGAGGTAAGAAAAACATGACAAGAGGGCGTAGAACCTTAGGCCATCGCTTGAGAGCTTCGATATAGACGAGCACATTCGTAACATAGCTTGGTCCCAATTCCAGCCATTCGACGTTTTGGCTCGCCTCAGTTCCTGTGAATACCCTAGCTGACAGGATGCTCACCATCTCCATGATGCCATCATTGACATTGACTTCAGTCCAGTCTGCATACTTGTGAAACAACTTGTCCATTTGCACCTTGACGATATCATGCAACTCGGAGACGTAAGCGCCCACGGTGGGATTGAACTTTGATTTGAACTTGTGGACGGCATCATTCGACAAACCACCCACGCCAGTATAATCAAGCATTCCCTCGCTGCTGATGAACTTTTCAAAACTGAGTGCAGAATGACTTTTCAGCTCATCTAGAAATCCGATCGGGAGCTGTAACCGGACTCCCGCTGAGGACTCGATTCCCCATATCTCCTCTCGGAAACATTGATAGCCCTTAATGAGGAGATCTCTGGGCTGTGAAAAGAAGTACTCGCGGCGTTCTCGAGCACTGGGGATTTCTTTTTCTAGGATAATATGTTTCGCAAGGCGGCGTGGTTCAACAAGCGAAAAGAGAAGTCCCGACGTGGTGAGTAACATTACAAGTGCGCATAGCAATCCAACAGAAGTGAGTTGCGTCTCGTTCACCAATTTCTCGGTGACACCGTAAATCCTCCGTCCAAGGAGAACCAACAGCCCCGAAGAGCCCACAGGTTCTGGCATTCTGGTGACTGAATGGATTCGTTGTGCCTGCCAAACAGAATTTGGTAAAAGAGTCCTTTTCCAACTAAGGGATGGACGAAAGGGAGATGATTGTTTTGATTGAAGGAGTAATGATTGAAGGAGTAAGGAGCCAATGTTTTGTTGTTATATATAGATTGTTCTAATTTATGCTTAAAAAATTCTCGATACCCGTTTCGCCGCACTCCTCGGACTATTGATGAGATTCGAAAGTCCGCGCCAAGACCAAGATCTGCATAAATAATGACATATTTGCCAGTGTGGCAAGCCGGGAACTTGTCCTAAAAAGTCAAATATGGATTAGCAGCATTGTTAAGTTGTCACACATATCTCGGCTTCCGCGGGATGCAGGTCAACTACCGGGCAAGAGGGCCAGCAAAAGGGAGATGATCTACCGGGTCACCTATAGGGAAAATACCGGCTAATACAAAATCAAACTAGTCACGCCATCGTCATGCAGTCAACATGCCATAGATACGGTGTCAAATTTCTGAGGCCCACACACGACTTTCGCTCTAATATCTTTACAAAACTCCGAAAGCCCGGATTCCCAGGCTTCAGTGCTAAACTAGAGAATACCGTACGCTGATTTCTGGACGACAAACGACTGAAAGTCCGGACAGCCTGGTTCGGAAGGTGTCAGCACTCTCAGTCTCTTGATCCACATGGCAATACGATGAAAACTACGCCACTTCAAAGAGCTAAGAATCTTGCAAGTTTTCAATTTTCGATGGTTATAATGCTACCTCTCGACATTTGATAACGTGGCCGTTCAGATAGCAGCTCGAGGAGACTAATATGTAAGTTCATACTGAATTTTCGGGATGTTGGCTAAGGAAATATTACCAAACCTTCAGACCCAACGCTTTGTCAGTGAAGCCTTGAATTACTCTGCCATATTAGCTTCTCAGTTAACATGCTATAATACATTCTTGCTTATTCGGACGACTTCTCTTCTCATTTTACTACCTAAGTGCTCCCAATAAGTCTCTACAAGTTAAAGCCTTGGTGAAGAGGACAATAAGGCTGGAGAGGTGATCCGTTATCCGCCCTTTTCTCATGAGCTTCAATCCGACAGGAAAACTTGCTCCCACTCCTGATCCTCAAACCACTTTTTCACTGACTCCATCGTCAGCGGAACTCCTAGATCCTCTGGCTTCACGACGCTCCCATCGATCTTGGCGCCATCATACCCAAACTCAGCGCACCACCCGACCAGATCGAATAGACCCTTTGAGAGGTCCGGATCGCCCAAGCCCTGGGGGCTCGGGGCGGAATCAACAAAGTCAATATCCTTTCCTAGCGCCTCTCCAAAGAGCACTGCAAGTCGTCTCGGGGTGAGTATCTCACGAGCACCAATCAATTTCTTCCCTGGCGCCACTTGAAGTAACGCATGCACCAGTTGGCCCGTATTTTCAGCAGCCGAGTACCATGGCAATGGGGTGCTAGCCAGGGGCTCTGTAAGGGCAATGGTAAGACGCCCTGAGCTCTTGTCCTAGAAGTCTTGTCAATCATGATACCGCAACTAGGTGAGAGAGGAAGGGAGTAATTTATTGTGTGAACTCACTAATTTTGGTCGAAATAATGCGCCCAGTGGTCCGAAATAGTTCTCGAGATAAAAAGGAGCATAAAACACACTCGTCTTTTCCCAGAGCTTCGGATAAGTCACTCTGCCGTACTCCTCTGCTCTCCCTTTAGAATCAAACTGGTACACGTGTGTATACTTCCCGCCACTTAATTTGTTCGTGTCTGGTAGGCTAGAAAAGATGAATCTTTCGAGACCATCGACTTGAGCTGCGGCATCAATAATGTTCTTGTTCTGTTGAGTTTCGTACTCCCGGATATAGAGTCCAATGTTTTGTCCAACGGCGGCAGCCTTCTGGTGCTGGGCTACATCGGCCATGGGGTTCCAGTAATCGGTGACGCTGAATATGGCGGATGCACCTTTGAAAGCAACCTCTAAGGAGGCAGGGTCGTCAAAATTACCGGCGACCATGTCCACTCCTTGTTCAACCAACTTAGAAGCTTTTGGTGACGATGGATCCCGAGTAACACCACGCAGTGCGTAGGGAGAAGGTGACATTGATAGAAAGTGTGTGAGCACTGATCCGCCTTGGGTACCAGTTGCTCCTAGAACGACGAGAAGGGGTTTTGCTGAAGACATGGCGGTGATTGTCACAAGCTGCGTTTTGTTTGACTTGAAAAATAATCGAGACAGTAGGATCACCTCCTCCTTTATATAGCCAGAGTTCTGTAATCTTAGCTTACAAATGACCATATTAGCCTCTCGACTTGTGTTCTTAGGTAGTCGATGAGGTTTACAAGCACAACAGGTTGAAGTTCCCAACTGGGTTTAGTTCCCATAGGTTGAAATCACATCTCCCCCATTATGACCAATAGCGACCAGAGTCAAGAACATATCCCCACAGAGCTCCGGGTTTGTCCCGTCAAGATCTCGTGAAAACTCATGCAGCGAACTCAGCTGTACCCCGACATCCTTGCCGAGCCGAACTTGTGCGGCACTAATCCATGCCTGGGGTGACTCGGCCATCCAGAGACGCAAGCGTTTATCAAACGGAAGGGATTCAAAGAAAAGACAATTTGAGCATAGCTCGTGATTCAGACTATAGTACGCAAGACGCAGGATGTGTGACATGATGATGGTACGCCGAACGCTTTCCCCAAAAAGCCATGTCTGCCATGGAGATAGAAGTGGAGGTAGCTTGGGTTGTGCAGATATTAATAAGGCTTGACTCCAGCAAGAGAGAGTGTCAATATACTCTTCTGCGATTGCCCGTTCCACTGGATCTGATACAAATAAGGATATTGACAAATGTATGATAAGAGCCTGCACTGCCGTGAGAGCCTCTAGTATTGGAACCGCTTCAATGTCGACTTTGAGCAGGCGGTCAAAATATGGGTGTTTAACGCCACCTCTTTGGCCTTCAATGAGCGTTACATAATGGTTGTAGCCATCCTGTGCCTGCAGCCCTGGGTGGATGAAGATGGCTGGTTTGCGTTTCTTAATAAGATCTTGGACGGGTAGCAGGCCCAGACGCACCATCTCTAAAATATTTGACTGCTCAAGCTTGCAAGTTCCTGGGACCCTCGAAAAGAAAGGATCAAACGTCTTCATAACGCAGTGACCTGACTTAGTATCACCGGAGAGGTTATAGGAGAGTTTCTGTGCTTCAGTCTTATATGCGACGGTGTTGACTGGGGCCAAATCGTACAAGCAGTGGAGTCCCTTTTTGGCACAACGGGCACATTGAGGGATTTCAACAGTGCACTTGCGTTTGGCAATGGTGCAGTTGCGGCATGTTTTGCGAAGGCTTGCCATCCCAAAGGAAAGTTGATGAGAAGATTAGCAGCAATTCATTAGAGGCTACAGACAGAAATTTTCAAATCAAGGAAGACTCAAAGGATATATCTAGGCTCCATTCTGATTTTCAGACAGTCCGCTAAGCTAGGTTAGGTTTAGATTCCGCAGGTCTCAAGTTGCCGCTTACAAATGCCCAAAGCCGGAGTTCACAGAAACAAGTGTCTACTCCCCTTGCCCCCTCTAGGTCATGTGGAAACGATCCAGATGCCCCGCCCTCGTGGGCACTCCAATTGAAATGGGCGTCTTAACGCCTACCCTATATCACAGAACAGGTAATCATTATTCCACTATAACGTATGGCTATTATCTCCTTCTACCTATGGAATTATCAGTTGAAATCTGATTGAATTACTTTACGTTTAGATTATTAGAGTGTCTCGAAATCTGAAACAATCCTAACATTGAGTTTGTGTTGCTTCTATCGAATTTTACACAAGCTCACGAGACTCTGTCTCCTGGCAACCCTCCATGACATTCTGCCGTCCCTAATTTCCGTGTCCAACTTCAGCGTAGCCCGGAGATTGTACGAATACTTTAGGTATTTTTGTTTGAAATTTTCCCTTCAGTTACTGGTTGTAGGCTTGACCAGGAAGACGGATTCGTTTGAGATCACCAAGCGGTCATGGGGTTGGGGATGATTAGGCAAAATAGGCTTTGTCTCTTAGTCACCAGGCGGCCATACATCAACTCAGAATGCAAGCCCAGGTTACAGTGTAAAGCGGAGATCCTAGACTTCGGCAAAGTAAGTGGCGAGAATGGCTTTTGTCTTTTAGCATTGGTGCGCTTAAAAATACCCCAGAATAGGATGTCCCTAGCCGGCAAAACATGAGATGATGAGCGCATTTGTGATGCAACAGTACGGGAAATAATAACCTTAGTTCGGGTATAATCAAAAAGAGTAAAGATGCTCATTTCAAAGAATATATATGATTGCTCAAGTGACAACGAGGAGTTGAGGTGCGGGGATTTCTATGGACTCAGCTTTCTAAGTGACATAATTATTCAGCTCACAATGAAGCTATCGTCTTTGCTATCTCTGGCTACTAAGGTGGCTGCTGTTACTATAAGCGTATCGAAAGATGGCGGGAAAGACGCATCGCCACTACAATACGGGCTAATGTTCGAAGAGATTAATTTCTCTGGGGACGGGGGGATGTATGTTTTCTATATGGTGTTAAACAGTCTTTAGCAGCGTCTAACATGTCTCAGATACGCGGAACTCATACGAAACCGAGCATTCCAAGGCGATGAGTTCACGCCGTCGACTCTGGATCCTTGGTCGGCGTTTGGTCCTGCTGATGTCTCGCTTTCCAATTTGACTACCCCCCTTTCCTCAGCTTTGCCAACATCGGTCGCTGTGAAGGGTACAGTCGGAGAAGAAATTGGAATTTCTAACCCTGGATACTGGGGGATAGATGTTCTGACTCAGACATATAAGGGATCATTCTGGGTCTTTGGCGATTACCGAGGCGACTTCAAAGCGGCCTTGCGCAGCGCAAGCTCAGGTGAGATTTTCACATCAATCAACATTCCATCTCACTCCAACACACGTGAGTGGACCAAACATGAATTTGTACTTGACTCAGACATTGCTGCCGGGCACAAGACCAACTTCACATTGACCTTTGTGGCCAAGAGCAGCCATCAAGTCTTGAACTTCAACCTCATAAGTCTGTTCCCACCTACTTATAATAACAGAGAAAATGGACTGCGTCGAGACTTGATGCAATCGCTCAAAGATCTGAATCCTAGCTTTATGCGGATCCCCGGAGGTAATAATCTACAGGGGAAAGTGCCTGGAAGTAGATGGAAATGGAATGAGACAATCGGCGATCTCATTGACCGGCCTGGGAGAACTGGCGCTTGGAGGTATTACAACACGGATGGGCTTGGCTTGATTGAATATATGCTGGTGAGTGACCTTGCAACTACAGCTCTATGACTATATTTACTGACTAAAGAGTGGATAGTGGTGCCGGGACCTAGAAGTAGAGCCGGTGTTGATACTTTGGGCCGGGCTCTATCTCGATGGCACGGTCATCCCGGAGGATGGACTCGACTTTTATGTTCAAGATGCCCTTCACGAGATTGAATTTTTGACCGGAGATGTTTCGACTGAGTACGGGGCGAAAAGGGCTGCCTTGGGCTACGAGACGCCCTTTGAAATAAACTTCGTGGGCGTAAGTAAGGGGGAAGTTGGCTGTAAATGATCTCTCACTGACCAAGGTCTACTTTAGGTTGGAAATGAGGATCATTTCTCGAGTGGAATGAAATCCTACAACGAGTATCGATTTCGAATGTTTTTCGAGGCGATCAGTGAAAGATACCCCCATCTCCAAATTCTTTCTTCTACAGTCGAATTGGATCCTATTCCGAAGGGGGCAGTTCTAGATTACCACGATTATGGTGTAGGTCGTGCTCCCTGATTTCGTTGATGTCGACTTTGCTGATGAACAACAGAACCCAGATGGAGCTGTGAGAAATTTCACACTATTTGACGATCAGGATGAGAGCAACAAAGTCCTTGTTGGAGAATATGGCGTCGCAAGAAACAACGGCAATGAAGTTCTCTGGAAAGACCACAGAAAGCGGCCATGGTGGATCGCTAGTGTAGCAGAAGCTGTTTTCTATTTGGGCGTCGAACGAAATCCTGACAAAGTATTTGGGTGTGCTTTTGCGCCCCTGCTACAAAACATTGAATCCTATCAGTGGAATGTAGGCCCTCCGTATCTTTCTTGGATTAAGTCCATGGGTTTTATGATGAATAGCTGACTGAATTAGCCTAACCTCATCACGTTCAACGCAAACACATCCGCGACCGTCAAATCTACAAGTTTTCACGTCATGGAGCTCCTGTCCAACAACAGATTCACTACCCTTTTACCTGTCGAGAATTCAGAAGAATACGATCCTGGATTCTGGGTTGCTGGCCTGAATGAGGATATCAACACCTATGTTTGGAAAGGTGCCGTGTACAATACGACGACGGAACAGGAATTCGAGATCAACTTTCCCGGATCACAGCAAGGAGCATTTGCAGAGTTGACAGTCCTGACGGCGCCAGATGCTTTCTCTGAGAACGTATTTGGGGAGCCCGACCTTGTTGATATACAAAGAACTCAACTAGAAGCCGGAAAGGAGGGGTTCGCGTTTGTTCTTCCTCAGTGGTCAGTGGCCGTTTTGAGTTGGAAATACACATCGACAACGTAGAAGTCTATAAAACCGCGGATGCTCGACGAAAACATCTATTACTTGTCAAAAAGCATAGGTTTATGACATTATCCCTTGATCTTTAGCCCAAGGTGTAATTAGTTTATATACTAGAAAATTGTAGGATGAAATTCCAAGCACACCGAACTAAATTCAAAGTCCGTTTATGACTTCCCCCAACCCTGCCATTCGTGTCGTCTGTGCAGTCGCTAGCGCGTGTAAAGTAACGAATACTATACCACCTGGTGCTCTACTCCTCACATCCAACGACCTTACTGAAATCTGTCTTGCTCGCATGAGCAGTCACACCGCAGAAGATCTGGTTCTTCCCATCAATAGCAAAGAGGACCTGGATTGGTATTAATATTTTGCACAAATACCAGGGAATTGCAAAGGTATCATCACCCTGTATGTTCCAGGCTTTGCGCCAAATGTGTTCCATGACTGGCCCGATGGGCCAATTGGAATCTCGTAGACCTTTTCACCTTTATTTTTCTTATCATCGCAAGCTGTGCTTTTCTTGAAAGGCCAAGAGCCGGTGCCAGTGTACCTATATTCCTTTGGGAACCCGTTGTTCTTAGCGTTGGGATCTGGGTTTGCCTTGATATCGGCCTCAATGTCGTCTTTCTTGAATGTCTTCCCAAAGCTGGAAACCTCGGCTGTGTGAAATTGTTAGTAACTGAGAAGGATTTCCATACACTTAATAAGGGGGGTATTACTAATAGGGCATTTGACCTCTCTGGCCGACTGGACATCTCTCGCGCGTACGGTTGCCGGCGACGGCGTTGCTGCAATAGCGAGAGTGGCGAGGACTCCTACAGCCAAGAAAGTGTTGTTGAAGTTAACCATGGTCAACCTATAAAGAGGCGAGTAAAGGTTAATGATACTATTTCTAAGTGAATGATGAGTATGTGATGAGATTTTACTCTGATGAAAAACTTCCCCCCACGAAAAGTTTCTTGACTACTTATACTGGTGACATCGACCGACCACCGCTGACACTCACATCATTATCTCATCGCCTAATAAGTCCCTATAGCAGTCAGAAATGAGATAACTTAGTTACGCTGTATTGCCTCTTTTACATTTGATTCCACTAAGCCTGCAAGATCTTTTGCTTCTCGTCGAGGCGTGTTTGGAACTTAGGCCCTATATTTGACACATAATACGCCGTTAAGATCCCCTACGGCCGGTAACACGAAAAGCCTATTCGGGAATCACGTAAGATATTGCCTTTGTTGACAATATTGTATTATAAGTGTACATAATAAAAATTCCCAGACATTCAATTCTTCCTTAACAGACCCATAAAATTTATCTGAGATGAGACATTCTTACGCTCCAACGTCAGACTATTGGCTTCGTGTTGCCATTAAGGATGAAGGAATCAGACAATAGTAAACAAGGCTCTAAAGGTAGCAATGATGACGCCTAGAGAGGGGATTCTCTTGGGGCGGATGGGTAAGACTGAGCGATGTCCTACTGTGACCTATGCATAGTAAGGCCAAGATGACAGCCTGTTTTCATTACTTTGGTGGGCACCAAAAATCAGGCAATCGGGGTAGAATTTCGTTTTTAAAAGCCATTTGCTGTCTAATTCATACTGTAGCAGTATATGGAACTTGGTGGCTAAAGTAAAATCGAATACAGAAGTTTCCTAACACAGTGCAGGTAAGTAAATTCATCGCACGGACAGTACCTTCACCTGGGTAGCACAATACCTAAATAAGCAGAGATGTGTTCTTTTCTTCGGGCCATCAGCCGTGGCTATACATCGTCCAACACTATCATTCAAGCATACCTCACATATTTACGATTACGCTAATCGCAATTTTGGCAATCTCTGATAGTCCAATACATTACAACGGCATACACATCATGTCGGGCTGGGACTTGGGTCAAGATAGCCTCAAAGTGCTTGACATATGGCTTTCCGTCAGACCTCAGAATGAAGCTGATATCATCAATCCTTCATCTTCACCTACCATCAAAACCGCTGCAAATACTCTTCTTAGCTATCTCACATCTCAGCCTGGAGAGCACGCCGATGAGTTTGATGAGTTTGACGATCGTTCCGCGCGTCTCCATCATGCCCTCGTCGAGCTCTGTCTCCTTCATCCCCGCGTCATGGACTGGGGCATAACAGTTCTCTACGAGGTCATAAGAAACACGCCAGCTGATGCTGTCGGCGCACTCGGTGAGGGGCCAGAAGGAGCACGACTAGATCTTGAAAGATTCTTTGGGGACTACTTGTCCCTCTATGAAGATGGGACCAGACCCAAAGTGGGCACAAAGCCTAGGGATAGACCCAATGCGAAGGATCCATTTCTAGTGCAATTCTCAGCGGAAGAAGTAGAGGAGAACGCTGAGGATGTGATAGACAAAATGGCAAATCTGAGGAAGAGCAGGTGGAAGAGCATCATTTTCGGGTGTTTCTCGGCGCGCTGTCATGTTTTGGAGACGGTGGTTCATCCATACAAGGAAGCTTTGGTCCAGCGATTACTGGAGTTCCTTGACCTTCAGCTGGACCCAACGAAGCAGGAGTGGAACAAGGTGGACTGCGTCGGTCTTCTGACTACGCTCAGAGGATCCGCTTCATATCTCCTCTCTACTTTTCCCGCAGAGGAGCGAAAGGTGAAGGAGCAAGAGTGGATCAAGGGTCTGAGCAATCTGCTCTCAACGAGCCACGAAGGAAGAGAAGCGGAGGATAAGGCCGATGATATTCAAGTCAAATCTCATGCAGCGGTAAGTTTTGATCACCGGAACTTTTTGCTAACCTCATCACAAGAGCATTAACTAACTATTTTTTTGATAGTTGGCGCTCAAGAACCTCAGAGCAGGGGGGCTTAACGAATCTAGCGCGGATCTTTTTGATGTTCGATATTGGATGTTTTAGATTAAGATCTTTTGATCCCAAAAAAAGCATTAGAGGGATATGATTCTATGATCTACTCCTACATGTTCTCTTAATTAGTTTAGGCTGTACATAGTCTTGCTTGGACTTGTTTCGGTTTAAAGTTACGAGCTTAGTTGCTAGGGATAACCATAGCATCAATGATATTGTTTGTTTGAGAGTTTTGGTACTGGTCGTCTTCCTCCATGGTGGAACTTCCCTCAGCAACTATCAAACATAGACAAACCAAACCTTTTCATCGCAGAGAAGTCAATTTCCACTTTTCTCTTGTCAATAGCTAGTTTGAAGATGAGAGGCATGCTTTAAAGGGGAGACGGTGACAATTTACTAGCCACCCATATATCTTATATAGATGCTTAACCCACCAATTCTACTTGCTATTTAGCACGCCCGTGGTCATTAATATTATTTTGCTCTAAAACAGATCAACTACAATTTGCTGCAAATTGTTACAATTTCTTATCACCGTAATATATAGCATATCGTAGATCCTAGTTGTCGTCGCACGGTTCGAACTTGACTTCAAGGTAGATACAATCTGAGTGAATCTACTCCGCTTTTTCGGCTGCAGGTTTTACGTAGTTGTCTCGATCTGTGCTGTTTGCCACTTCCTCCCATTCATCCATGATCTTGAGCGCGTCCTGGCTAACCTTCCTGCAAGTCTCCTGTGCCTCCGACCCTAAGACCAACCGAACCGGCACCGTCTTCCCTTCAGCACAGCCCGTCCCCTTTGCAATGTCAATCATCCTGGCAACGCCTTTCTTTGCATCACCAGGTGCATTCGTAAATATTTCATGGGTGGTTGACATGACGATGTCCATAAATTCGGTGTAGGCTGGCACTCGATTCTCGGCGCACACGGATTTGTTTTGGAGTTTTGTGTGGAAGAAGCCTGGCTCAACGCTGATGAGCTTGACGTTGGGCGCTAAGAAGCTCATCTCATGAGCAATGCACTCGACAGCTCCCGCGAGGGCAAACTTGGCCGAGCAATAGGACGTGGCGGCAGCGGCACCATGTCTAGAGTAATAAGAGCTGACATATAAGATTGTACCCTTATTCGACGGTCTCATCTTGCCCAGGGCGGCACGGGTGATGTTGAGTGGTCCGTAAAACATTGTCTTCATGGCAGCTTCAATATCCGCCTGCCTAGCCATCGTCTTCGAGTTAACAAAGGTCTTTTCGCTCTAGGTCATAGATTAACGCACCGAGTATCCTCAAAGGCACCAATTGCCGAGAATCCTGCATTGTTCACAATGACATCGATGCCCCCGTAGATCTCCCACGCCTCATTGATCTTGGAAGTAATGACATCTTCGGGAGAAGTGACATCCAGCTCTAGGATCGCACAGCCCGTCTCTTTCAGGTGAGCCAACCTTTCCTCAACGTTCCGACCGGTGGCAATCACATTATCGCCGGCAGCTCGAAGCTGACGGACAAATTCCTCTCCAAAGCCGCTGGAGCAGCCGGTGATGAGCCACGTCTGGACCATGATATCGGGTAGTGTGGTAATGCTGTCTTCTGCATATGTGCTCGAATAAAATCGGTATTTTCCACAGAAATGTCCTTTCTATCCAAAAAAGAGCGAATGGTTTAAGTGTAATATCATTCCAGTTATGTCAAGTTATGTCAACGCCCGTTATGTAAGGGCTGAATGTTAGGTTATATAGGCAGGCATTACGCCATCGGGTACAGCGGAAACCCGCTTGGTGGTCGTGTAACAGCCAACCCTTGCCATGCCATCGAAGGAGGGGCTTCAGGGGTGACTACCGGCAGGAACATCAACTCGCAACTGTTTAGCCGCTTTGGATGGATCTGCATCAACCCTTGTTGATTGTATACTGCTACTAAGTGCTTGCACTGTCATGATGTTTGGTGCAAGATTCAAGTCACGTCCATTGGGGAGTTGGTGTTCCCCTTTCTCGCGAAGCAAGAGTTGGCTGTTTGGCAGCCCAGTAGGTAGGCCAGTCAACAGGGCAGCGGTTGAGACATTGTCTCTGTCAGCGAAAAATGATTTGAGACAGGACCATGATCAGGTGATTTATAATTACATAAGCTAAGCTGTGATACTGATGACAAAATTACTATAAAGAGAAGATTGGATGGAGAAGCGGTCAGGAGTCAGGACTCTCCTCGGCGGGGCATGGCCACGTATTTCAAACATCTAGTGCTTATCCATACCCACTCTCTGATCCTCTCAGCACTCGGGCCAGATTGGGAAGAGGAAAATTAAACCAGGTGAGCATTTGCTCTGCTGCAGCACTTTTGGGAAAACCACACGAAGCTACTGTATGCTCGTACTTCAGACTCGCTGGTATTCCTCCCTGACCAATCGGTGCATCAGGTTGACCCTGGGCATTTCTGGCTCCTGTGTTGTAAATCATCTATGGTTGACAAGATGGCTCCAGACGATGGACTGGCCGAAGAACGAGGGGAAAGCCCTCTCTATGAATGGACGAGTAAGCAGAGTTTACAGTAACGAATGTCATTTTGGATAGCACTAATGAACAATGTGCTATTACATTACTGCAGTCCACAGTATAGGGCGCCTTCTTGTGAACAACCGAAGCGTGGGCTCTCCATCAACAATCAATATAATGCTCACTTTCCCCAACCCAAGTAGCCTTGATTTGAGCCGGTTGACAAAGAGGATCGACGAGCTTCAGCAATTATGGCCATTGCTCAGCGCCACAGTCGCAGACCAGCGGACTACCAAACCAAAATTTCGATATAACTATTCAAGTTGGCCCGCAGACCAGATTCTTTCAAGCAAAACTTATGAAACCAATCCGGACAATCCCACGGAGGAAAGGGACACGGTATATGAAATGGCTCTGCGCCAGTTCCAAGTCAAGATCTCGTATGATAGCGATCCTCTCTGGGGAGTCACTCTGTTTCGTGCCTCGTCTGATCCCGAGAACCAAAGGCTATATATCGCATTAACCCTGGACCACGTCATCATTGATGGCCGCGGGGCTGTTAAGCTGGCCAAAGCTCTTGTTGCCACCGATGTTTCTCATCTAGCCAGGGAGGATATTGAGCTCTACGATAAGGCGGGCATTGGTGCAGGGGCTGAGGAGCTACCACCATACTCTGTGATTGCCGCGACTATTTTCCGTGTGATTTTGGTCCCACGACTGCCGGACGTAGTGAAAAGATGGCTTGGCTATGTTCCAGCTTGGCCCCAGAAGATAACACAGTTGACGATTAATAGTCCTTGGAAATCATCTATCGTCGACGTCCCAGCTAGCTTGACGCTGAAGCTCAAGGAGGTGGGAAAGAAACACGGAGTAGCAACACTCAACCCGACGTTTCACACCGCTTGGGTCCTGGCAGTCTGGGCGGTGTTTATTGACGGAAAGAGTGACGAAGCGGTCCGGGATTGCTCAATCAAAGACTTGCGCGATGTCAGCAAGGGAGACCCATACTGCATGTCTGGCCGCCCGACTATATACATGTGGTCAACCGGTAGACTGACGGACAAGTCACGCTTCTGGGACCTGGCTCAGGCTTATTCGCATGTATCGACGGATCCGCAGGCGGCCCTCGATGGCCTGAATATGATGAAGATGGTGAACATGATCAAGGATGGACCAGCCAACCCCGAAGAGTGTAAATATCGTGCGCCGGACTCTGATTCGCTCCCCGCCGGAGACAAGAGGGCGTACACGCTGGGGGAAGAGGAAGCACTGAAGAAGATCAACTCCATATCGCCCTTTCAAGGCATGAGCGGTACCTGGTCCAACCTGTCATATCTCGGCCTCCCTGAAGGCGCGACCGACATGATTTTTGGCGTTTCTGGAAATGACACTGGCACTGCGTTCAACACGTGTCTCGTCGGGCACGAGGGGGGAGCTAGGATACAGAATGCTTATTCCGACGGCGCCGCAATGGCAGAGGATGGCGTTAAGAGGGCTGAGAAGGTCTTTCTAGATATCCTAAATAGCATTTCTGAGGAAGAAGAGAAGGACTGGACCGTCGGTGATCTTGTTAAAAAGTCCTAGTCAATTACATAGCGAGAAACTCGGCCACAGCATTCGGATGAGACTTTAACCATGCATTAATTATATCAAAAGCCGAACCCAACATCTTAGTATGATAACGAAAACAGCCAACAAAAAAACTATGGTTAACATAGGCCAGTGATAGGACTAACACTTTACAAGTGAGAATTGGAGTCAAGGGTTACGCTCTCAGTGGGTGTTATATGGGTGGGCTGAAAGGAGCAGCATCCTGCGATTGGTCGCCTGAGTTTGGGTAAGGCGACAAAACTGACGTGCATTTTCCCCTCATTCTCGCCTGGCATTTTTCCCCACCGCAAGGCCTTACTCGTCATCTTTCCAACCTCAGTCGGCCTCTGATTCATCTGGCTATGGCTACAATTAATCCCATACACCAGTTATGGATCCGCCTCAAGTCCATATAGATGGCAAACCCGACACATCGAACGCGACGCAACGATCCGACCGCGGCAAAACGTTCCGCATCCGAGCCGTGCCTATATCCTGGGATTCGAACCGACTGGCATCGTTTCTGCGAGATTCCACCGACGATACACACCCAACTGTGCTATCACTAGCTCCCGAAATCCACGGGCGGACACAAACAGCCACTGCGACGTTCTTACGAGTTCCGCCGCTTCCACGAGGCGCAAAAGCCTGGCGTATTCCATTACCAGCCGGGGATCAACTCCAAAATAAACGACAAAAATCGATCGAGCTCGATGGCGACTTCCTCGGGGTCACGACCTTGTACCAACCGCCGCCACACGAGCATCAGACCGAGTGAGTGGCCCAGACCATCACTCAGATATATACTCACCCGCCCAGTATCGTTGCGATATCCGGTATCGGTGGACATGCGTTCGGCTCGTTCAAGGAGAGGGGCGGCGATTACATGTGGCTACGAGACGGCCTGGCCGATGACTTGACGACAGCACGGATCATGATATATGGCTACAAATCGACAATACCAAATAGCAAGAGCATGCAAACTCTAGCAGATCTTGCATTGTCATTCTACACTTCGCTTGAGTCGCTCATTGGTGACGAAGATCCCAAGCCAATTGTTTTCATTGCACATAGTCTAGGCGGCCTAATCGTTAAACAAGTAGGTACCGTCAATGATGTGCTCTTCTATACAGGTATCTGATCCATTACCTAGGCCTTGGCAGAATTATCAAAGTCTGAAAATGAGGTCCATGTGAAGCTCATGCAAGCAGTGCATGGACTTGTCTTCTTTGGGGTGCCTAACGATGGCATGGACATCAAGTCTCTGATCCCTATGGCAGGGGATGGGCCGAACCGATCACTAATCGAGTCCCTCAGCAGTAGCAACTCACAAATGTTGCGTACTTTACATCAGGAATTCCACGATATCTTGGGTTCGGGGCGGATGATATTATGTTTTTATGAAACAGATTTATCCCCTACAGCCCAAAAGGCATGTTTCCAACTGAGAAAGAAAAACGGCGTGGAAAATTAGCTAACAAACCTCAGGATGAAAACGGTAAATGGAGTATGAAAGGACCGGAAACGGTGCTGGTTACCCAAGCATCCGCTATAAACTGTCGCCGCTGGGAAACTGGCTCTGCTTATATATGTCCAATCTCTCGTAATCACTCCGACATGGTCAAGTTTGAAGAAGAGGATGAGGAGTATGAAAAAGTCCGTGGAAGGATCAGGAATATTGTGAGAAAAGCGAAGATCCATCCACCAGTCTACGATATCAGAAGTATGTAGCAGATTCTTCTGCTTATCCATGATAGCCATGGTATAAGACTTCTAGCCGTTTCTGACATTCTCACCGCAGGTCGTGCCATCTATGACAATACATATTCTTCCAACGCACAGTTGGCTGTGAGAACAAACCAATTCGCCGACGCACAAGATACGCCGACGCCAGTCTATAGCGGAGCCGCAGACCTATCTCATACATCAAAGCCGGAAGATGGAACTCAACAAGAAGTTAAAGATGGTACGTCTTTCGACTTTCAACTATATAGCTCATTTATTCTTGAGTGCCTATTGAGAATTAGGAGGGAACTAAAAATGGTCTCACAGCCTTTCTCCGGTCTCTTGGGTTCTCTCGCATAGACGACCGATACCATGCCATAGACGCTGCCCACCCTGGCACGTGCGAGTGGCTTTTCGAAACCCCGTCGTTTCACAAGTGGTGGAATCGCGATGAACTCGAGCTAAATAACGGAGTCCTGTGGATCAAAGGAAAACCGGGAGCGGGAAAGTCAACCTTGATGAAGCACATCCTACACTGGTGTGAAGATCCGGATCACTTCAAACCCCAATTAATCGTCCGATATTTCTTCAACGCACGAGGCGTTTCCGAGGAAAAGTCAGTGTTGGGAATGCTACGTTCAATTTTAATCCAACTACTTACCGAGGACTCGACTATTTTCGACAACTTCTTCCAAATGTTCAAACAACGAGATACGACTAAACAGGACTGGGTTTGGGAAGTGGCCCCATTGACCAACTTCATTCTTGAACTGGCCAAGAAGAAAGCCACCAGACCAATGGTTATTCTCATCGATGCATTGGATGAGTGCGATGAAAGTGACGTAAGGCTTGTTGTTGACTTTCTTGAAAACCTAAGTTGCCACGCTATCTACTCGGGGTTTGAGCTGAGGATATGCCTGTCAAGTCGACATTACCCCAACATCACCATGAATAAGATGGTTCAGTTGATTGTGGAGACGGATCTGGGACATGAAAATGACATATCAACGTATATCAAAGCAAAGCTCCGGGTTCAAGATGATGGCGTCCAGGAGAGAGTTCAGAAGAAAGCAGATGGCATTTTCATGTGGACCGTTTTGGTTGTGTCAATTCTCAATAAGGAGTTCGACCAAGGCTCTCGGGAAATATTAGAAAAGACTCTGGAAGACGTCCCTGGAGATCTGGAGGAAGTCTTTGCTAATCTTCTATTGGAAGACGGGAAGGCTGACCCAGAAGCTGCGCTCATGTTTCAATGGGTGCTGTTCAGTCAAAAGCTATTGAAGCCTCAAGAACTATTTCTTGCAACTCAGATGGGGTTATCTCCAGATTCTAATGGAGTATGGGATCACTCCAAGTTTACTCTGGACTATATCAAACGTCGCATTGTTGCCATTTCGAAAGGCCTCATCGAAGTACGAAGTGGCGGTGATAATGACGACCTATATGTCCAATTCATCCATTTATCGGTCAAAGACTTTCTTTCTCGGAACAACAGGCTACAGGCACTGGATCCTACCATTGGACAAGAGCCCGTCCGCCTCAGCCACCGTCGACTCTGGAGGATCTGCTGGGATTCTATCAACCGGTTTCATGCTCAGAACGCAGATTTCAGTAATGACGATCCTTATTTTGAATCTCGGCTCAGCTCTCCATTCATTAAATACGCAGCGAGCTTTTTGTTCGACCATGCCAACTGGGGAATATCAGACCAACACAAGGGCTCGGGGGGGTGGTTCCAGAACCCATTCAAAACGCGTACCCAAGATGCAAGCAAAGAGGATCTTGAGAAATGGCTGAATGAGCATAAAAGCTGGTACGAACTATGGCAGCGGAGTCCCAGGTACCAGTCCGGGCTCAGTTTCCAACTAGATGTGTCAGAGGGGATCGTGTACGTCTTCTCTGCTGGCGGATATGCCCGACTGCTAAGGGCGCTCTTGAAACGAAAGTCCATTGACGTTCGTGCCCAGAGTGACTACCACGGAACGCCAATACACGCTGCCTCCTATTTCGGCCGTATAGACATTGCGCACATACTGCTAGGTGCAGGTGTTGATGTCAATGCGCAGGGTGGTAGATATGGCACTGCACTACAGGCTGCCTCTACTGGAGGAAACAAAGACTTGGTACAACTACTGCTCGATGCAGGTGCCGATGTTAAGGCGCGAGGTGGTCGATATGGTGGTGCACTACAGGCTGCTTCATTCAATGGAAAACGAGACATTGTACAACTGCTGCTACATGCAGGCGCTGATCTGAATGCTGTAGGTGGTGAACATGGCACCGCACTATACAGCGCCTCCTACTCTGGTCATATAGATACAGCACTACTCCTGCTGGATGAAGGAGCCGATGTTAATACGCCGGGTGGTAAATTCGGCAATGCACTACAGGCTGCCTCCAGGAAAGGAGCACAAGATATTGCAGAGTTACTGTTAACCGCAGGCGCTGATGTCAATGCCCAAGGCGGTAAATACCACACTGCCCTACAGGCTGCATCCATCGACGAGATGGAGGTCGTGACGGTGCTCTTGGCTGCAGGGGCGGATGTCAATGCTCAGGGCGGCTACTATGGGAACGCACTCCAGGCTGCCACTTATCACAGAGCAGCAGATATTGTGTCACTACTACTAGCTGCAGGCGCCGATGTCAATGCCAAAGGTACATATGGCACTCCATTACAGGCTGCCACTCAGTCTGCTGGGGTCTTTGGAGGAGAAGTGGTCAAACAGTTATTGCTGGATGCAGGCGCTGTCCAAGACCCCGTGTCTTCCCGTGGGAAAGTTGGCGGAAGGAAAAAAGTAAAACCTCTAGTGTTAACCAAATAGAAAGTCTTATACCACTAATCAAAGGATCTATGACGTATAGGTGGGATATCAATTCTGGATGGTTCTCCATACTTCAGACCCTACCTCCCCGTGTGCACTCATCGATTCAATGGTAACACGAGAATATCCCGCATAGGATCATTTGACCGACAATGGCAGATTACGATAGGTACAATACTCTGGAGCAGCTTCTTCGGTCTCTATTCAATCCTCAAATGCATAGATCTCCTTTAAATTACCTAGGTAGCTTGTCATAGAGATCTACGACAACCTATCGATTATCTTTGGGACAATCTGATCATAAGCCCTTAACCTACCCTAGACCTTCATCATGCTTGCGGTATACTACCTCTTCATCAAATCAAGCTATCACTGCGGAAAACGCCTTCAAGCTGATAGTGAGCCACAAGACTAAATATAGCTCTACTTTGTAAAAACTGGAATGTGTTACGAAGGCTGCATGGATATGATCTAGTAGAAAACCACGAGGCAGTGATCATTGTACTCCCCCATTCGAAGCCCGCGTAGTCGGGCACAGTGGTTGCTGAATTATTGAGAGGGTACTTACTCCTTTCCCCTATTTGTTGCAGGGGATTAATGCAACCTATTCCATAGATGGACATCCCTCCGCTTGTTGGCTGCAAGTTGTTAATTGATTGCGCGGTTTTATTACGCATTATATGCACGGTCGACCAACAATCAACAAGTAAGCCGATCTGACCGTACGATACCAGCAGACTATAAAAGGGTCAAACGTGACCAGCAATGCACCTCATCAACTGCCTACCTTTCACCTACCCTCACATCCTTCACATTGAATTTACTCAACCCAATTAGACTAATCTCCTCCCCTATTTATTTCATTATGGAGCCTCCCCCACCAATGTCATTCTCTGCACAGATGAGAGCCGATGCACATAAGATAATTGAACAAGGCCATCCGGAATATCTTGTACGCGAGGTTTCATCAATTTCCGCACGCATAGTCGAGCACTTCACTGCGATTCCAAATTCAGCTCTAGGAACCCTTGAGGATTATCTCCACAATCTATGGTATCAAACTATTCTAGCAGGCAAGCATATCAGTGCTTCTTCTTATCTGCAGGATAGCCTTGTATGTCATCTTATTGCCATTAAGAATCTCGGACCAATACCGCTTCCAGCTGGGTGTACTGGCGGTAATGTGTGCTCTGACGGCCGCACATTCTTATCTGACCTGCCCCTCTTTGGCCAAGATCTTATTAAAGAATTTACGTGCCACTTCTTTCAAAAGGGCGCTTATACTCCTAACCAGCAAGAAAATCTCGCAGCACTCCTTGGGCGACTAGCTTCTGTCGGCATCTATGATGGCCCTGCCCTCTGTATACTCTCGCTATTCCGGGAAACATTAGAGGTCCCTCAATGTCTTGTTGCAGATCCCGAAAGTAAAGAAATACCATTGGTGGATCTAATGTGCGCTCTCACGCGTTTGATCGAGCAATCAAAATTCAGCCTTGCCCTCTTGGCCAGCGGCCATGCATCAACCGCTACCGCCAATCTCAGTGATCATTCGAACTTGTCTAGTCTTGGTGAACTGGCTATTAAGGCTGGAAATATACCCTCGCTTGGCTATAGCCGTCAGCGTTTGGAGTTTTGGCTACGGCGGATTGATGAATTGTCCCAGAGTGAGGACGAGGATGTTCAACTACATGCTGAAAGCTGCAAAGGGGAACTGTTACAGGTTCTGCGGGATGTTGGGAAGACGTATGGTCTGGGGTCGGGGTTTTAGAGAAATGAGGAAACATTCTAAAACTGCCCTGCTCTAGGTTCCGTTGGTGTAGACGGGAGCTATGAATTCAAATATCTAACCAAGGTACAGTCTAGATATGCCTTTGTAACACCGGCTGAAGTGGCCGGACTCTTTACGGCTTGGCAGAGCTATTCCCTCGACCCCAGCATCCAATGGGATCATGACCATCATAGAGTGGGGTTGTAATGATGATGCTTACGCAGCTTTAGACGAAAGCGGTAAAACAAAGTATATTGTAGCTAACAGCCCTTCGAGGCCCCTGGCCATACTTGCACCTAACTCTTCAGGGGTTGTACGACAAAACCCAATTCGCTCAGCCTACGGGTTCTCCATGTGACATTCCTTAGCAGCAGCTGTAGGCTTGCAATGACGAAGAGGAAGAAGTACCGAAAAGTCCGAGGCGGCTGCCTCACCTGCAAAGAGCGAAAGGTCCGATGCGGTCTCGAAAAGCCAGAGTGCGAAAACTGCACGAGGCTCGACCGGCCGTGTGCCTATGCTGACACGCCGGCTCGACCGTCTGCCATGCAAGAGGCTGAGCTCATGCATCATTACACAGCCTATACCTGCCTCTCTATGAGCGAAAATCCCGTTCTTCGTTCGCTTTGGAGGGATATCGTTCCAAAGCACGCCTTCCGACACCCCTTCCTGCTTCAAGGCCTCTACGCCTGCGCAGCTCTCCACAAGGTCCACGGCGATCAAAACATGGCGCCGGAAGCCTTAGCCCGCCTGATCCATGCTGCAGATTTCTATCAACAGGACTCTCTGAAGACCTACATTGATCTGCTGAGTAACGTTACCGAGGAGAATTGCCACGCACTATTTGCCTTTTCGCAAATCATCGCGGGCCTCAGCTTTGCGCGTCTTAGTTCAACTATCTATGAGCACACCAGCGGTCCCATTGATTTCATTGACAGTTTTCTCAGTCTTTTCGAGTTGATGAAGGGTGCTCTCAATGTCGCCATAGAGGGCATAGAGTGGCTACGAGAGGGAAATTTGAGGTCCATGCTGGGCGATGCCCCCAGCATACCATCTCGACAAGACCTGGCAGGAAGCTCCACTCCTTGCGGGAGAGCAATGGAAACGCTCTCACATCATATTGCAGTTCAGATACAGGATGATGAAGCATCCAGAGCTCGAGTGGAGGTTCTACAGTCTACTCTTCGCCTCGTCTACAGCCTTTTTCTTGAACCGCCTGAATCAAAGGAGAGGCTGAATAATATCGGCGGCTTCCTGGTGTTTGCCGACCTGGAATTTATACGGCTTTTAAAAGGATGGGACCATGGCGCCCTGGCTATTCTGGCATATTACGGCGCTGCACTGCATCGGCTACGCCATATTTGGTACTATGGAGATGTGGGTGCTAAAATCGTTAAAGCTGTGGAAGATATTGGTATCCAAGCCTATTCCACATATTTGACATGGCCTCAACAGCAAGTCGGCACCTAGTCTCGCAAGCTTTGTATGTATTCTTTTCGATGTCATAGTTCATGCCGCATTTATTGCGTTGAAGCTTGTTAATCCTTGCACACTATCTTAATTCCACTTTGTTCAAGTCTCAAGTGCCCCGGAGGCTCATGGAGGTTATGAATGACCAGGCTTTAAGTGAGGTGCATGACCTCCGGGTACGAAAAGCCTGAAACATTGCCGCACACGCGTGTTGTAGTGGTCCGTCCTTAGCTTTGATCGACTCTGACATTCCCAAGTTGGAGATAGTGGGGAATTCTGTCCGCGAGCAACGCGAGAGCCTATCAAATGCCGCCAGCTCCAATCCTCCTGAATACCAAATAGGTATGACAACAGGGTCATCAATGAACGGGTTGGGGTGGCCGCCCAGGGTTGAGTGGTCTTTGCAGTGGGATCGGAAGCGTCGGTGTCGGTCTGTGATTAAAACCTTACATTCATTGGACGTTACTTGCTGCGGCTAGTGATAGAATATTCGAGCTCCATCCAATGTTACTGTGAGGCTTGGCTGCTTGGTTCTAGACTAGGTTGTATGTGAGCAAGACCCTGTAACATGTTGGCGATGACAGCGAGCCTGCTTGGCGTATGGCTTTGCGAATATAAGAACCTTTGGACCACACGACTAATACAATTCTATTATCTTCCCATTGCACATACTTTGATATTTACATCGGTAGTAATCGAAAACTTTAGAACTACAACATGTCGATGATACCTCGAATCACTGCCTTGGCAGCTCTGCTGTTGCCGCTTTCTGTATCTTCCATGCAGATGGAAACTCGACAGACTATTCCGGGAGCAGAGAGTACTGGATTCTTTCCTGTAAGTTGAACTTGAGGAGCCTCTTTAGTTCTCGACCTCGCGTTCAATCTTCACTGCACTTCAACGACCTCGCAACTGCTATATCTAACAAGATTGCTAGTGCGACGCCCTGATTGCTGCAGGCCTTGGCGACCGAGTTCTGTTGGCGACGCATGACGGATACGAGCCACGTATAAAGACTTACATGTCTGCCAACGCCCAGTACCGCCCGTGGTGCATAGTGCAGCCATACACTGCTCAGGAAGTATCCCTCACTGTCAAAATTCTCGGCGACTGCGGCGAGGGTGCTGGAGATTGGCACATCGCGGTCCGCGGTGGTGGAAACGGCAACCCAGGAAGCAACAACATAGCTAGCGGCGTTACTATTGACTTGGGAATGATGAACCACTCTTCCTATGATCCTTCGAGGGAGTTGGCTTCGGTTGAGCCTGGCGCCGCCTGGATGAATGTCTACAGTGACCTCCTCGAGTCTTCCAACGTCACCGTCGCGGGCGGTCGCTCTGGGGGCGTCGGTGTTGGGGGATTCTTGCTCGGCGGCGGGAACTCTCTTTACACGGGACGCTATGGATTCGGCTGTGATACTGTGATCGGATATCAGGTGGTTCTTGCCAACGGAACCATCGTCGAGGCGAATTCAGACACCAACGCTGATTTATGGAAAGCTCTGAAAGGTGGAGGTATGAATTTTGGCATCGTCACGCGCTTCGACATGGAGGCCATTCCAGCCACCGACGTAGCATTTGGGCAGTCTGTGTTCTCTGCAAACCACTCGGACCAACTCTTTGATGCCATCTCGGAATTCACAGACCATCCTCAAGAGCTGGCGGCGGATACAATGTACACGCTGTTTAGCCACAGCCCGGCTTCTCCAGAGGAGATGACTGCCATGGTGATTCGCGCGAACACCAAGGGTGATCTTGATACAGCGAGCTTCGATAAGATCACGCATATCCCATCGGTTGAGAGTACTTGGGGTCTTACGTCTCATGCCGCGCTGGCAAAAGATCAGCAACTTCCTGCTGGTTCCCTGTATGTCACACCACCTTACCTACTATTCATACTTCGTGAAAACAATCTCAATTCTGATGCTAACAAATTCTTTCCTCTCCAGAAATCTGCAAAAGACCATGACGTTCGGCAACTCTGCTTCCGTCATGCGCCAAAGTGCTACACTACACAAGCAGCTCATCTCATCTCTGTCTGAGAGAATAGGGGCTGGGAATTATACCACTGCTGTCTTCTATCAAAGCATTCCCACATACTTTTCGGAGATTGGCCGTCAAAAGGGAGGCAATTCTATGGGCCTCGGTCAGCTTTCAGGAAATGCCATTCTTTTCCAAGCTGGCATTGCGATCTACAATGGCGATGAGGCTGCTCTAGCCTTTGCTCGTGCAGAGCTCAATTCTATGATGGCCAAGCTGAAGGACATCACGGTAGCTGAGGGCATCTCCAGTGACTGGGTGTACATGAATTACGCTGATACTACCCAGAATCCCTTGGGCGGCACTGGTGATGAGAATGTCGCATTCTTGAAGGAAGTCGCTCAGCGCTATGATCCCCAATGGTGGTGGCAACGGCGGGTGCCTGGTGGATTCAAGGTCACTAGGACGACTTGATGCTATCTTACATATCCTGTGTCTTTGATGATGGTGAAGCCTTTTCTTGTCACACTCATCCGGCCCTTTTTTACCCTCTTACTTTCACTTCACCCAGAATACTTTCTTTACTTCCCAAATATTATTCACTTCATAGACCAAACCACCAGCTTAGGATCCTCATAGGCTTAGTTTATTTCTTCTCTATATTCGGACCGTGGAGCATATATGTCTCTTCGAAAATTGTTTCTGCTTGAGTTCGGTCCAAAATCTATTATCCCTGCCTCTGAATGGCCTTACGTTGGCATTGTAGGATCTTGAGCAGTTGGCCTCAACACCCAAGATGACAGCATGCAGCTTGCCATGAATTTGGCGGGCTCGGTTGAGATCTATATGCGAAAATGAGTTCCTGCTAGTTAATCGCATTTGCCTATGCATTTAAGTAGATGAATAAACGTGTAGGAATATCTGCCCACAGCATGAGAGACTTACCACCCTGCACGATCTATACAGGCAGCTTAAATCTTACCAATATAGCTTGCTACGAGCCTGTTGCAATGGCCTGCTTTATGAAATAAACCCTCAAGAAGATCTTATGAATATAACTATGTATTGGACAGTTATATCCCCGTGATTTGAATGTACATTGAATATCTGTTGTCCACCTTCCATGCTTCCGCCATCTATTTAAGCAGCAGCAGATGAGATGGGGAATGGATCCAACGCCGGCTGCTGGTAGATTGGCTACGACTCGATAATTTTAGCACTTAGCACGCGAAAGTGCAGGTTGATTCAACCTTGTATCCGTCCACGAGGAGCCCATTCTCACACGCCCATGGGCCCGCCTCATCCTCCTTACTATGGCTCGTAGTTCCAGGGGCTCCAGTCTGGATAATAACTTGCTCATATTGCATCAAAGCCTGGAAATGATACGTCAGCTATAAAGATAAGATCAATCTCGTGCTTGTTTATAAACATACAACGTTTGCAGTGTTGTTGTGCCAGGCCATCATCCAGAGGCGATCATTCAAGCCCACATCCTTGGCACCATAGACGCCGTTGTAGTTGTTGATAAAAGTCCTTGGGAATGCGGCCTCGCCCGTGAGTGTTCCTGCATTGTCGTATACTGATGCATTAACATCCCACATGGCATCTTTATCAAAAGGATATTCGATGCTGAGATGGACGGAACATGTGCCAGCCTCCCAGCGGCGCTCAAGACCTTTTGGCAGGGGAGCGGTCGACGACGCGAGGTGGGAGAGAATATCGACATCAAGCGCCTTTGGAGGGGCAGCGGTCGATGTTGCCGCGAGGAGGGAGAGAACGGACGAGACGGCGAGGAACTTCATGTTGAAAAGCTTTCAGTGTGGTACTGGATCTTGTAAATTGGCTGGGTGAATGTGCTTGCTAGCATCCGGTGTTTACTCGGGAGCGAACGGTGCCCATTTATAGCTTTTTGTAAGCAACCCTTTTCCGACACTTCGCTAACAGTTGCCTCTATGCTTGTTTAAAGCATATCAAGAGGATCACAGCATTGCCCTTGCTCAAGAGGTATGTTGTTTCAAAATGGACTTGCCTAGAACAGAAGGTGAGAACAGGCTGATTTCTCTAAATGCAATGCCAAATGTATAACCAACCGATTCCTAGGTGCAGATATTGAACCTTCGAGCCTTATGCCGGCTTACATACGTTATCCAAAACTACATGATATACGTAGTATCATCATGACCACTTACGCTTTGTTGACTTATAGTTAACTTCATATTTCGTGTATAGATTTAGAGTTAGTAGTCGATCATCAAATTATGTTTGTCTACCCCGCAGATCTACCCATGGGATTAAGTCCACCATCCCAACGTATGATTTCAGACTTTATTGACTAACCAGAATTTCTTAAAGACTTTCCGTATTAGGTCTACCTATGGAACGTCCGAAAAGAATTACAAGCAGTTTCCTTGTACAGACTGCCAAGAAGCTGGTCTCCGGAGTTTATGCCCGCGTATGCGAATTCAATGCCGGGATGTCTAGATAATGACACGTTGAACTGACGTCAGCACCAAATGAAGAAGGATCTTCCCACCTGTCAGCGGCTTACAACTTTAACTGCCGGAAATTGGTTCTTCAGGGTTGACTAGCTGGGAAACTGCCCTGGCTGAATGCAATAGGCGGCCGCTCTTTCTTACCGACTTTGCCACAGTTACACGGACACGACCTGTTTTGGTTAAATGGAGCTGGCGGCCGCTTCTCCATACCCTGACAAACCAGGGGTGGACAATAAAACAGGCCATGAAAGCTTGGCAAGCGGCCGCTCATGTCTTCTAGATCAGGAGTAACACTTTGTTAGAATCCAGTCCTTGGCTAACTAAAAGTCTTAGTACTATTTGACTGTGTCTGTAATCATAGTAGTTATTATAAAGGCTCTCTATACTAGAACCTCGAGATGAGGCTTTCTCTACTTGTATATTTATGATATAAGTAAGTGATAGGTCAAAGTTCATTAGAAGAAACAGAAAAAAGAATCAAAGAGGAAGAAGCCTGAGTAAATATATCGTTTGAGATAGTAGTAGGTAAGTTGTTGAAGAGTATCCAACTTGCTTCTTATTTATATAAAGATCTCTATACTAAAGTTTTTCACTATCAAGTTACTCTTTATTATGTATGTATACTATAATTCATAAAACAACTACCCCTCTAATGTTTTGATGTCTTAGTTGTCCTCTTCTTGAATGGATTCTTTCCCCTAAATTTCAACCAAGTCGCAAAATAAACGACGGCGTAATTAAACACAATAAACCCGCAAAAGATGCCAAAGTCCCTCCAGATATGGTCGTAGTAGACACTGAAGCCTCTGCCAAATTGGTCGCCAGAAGCGTACTGACAAAACTCACAGATGCCATCCGCTCCTGTCTGAACATAACCTCCGGCCTGTGCAATGAAGTCCTTTGTGTACTGTTCGCAGGTCTGTCCGTCTGGCGCGGAAAATTGAGCAAACTCCTCCTGGGCGCATTCGACCGGCTGCGTGTGAATAGCGGCCCCAAGTAGACCCTCAAGAAGGTAGTGAAATGGAGAAAGCCAGTACATCCAACTATGAATCCTACCGTTAGCTGAAAGTTATTAAGATTTGGAAGTGATAGGGCAGACATACCTGCGCCAGAATGTGGGCAGTTGCATAGGTGGAACTACTACGCCGCAGAAACTGACAACGAAGAGAAAGAAGATCGGTACCATGAGAGAGGCAACGAGCTCATTTGGTGCAAAGGCAGCAATGGCCTGGCCGAAGCTGACGTAGTAAAGCTCGAACAGAAGCACGAGCAGGAATGCAAATCCAGAAGTGAAGCTTGATACTCTTGTGCCAAAGATTCCCCACCACCAACAGTTGAAGTATATGCCACCTAAAAATATGTCAGCAACTTCTCTTTTTTACATTCATGTGAAGTACTTACCTGCGACGATAGCGTAAGGAATCTCTACAATGACGGCTGCCGTTACCCAAGCGAACCATGAGTAAATCTTCGCATTATTCTCACGCGACTGGAAAAGATTGCGCGACTGGATGAAAACTGGCTGTAGCTGTTGGATGAGTGGCGGTGAGATCGTCAGTGTCATGAAAATCGAAAACAGACGGTTTTGAAAGTCAACACTCTTGTAACCAAGCATCCAGAACGTAAAGCAGTTGAACAAGCCAGTAAGAATGTGAAGGAAGAATTTGCCGATGATGTAGTTCGGCTTGCGCCAGTATGAAACGAACGAGCGCTTCACGACAGTCAATGTTTGCAAAGACAAGGGCGAAGCATATTCGCGGTCGTCTTTGAGACTCTGAGACGGCTCGACATTCTTACGCTGCTTGACCATATCCTCGATTTCACGGGAGCGAGCGTCTCGCTCTGGGGAGCCAGCCCAGACATCGCCCCAATCTTGACCATGATAGTTTGGATCACCAGCACCAATAGCCTCAAGCATATACTCAGCCGGGTTACGGTCTTTTGGACACCTTGGAGCACCGTTGGACTCGAAGTAATTGATCAGCTCCCGGCTGTCTTCGCCCAGAGGTCCGTGATACACGACGCGACCTCCAGACTTGAGAAGAAGCAGTTCATCGAAGTGTTCGAAAAGAACAGCAGAAGGCTGGTGGATCGTACACAGAACGGCCTGGCCAGCATCGGCGAGCTTGCGAAGGAAGCGAACAATATTGAAGGCGGCGCCAGAATCAAGGCCGGAAGTTGGCTCGTCCAAAAACATGAGCAACTCGGGCTTTGAAGCAAGTTCAACACCGATAGTGAGTCGCTTGCGCTGCTCAGGATTCAGTCCTTCGCCAACTTGTCCGATTGTCGCGCCAGCAATGTCACGCATTTCCAATAGATCAATAATAGTTTCACAGTAGTCCAGCTTTTCTTTGCGAGGGACCTCGCGGGGTTGTCGGAGCAGTGCGGAGAACTGCAGGGCTTCCCTGACCGTAGCCGTCGGCTCATGCACATCCATCTGTTCGGCAAATCCAGTGGCACGTTGGAAAGATTTGGGCAGTGGCCGTCCGTCAACGAGGAATTGGCCAGTGAGGACACCAGTAGTAGTGCGTTGAGCAAGGGCGTTGAGCAGAGTCGTCTTCCCGGCACCTAATAGAAATCGTTAGGTTAGTTGTTAAGAATGCGACGAACGGGAGTGCGTTTGAAGGGCAATTTGGCAACTCACCAGAAGCGCCCATAAGGGCAGTCAATTTGCCTGGGCGGACATAGCCTTGGCAATCTTGGAGCAGCTTGCGTTCACCCTTCTGGTATGGAATGGTGTAGTTCACGTCTTGGAAGGTGAAGATGGTCTCGTTCTTAGCCACTTGCCGCAGCGTCTGTTCATTTGTGCCCTTACCATCATCCATCCCATTACCCATGGAAGAAGAAGGGTGAACAGCAGACTGGCCTGACTCTTCATCGCTCTTCTCCCTGCCACCAGTCTCAATATTCTTCTCTATTCTCTTGGGAACCTGGCCTCGCTTGAATACCGTGATTGCACCACCTCCAGAATTGGGCTTCATGAGTTCATACCCAAGTGCTGTCATGGCGACAAAAAGAATGAAGAAGCCCCAGAGAATCCCAAAGTTGCGCCAGAGGTGCGAACGAGTGTATGTGAAAGATGTCTGGATGTACGCAGCCCCTTCCACGAAGGTTTGGCCCGGTTTGCTGCCCCTCAATGCACACGATTGGTATTGCGAGCTGACGTTTGGCCCTCGAGGAACAAGAAATTGCGCATCACAGTCAAGGTCCAATCCAGTGAATTCATTGGCGACCAAGCATTCAAAACCGTACTGGATGAAATTGATCCAGCGCAACCAACTGAACCATGGTTTCATGGATGTAATGGGAATGAGATATCCCGTGTACACGATGAGTATTTGGATCGCGAGACCAGTGAACCTTGTCGCAATGTCGAGAGTCTTGCAGAGGGCGGAGATGGCCCGGAAAAAGGCGTATGTAGTCATGGTGACTAGCCAGAGAATCAGAGTGCAAATGAAGAACTGAGAAGGCGTCCTTGCAAGGTGCGACATGAAGTAAATGATGACATTGAAGATAGTCACTTGGATGAAGACCATGGGAACGTCGACGACAGTCTGAGCTATAGCGTATGCGGCCGGGCGATAAAACGAGAATGCCTTGTGCTTCAACAAGATCGGCTTCGCCTCAAAAGCAGCGGTTTGCTCCGACAGAGCGAGCAGAGCGTTGAACAGTAGTAGGAAGAACAAAGTGCCTCCTCGCGGGAAGGCTCCAGAGGCTGTGGCTGGCAAGTTAAAGAACAAACTGCCCACAATAAGGCCTTGGAATACAAGGCCGCCCCATTTACCGAACAAGGACGCCTTGTCGCCGATCATGATGAAGAATTGGCGTTGTGTGCAGGCCAGAACCTGTTTGTGGAATGGGATGGTGAAGTTCTTCTGTGAGGTTTTCTTCGATTGTTGTTGCTCGCGGTTTTCGTTTAGTGTCTTGGTTTGAGCTTCAAAGTCCTCCATATCGGCAATGTTCCTCTTATACGCATCACTTCGGCGGTATGCATCGAAGAACTCGTCCGGGGTACGAGGAATTCTGTCTTCCCAGCCCTTGCGAATACTCCGTTCATGCTGATCGGATACAGAAGTGAGAAAGTCGGGAGTCGTCCAGCGCTCGGGGCATTCAAATCCCAGGTCCTGGAAATACTTCTTTGCATGCTGGCTTTCTCCAAAGTAGAGACACTTTCCGCCATCTTAAAATGATTAGTACTTTCCTGTGTGGGGGCTCCTATAAGGCCAGGTACTTACCAATAAGCAGAACCTTGTCGGCGAGCTCGAACAAGGATTCACCCGCTTGATACAAAGACACAGCGGTGGATGCATCAGCCATATTGGTCATAGCTCTGATAGCTCTGACGTACTCTAAAGCTGTGCTGGCATCAAGTCCTTTACTAGAGTTGTCCCAGCCCTGGATAGATGCGCGAGTGATCATAGCTTCAGCGATGCTCACACGTTTTCGCTCACCACCGGAGACTCCACGAATGAGCTCGTTACCCACTTTCGTATCCAGGGTGTGCTCGATCCAGAAGAGTTTGGTGACAACACGCATGAATTCGCGTACATAGTCTTGTCGAGTCTCTCCTTCGAGTCGCGATTCCTTCCCGGGTGTCCGAGTCTTCAGAGCGAAAGAGAGAGTTCTCCGTACTGTCAAAGTAGCATAGTGCAGGTCATCCTCAGGGTTGTAGATGATCTCGCCTCGGAATCGCTTGGACATCTCTTCAGCGGACACTCCTCCATATTTGACATCGCCCTCGACGGCCTGGAAACCAGCGCGCTGGTTGCAGAATGCTTTGAGAAAAGTGGTACAGCCAGAGCCAGGTCGACCCAAGACAAGCAACATCTCGCCGGGGCGGACACAGCCGTCAAAATGGCTGATGAGCTCACGTACGGGTGGTTTGGCAGAGGCTGCTTTGGGGCCGCTTCTAAATAGATTGGAAATTTTTCGTGGGATGCCCAAGAATATGTCGCCAACTGTCGCTTGTAAGCTCGAGCCTAGCCCAACGCCTTTGACAGTGAGGTCTCGGAAAATGACTCCACTGTGCCTTGTCTTTTCGTCTTCACTCTGCTCCTGGCGTTTCTGGCCAAACATCCGGGATAGTAGACGTTCAATCTCCTGTGACTCTTCTCTCAGCTCCTCTTTGTCCGCGTTAGACATATTAGTCCGGCGCCGAGAAAGAGTCTTGAATATATCGTCTCTGTTCTGGGCCGACTTTTCCCTTTGGATAGATTGGGGTTTCTCTGAGTGCGAACTTTGGTTCTGCCCCAGGGGGGATTGGCTAGCACTGCTACTGTCACTATGCTCTGATTCTTCCTTGAGCTGATCGGCAGCGACATGGCTGTGTTCCAATGCTCTCGGTGATGGTTTGACGGAGATCGTGCTGCTGCTGGAAGACAATATCGACTCGGCCTGGTTGGCGGGCTCAGCAGTACGAGTAGGTTGGTTTCCGGAAGCCCAAGCTGCGGTGATGTATTCTCCGGTAGTACGATGCTGCAATGGGGGCTGGCTTGGAGAGATTTGTCGCCCTGTAACGGCTGGGATAGCAGCTGCTACAGTGGGTGGGAAGTGCTCCTGGGTTGGTGTTGCTGCCCCCTCGGATTCTTGATAGTGTGCTAAGCCTGGGGTGCTCGGCTCCGAGGCGAGACTCGGTGTCTCTGGGTAGCCACCAGGGACATCCGTGTCCTTGGGGGTTGGAATGTCCTCCATTGTGTTTCAAGGGAAGTTTCCCGTTTCCGTTCCAACACAGACAAGCACCTAGATATCACGTAGGTAGACGGAGATGACAAGAGATGACATTCGTTCTACAGCAGACATGAATTTTTGGATAGAGGACAACGTGAACATTTAGTACTATATCTATCTCCTGATTATTTATTCCTACACTGGTATAGACTATGAATACAGCTCAAATACGCATCTATCAAACGACTAGCGGCCGCCCTAGTTGGCGAGAATGACGCATTACAATTGATTTCAGCGACTGTGATTGAAGAGCGACCCACAAGATTCTCGCGCAATTCGGCAAATGCGATTGTCCGAGCAGCGATTGTTCCACGCTTCCGGAGACATATCTATGACGCTCAGATGAGTTCCGACATTGAGTTATCAATGGCAGATAGCGACTGGCGGGGCCCCTTAAGCCCTAATCCAGAATAGTAGAGCGAGACGCGATTGGAATTTACGGAGGACCGGATGAGGATCGAGTTTATTTGGTGGGCCGATCGCATTTTTTGTCTGCGTGGTCCGACGCGGCTGCTTTTATGATCGCGCATCAACGGGCTCATCGGCTTACAAGGCCTGGACGATTAATCAGCCCAAAGAAGGTTTTTAAAGTCTAGTTTCCTCCCAATGCCATACTAATTAGTGCCGGAGACTTCCAATCCCCTTAAGCTAAGGAAATTCGATGTTGTTTAACCGATGCTGCCGTCGCACGAGATCATCGATTTCCGAGTTCTGGACAAACAAGCTCTATTGGCCGATGGGCACAGGCAAGACATGAAAGGGCGGTCTGAGATCATCAATCTATCCAAATACAATTAGGAAAAAGAAAACTACCGAAACATACAGATCACAATGATTGCCCTAGTTGGATGTACAAAGAAACCTGTTCACAAAACCACCCGTGGAATTGAGGACCGTTACGGTTCTATGCTCTTCGTCTGTAGCCCTACACCTCTAGTAGTTTGCTCCGCCTCATCAGTACACCAAATAAGAATCCCTCGTATCACATCTCAAGCGTTACTACCTAGGAAGATAAGTACATACATATTCTAATTTGTCCTAGAAAATCCAATCCACATAAAAATAAATCACTGCCTAGATCATGGATACTCCCCTATGCCACTTGAGCCACCAATGCTTCGAATTCTCCATCTGTATGCTCCTTGAGAGTTCGAAAATCCTTGTCCAAGAGAGTTTCGCCATTCCGGAATCGCTGCACGGTCAATTTCTGGCCGGATAATCGCTTCGCCTCGAAAAGGTCTTCCACGTCCACCAGTGATGGTACCACCGTCGTACGAAACTCGTACCTCACCCCACTATTCTTGATGAGTTCGATGCTGGTCTCGAGGACTTTGGGCTTCACTTTGCGACCGGTGACCTTTTTGTAGTTCTCCAAAGCGCATTTAATGTCCATCGCCACAAAATTAACCAGATTCTCGTCAAAAACTCGCTTCAGCACAGCAGGTGAGGTTCCATTGGAGTCTAGCTTCACACTGACGCCAGCTTGTTTGAGAATTCGCAAGAATGGAAGCAGGCCTTTGTGAATTGTTGGCTCTCCACCAGAGATAACCAATGATTTGTGAGAGGTGGAAGTGATAAGGCGGAATGCGTCGAGAATCGTCACGTCTTCGCGTTCTCCTTCAACAAGCGGGCCATTGTGGCACCAGGGACAGGCTAGGTTACAACGTGATGTGAATAGAATAGAGGCCTGCACCTTGCCCGGGTAGTCACTAAGAGTGTTCTTGATATATCCCGCCAAGGGAAGGTCGGCGATAGCGGCTACCTGGCGCTCCAATTCTGCATCTTTGTTGTCAATCTTGTCAGTCTCCGAGTGCTGCAGGCCTGTCTTGTAATTGTACGTCTTGCGTTCCAGAAACTCTGTCGCCTTACCCCTGTTCCAGTCTCGAGTAGGCCGGAAATAGCCAACGATGCGAGAGTACACCAGGGCAGGCTCACCGCAATCCGAGCACTGCGGTTGTTCACCTGTCCGATACCCATGGGTCGGGCAAATACTAAACGTAGGTGTCAGGGTAATATAAGGGAGACGGAACCGGCTTGTCAGAGATTTCACTAAATCACGAGCCAGCTTCCAGCTTGATAGTTGCTCTCCCAGAAAAGTATGAAAGACAGTGCCTCCCGTATACGAGCACTGGAGGTCTTCCTGATGGGCCATGGCCTCAAAGATATCCTCAGTCGCTCCGACGGGGAGCATGGTCGAATTAGTGTAGAATGTAGGTATATCATAGTTTGGAAACAACTCCTTGTCCCGCTTGGCGAACTTGTAACACGTGCTTTCTGCTGGACTGGCTTCCAGATTGTAGAGATTGCCTGTTTCTCCTTGGAACTCTTGCAACTTCTCTTTGATGGATTCCATTACTTGGAGAGCAAAGTCCTTCTCTGCGTCGATTCCCTTGCCAAACAGCGCAATCAGTGCCTCGTTCATCCCATTCACTCCGATTGTGCTGAAATGGTTCGTCCAGTACGATCCTGTCCGCTGCTTAGTCGCAGCAAGATAATGCGCAGCATACGGATACAGAGCCGAGTTAGTTTCCACAAGCTTTCGTTTGATCTCCAACGAATCCTTGGCGACTCTCAACGTCTCTGAGAGCTCCGACGTGAAGATTTCTTTTGACCCATTTGATCGATAAGCAAGATTGGGGAGATTGACCGTGACGACCCCAATTGAGCCGGTCAGCGGACTTGCTCCATATTGACCGCCAACGCGGCAATGAAGTTTGCTCAGATCGAGACGCAGGCGACAGCACATGGAGCGGAAGTCTTCAGGATCGAGATCGCTGTTGACAAAATTGGCAAAATATGGGACGCCGTACTTGGCAGTCATCTCCCAAATGGACTCCCAACGAGACGACTCCCAGTCAATTTCATCGGAGATATTGTAGGTCGGGATGGGAAAGGAGAAGATGTTGCCGTTACCGTCGCCCTGCATCATCACTTCCGCAAACGCCTTGTTCAGCATATCCATCTCTTCTTGAAAATCACTGTAGATCCATTCTGGATGAAGCTTCCCACCAATGATAACTGCTTGATCCCCCAGCCGCTTCGGACAAATAAGATCAAGCGACAGGTTGGTGAAGGGAGCCTGAAATCCGCTTCGCGTTGGGACATTCAGAGAGTAGACAAAGCTTTGTATATATTTGAACACCTCGGGGTAAGACAAATCGTCACTCCGGATGAAGGGTGCCAAGTACGTATCAAAGCTGGACAGGGCCTGAGCACCGGCAAGCTCACCTTGCAGGGTGAAGAGAAAATTAACAACTTGGTTGAGAGCGGTGTTGAGGTGATTGGCAGGCCGACACTGGATCTTGTTCTCGACGCCGCCAAAGCCCTGAAAGAGGATGTCCTCAAGGCTCCAGCCGGAGCAGTAGGCGCTCAAGAACCCAAGGTCATGGATATGAAAGCGATTTTCGCCATCATACTGCCGGATCTCATCAGTGTATACTTTTTCCAGCCAATATTGAGAGATAATTTGGTTGGAAACATATTGCATTAAACCTTGATGCGAGTAGGTCGAGTTTGCGTTTTCAGCCGTCTTCCATGTCCCTTTGGCGAGATACTCATCGACGAGATTGATATTAGAAGGCATTATCAAAATCCTCTAGAGTGTGATGTCACAGAAAGTAGGTAGAAGCTTCAAGGTTCATTTCTCGACAACATTCAATTTACAAAATCAAAGAGAGATCGAGGTCAAATTGTTCTGTTCTCGGCCAGGGCTTTTATTCAAGGACTTGCAGGGGTCATCATTTAAAGCAAGCGAGTCAGGCCGCGCTCGATCCTGATGATCGAGGGAGACAAAACACGGCCAAGACCTGGAACCCTGAACATTTTCCATTGTGTGCTCACAGAAACGCGCTCACTACGCGTCGGCCGTCTGACTTGGCTCGTCTGATGCACCCTGGCTTGTCCGCGATATCTCGTGACTTGGCGTAGAGTGGCCTGACAACTTTCCAACATGTGGCCAATGACAGCCCACTGATTCTGATATTGCCTTATTCGGTGATTAAAAGTCGTGTCGAAAGGTTCACGCCACTGGCTTATTTGATACGCGACATGCTTAACCTGGCAGACGGCTGATGGTCTAATTATGCCAAACCTCACTGTGACTCATGGTACGTACATGTTACATTCTTTGCTTGAATCGGCAAGGTGTACCATCAAGCACGGTCACACAAAATTAAGGATAAAGGTAGACTAGCCAGTTAAAACAGATGATCGTCGGCTCGTTTTTACCCACTACCTAACAAGAAGAGACCTTGGTAATCGTACAGTAATGGAGGAAGGATTGCTAGAACTGGCGAATTGGAAAACGAGCAATCACATGCCATACTTTATAACCGCTACTGTTGATATTAAATCATCTTAGCTTTTGCTGCGCAGGATTCAATCTTAATTATTCCCAGTTTTACCGAAGTTTGTTCCCTCCTTATTTCAATCAACTATTCGCTATCTTCATTGATAGCCGCTAGCTAACTGATCAATGGCGATCTGGACATATTGGGTATGCACAGTTATTCGGAGCACGGCTCAAAAGAACGGACAGGCTCGTGTAGCATACCAATATGTTGCAGCCTTCTAAGCAGTGCCGAAGAGCCGGTCTAGTGCAATATGAGGCCGTCTGATCCGCGTAAAGGATCAAGTTGGGGTCTGTCGGCCCGATTGCAACGCGGGGATTTAAGAAGTCTCCTGCTTCCGTCTATAATCTAGTATCAAGTAAATTCACACGATATCATGAGGTTGGTTTCTGCTCTCGCTGTGGTAATACTCCACGTTGCGGGCGCTCTCGCCTCGACATGTGTAGGATCTTTCGAAATTGCTAGTCAACAGTGGTGAAAAGCTGACTTAGAACAACAGTGCAACCAGCTTCAACAACAACTCGGCGATAACCTCAGTTTTCCCAATGATGCGACATATAACGCCACGGTGTCTAGCTTTTGGTCAATGCAAGAGTCTGGACTGCGACCAGCCTGTGTGCTACGACCTGCCACCGTCCTAGAGGTTTCCAAGGCCTTGGAAATTCTCAGCGGCAATGTCGAATGCGAGTTTGCCATCAAGGGAAGAGGTCACGCTCCAGCAGCAGGATTTGCCAACGTGAACGGCGGGGTTCTGATTGACTTGGCGACCTTGTCTTCTGTATCCCTCAACCAGGACTCATCAGTGGCAAGTGTCGGCGCTGGCGCAAAATGGCTCGACGTCTACCAGCACCTCGATGGGTCCGGAGTGCAGGTAGCAGGTGGTAGGAATGGCAACGTCGGCGTTGGTGGACTATTGCTGGGCGGAGGAATATCGCATTTCACTACCAAAGTTGGCTGGGGTAGCGATAACGTCGTCAACTATGAGATTGCACTGGCCAATGGAACGATCATCAACGCAGACAGGACTCATTATTCAGACATGTTCCACGCGTTAAAAGGAGGAGGTAACAATCTCGGCGTCGTCACACGATTCGATCTTGCGACGTTCCCACAAGGCGATATATCCACAACGACCATCACGTACAACATATCTCAGAGGGCTGACGTCTTTGAAGCATTTACCAAGCTACTTGAGTCACCCAAGTACGATCCATTGGCGTCGCTAATAACCAGTCTCCTCTATCGTTCAACAACCAAAACATGGACATTGAGTTCCTCTGCAGTCTATACTAAGCCAGTGACCCAGCCCGCATTTTATGCCGATCTCTTTGCAATTCCGCATGAGACTCTAGTTAACAATATAACGTCCTTGGCAGAGTATGCGGATGAGAAAGATACATTTTCCTTGTAAGTTTTGCTTCTCCCAACTAGAGACGGACTCTTACAGATGCAGTAATTGGAATTTCGCGACGACAACCCTGAAGCCATGTGCCGAAAATTTGCAAAAGATGTTCGACACTTTAAATGATACAATTTACTCTTTCAACCCAGAAGGTGGCGTGACTTGGAGCATCGCCCTCGAGCCTTTGGTTGCAGCCATGTTACCAAATTCCGGAGATACAAATATACTTGGTTTGGAGCGTGCGTATCCTGGCTTTGGTATGTATCATGAAGGCTATCGTTAAGAATGCTCTAACCTCGCACTAGTTGTCCTGATCTCCGCTCTGTGGCCAAATTCGACTGCCAACTCCGAGGTCGAAGCCAAAGCTCAATCGGTTTTGTCGGCATGGGAGGCCGATGCCAAGTCAAAGGGGCTTTTACAAGATTTCCAATATCTCAATTACGCTGCTCCTCATCAAAAGCCGCTACACTCCTATGGCAAAGATGAGTTTGACTTTTTGAAATCAACTAGCGAGAAATATGACCCTGGAAGGATTTTACAAAGGAACGTAGGAGGTTTCAAGCTTTAAAAACAAGAGATAAACAAGATACTTCATGTTCTCAGTATTATTTAGGGTTACACAAGCGGGGCCACCATAGACGGTACGCGTCTCTAGACTAGAACAATCTCAGATTCCATAATCGCGGAATTTCACTCTTTGGTGTGGCTGAAAGAAAGTACACACGAATTCTTCCCTGAATATCTCGAGGTGGGAGCTGATCACGCAAGTCCGGCTTCCGACGTGCGCAGCAAGTCCGCCATTCAAGTCACAGCGAGCAGTCCATAAATCAACACTATACGAGTCGACAGTATAAAACATAGTTTCGAATAAATAATGACTCCTTTTACAATAATTTCTCTTACGCTATCTAATCAAATTTCCTAAGAGCAGATTCAGCACCCACCTCGTGCATCAATTCATTGGGAACGCTATACACGGCCAATCGTTTGTATCTTCACAGCAGATACTAATACTTAAAATAGACCGCTATTTTCGGAAGATACAGATTCACTATCAAGGGCCTTTTGTTACAGCTGTACTGTGCTTGTTGTACTTGTGGAATGCTCTTTGACTGAGGACAAAGGGTATAGGTTGCACCATACAAAGAGCAGAACATTGGGTTATTGACGGTGAAGTTAGAATGTCCCGTATTCAAAGGGATAATCCAGTGCTATGCCTCTTCGGAAAACGCTTGACCTTTTTCGCACAGGCTCAGTGCCTAATAATAGCCGTCATCCTCAATGCTTGTGAATTCTCACCCTCTTTGTTCCGTACGCACTGGATCTTACTTTTACTTTTGATTTATTCACTCTCTTCTCCTCGCTCTTTTCCTCTACCCTCGCTCTTCTCTATTGAGGTCAAACCCCAATTCGACAGGTACGAAAATATGGCGCAGCTCTCTACTGTCCCGATTGAGGTCGTCCACAACATCTTGAGTTTCGTCCCAAGAGCCGACCTTTCGAGACTATGCCGCGTCAATAAATCCCTTTACCAGATCGCCCAGCTCTTCCTCTATTCTATCATTGATATCAATTGGGGCGATGACGAAACTGTCCCAAGTTGTCACAACCCCCCAATTATCCCTCTTCTCCGCACTCTTTTACGAAAACCAGAGCTATTTTCGTACATTGATAAACTTTATTTGAGCGGAGGTCGCATGTATGACAACCCGGAGCGACCATTGTTGGATACTAAAGACCTTTCACCCAACCTCAGCCTATTTATTGACGCTATTAAAACGACTCAAGTGTCTTATACTAGCCTTTGGATCGATAGATTGATAGTGGGCGGTATGGATGCACTTGCTGGCCTTCTCATTACCAGCGTTTCCAGAATCAGATGCCTACATATTGGCCATAACTATGTCAACGGCGATGATATCCTTGGAAAAGTTCTTCTATCTAAAGTGTATGGAGAGCTACCTGCGTTTGAGAGACTTAAAGAGGTGTGGTATACAAAGAGAAAAGAGGATTATGCCCCACGGAGGAACGAGATTTTCCCTTGCGCAGCATCTCTCTTTTATCTACCGACAGCAACAGATTTCTATATCTCGATGTCAAATCCTAACATCTTTGTGTGGCCAAGAGAAAAGCCTAATCTTGATCACCTAACTGATCTGTCGATAGAATGGATTCTCGAGGAAAATTTGGTAAGAATCCTGGCGATTACGCCAAATCTAAAATCACTGGAGTACACATGGATTTATTATCCCGATGACGAGCTTGAATATCGAATGATGGATCTCGACTACCTTGTTGACGTTTTATCATGTGTCAAAGAGACACTTGAGAAGTTCACATTTTGGATGGAAATGGGAGATGAAGAGCGTGATGGATCAACGATGAATATGGAATTCAGGGGAGCTATGAGAGGTCTTGCCGAGTTCGACAAACTCAAATATCTTGATATACCTTTGGTCTGCCTTGCAGGCTTTGCGGCAGAGCCTATACCTCTGGAGCAGTCTATTCCTGCACACGTGGAAATGCTTCATCTCCCAAACAAACGACTGAGTGAGCATGGAGTCCAAACACTTTGGTTGGATCATGTAAGCAGAATAAATCAGCTTGAGGTTATTGATCGAATAATCCAGCCATTAGTGAAGACTCATACAAAACTTCACTTCGTTAATGCGTGGTCGACAGCTTTGGAGATCAGGACAGAACGGTGTGCTCCTGGCTGTCATGATTATGTAGTCCCTAGATTATAGAATATTAAAATACATCACCTTCACAACACCTCTGAACCCACGAGTTTAACACAGTCCATGGATCGGACCAAAGAAACGCTCGGAACAATATATATGGGGAGGCCCGCTACCTGAGCAAATTAATTTAGTCAATGTCAAGGCACGTGACCTCTTCTTCCTTAGCTAGGTAATAAGCTATTTCTGATGGGTGAAACGGCATTCCTCTGCCGAACCCACCCACACACCCTACCCTATACCATGCAGGCCAAGTGCGTAATTCTGTATTTTCTCAAATAAATTTATCATGTCTCTCATTTGCGTGATGTCTAGTAGGTGTTTCTGCTTGAATTATTGCTAGGAATGCCTTTATATTGATAGAAAACGCTCATGGATGCCGGTTATCGGAGCAATGTGCTAAGATCATGGATCCCCAAGTTTCCTGATGAAAGTTCCGTCCATGACTTTGGCTAGAAGCTGGGTCGGCCACAGGGAAATACAAAATTTCTTGTCGGCGGAGGTTTTGTGATGAGCTTACTGAGGTCATGAGGGTGCCAGAAACCTCAAAATCAACATGAACCGAGAATAGTGGGATGACTATAAGATGGCGAGAGGTAAGCTACCTGCATGTAGGTACTTCGCCTAGGTACCGTAGTTACGGTACCTACTGTAATCTAAAGTATTTGTGGATTATGTAGCTATAAATAGATTTTGAGGGCGACCAATTGAGATACCCAACAGATGCTCGGAAGAAAACCGGGCACTAAGATCACGCGTTGTTTTGCTCTGCTCAAGCTATCAAATGCTTACCGCGACACAATTGAAGCATCTCAAACCCATCAAGGGAGTACCCTCGTCAACGCCAGAACCAAGTTAGAGCGTCCCCTCCCCAAAATCATCTGCATCCCACTCCCGGTCCAACTTCTCCTCATCACACAAGCTCACCATCCCGATATCTTCGTCGTCGTTGTCGTCCTTGGATTGGGATGGCTGCCGTGATTATCTTTGCGTAGGCTTGCTTCTGAAGTGCGCTGCATTGGCAGAGGGTGAGGGGTGAGGAGGATGATAAGGAGGGATGGCAATGGGGAGATGACATCGGGAGTGCGACTCATTAGCGCCCGCGCCAATTGGCGAGAACAGAAGCATTGCTGATCACAATTTCTACTGCGTATCTTGAAAAGGCGTCAATTTGGTAGAACGAGGGTAACGATAGTGGTGTGGGAACTGACAAGAGTCGCAGGCGACACACTTTTAACCTCACGGTTAGAGCCGTCAAGCGAATGGGAAAGATGAATGCCCTCGGGGAAGCGATCAACGCAGAGCGACAACTGGCAGACTGCACAGCCTTGGAGTCTTGCTCTAGATAAGATATAGGCGGACTGAAAATATGGGCGACCTAGAAGTTGAAACCTGCCGCTACCCTGGTTTCCGACGAGCTGTTTCAGTCGAACTCCAACCATCACGCCTCGCTTTTTCAATCCGCATTGGCGATCAGTCAGGTAATGACGCCAAGACATCTAAGGTCAGTCACTCCAAATCAGAAGGCGGATTAAAATCATAGTTACTCGTCAATGTGCTGCTTCACTATCTGATGTCTATCCCATTACATGATTTCTACGTAAATTTTCCTTGGCTTGGCCTTATCCAAAGAAGCATCGAACGTTGAGAACGAAATAATATCCCACTTGTTGATCGGCGTAGCAGTGCGGCACAAAAACGTGAAGGTAAACACGTTGTCATTCTTAGACGATGACATGTACAGAACACTCTATTAAGGGCAGATTAGTTTAAATGGCACTCTCGAATGGGCGGAGTTTGGGATGACCTACCGTTCCTGTGAATTGGAGGTCGATAACACCGGGGTCCTGCAAGTTCTATTACACAAGTCAGTATGGAGCTAATTAGCATAGAATTTGGATTCTCTTACTCCTGCGCTCACTGTCACCTCAAATTGATCCCCGACCGAATAGCTGAATTGAAATTCCTCCGCATTTCCTCCATTTATCGAGAGTGGCTGGAATTTGACAGCAGCCTTGCGGGCTTGATCGGCCAAAGCCCCAATCTGACTGGCGTACGGAACAAGGCCTTGCGGGTTGCTGTCGTTGGACATGACGATCAGGAAATTATAGTGAGACCACAATAGAGCACCGATGGGGTCGAGGACGTAGGAGTAGTTGGCAACATCTGCCCATAGTTGCTTGAGTCCAGCAGGCGCGTTTGTCAAATCACTCGAGAGTTCAATGTCATTGTCATCTGTGAATCGCTCGACCCTTTTGGTGTACTGCTTCTGGGCATCCTCAATGGTCATAAACCGTGTGATTGTCAAATTCATCAACTCTTGCGTCGTCTTGTTTGTCAAGAGCCATGTGGCAGTACACTGTTTAGTGTTGAGATCAAAGGTGGGTGTCTCCAGAGTCCAATCCGAGGCGAAAATATTGGTGACACCGTCCAAAATATCCGATTCTTTCGGCACAGGTTGTGTGAGAAGTTTATCCATAACGAAGAACTCTGGAGGTGTCTTGAGAGAAGTGACACCTGTCCAATTGTACGGACTTGTTCGTGGAGGGGAAGTCACAGTTCCATGCTGAAGTGTCGTCGGGCTGTAGAGCGTCGTTGTTGCATCGACAGAGTTCTTGAAGTACTCTGATACTGTTTCTTGTCCTGCATGCGGAGGGCCCGATAAGGGACGGCAGGTTGCGTCAAGCACTTTCTCTGAGGATCTATTGGCTTGTGTCACCTTTTCGTCTGCAATGGTCATAAAGATATGCGACCCAAAACCAGTGCGCTTGGGATCATTCTGAGGTGTGACGAACGGCTTGCTCAGTGGGCTGTTGCATTCACCGCGTCCGATCAATAACGACGTGTTGATGTAGCCGAAAGGAGCCATCTTCTTCATGTACAGGAAGCGGGCGTCTTTAAGTCCCAGGGGCAAAATCGTCTGCACCAGTGCTGCCAGATCGTAGCAATTAATGACATGGAGTTTGCCGTCGCTCAAGTTGTTGCACCACTGGCCAAAAGATAATGCGTTGCCCGTGATTCCTCCATTGAAATACTGCGCCTCTCCCCCACCGAAAGAGTTGTATCGGATGTTGGGTTGGTAGTGAAGCTTCTCGATTACATAGGTCTTCCAACCCTGTTCATCGTCGCTGATATAACGGCCGATGCTAGGGTCATTGAAAGCACCGATGTCCGGATCCTTGTTCATGGTTTGAAGAGGCAAGAGGAATTTTCGAAAGAATTCAATCGGAAGACCCCGAAAGAGAAAGTCAGGTAATTTTGCCGTAGAAACAAAGTAAAGCTCGACGAAGGTAGACCCAAGAGGCATAGCAAAAGATGTAGGATAGGTACTGAAGACGTTCGAAATAGCCCATTTGATTTCTCCGCGGAGGCCCCAAGGAAGATAGTTCGTACATCCTGACAGTGAGATAGATACCGAGCCGCGGAGACTATCTATGGAGACACTGTTCACCTGTGCGCAAACAGACACGTCTCCTGCCGCTCCACCAAACGGCTGAATGCTACCAGACAAGGTGAAGCACTCTAGATCCGTAGGAGGCGCGTCTGGCGGGAGAGTGATGTCGAAGCCAATGTCGAAAACATTGTCCCCTAGCCCGATCACTCGGACCAGCGGATTCTGGGCCGAGTTGTTTTTGAGATCCTGGTAGTCCCCGCGCAGGGAGGACCAGAACATTGTCGCATGGCCGTCATTGATCTCGTACACAGGGAGGGCAGAACCCGGCACAGAGAGATAGGAAACGCTGCCTTGCGCCATTGTTATGGAATCAACTAAGGTGGGAGGAGTGATGTAAAGCACACGAACTGCTTGGATTCCTTAGTGAGGGGAACTACGAGCCTATTGATCACATTGCTCAGCACGCTTCTTTATTTATGAATTACATTGAAGTCCGACACTGTATGGGCATTGGCATACACGAATGGTATCCTTTGCCGTTCTTGGTCGCCGGCATTTATTGCCAATAGCTGGCAGGTCACCGGACCGTGCCGCGCTCGCTCTAGACTCGGGCAGACCACAACTCGGGCCGCGCCAGTAGGGTGATGGATTCAATACACGGCTAGACATAGTAGAATGGGTGAGCTGAATTGCCACACCTTGCTAGCTCTTGGTCCCGACTTGGCACTATTGCGGTACTAGAACCAATTTACAGTTAGCTTCATATACAGGACATCACCTGAATACGTTCAATGTCCAATAAGTCGGTTCAATATGCCTGGGGGCAAAGTCTATCGGGTCTTCGCGTTTAGATAGCGTGTAATTGCCAGCAGCAAGCCTGTCTGCGTCGCGGGGTAGACCCATCTGGAGTCCGTGGTTGCTGTACCAATAGATTATATCTTATCATTTCCATAGCTTATGGATTCCTAGGGATACCTTTTTAGAGTTCTTCATAAGGAAGTAGAATTTATTCTCGCTTCTGCCATATCGAAGAAATGGTACCCGATTTGTTGGGCGGAGATGAGTATGTTTTATGCCTGGCAGAGAACAATGTGAATGAGATCATAGTAAAGACCAATAAATAACCCTTCAGCCCTCAGATTAATAAAGACGAGGCAATTTGTACTTGGGGTTTCTTTTTATAGGTGTGAATTTTGATCAATACAACTTTGGAGCCTCGTCACATAACACACCATCAATCCGTCTTAGACCCTACGTTCATTAACTAATCCTACTCAAGGTTGATAATCCAGCCATCGCCTTCCACATCCCCATGGGCATCTTCTCCGCCCCACAGAATGACTCTCTTGCCGTCACCACAATCGTCCACTCCGAAGAAGCTCCTCGCATTGGGATATGCCTTGCCTTCGACCGAGGTAGACGGTGGCTCTGTAGGCGTCGGTTCAATCTCAGCCCAGCTGAGCGATCCGGATTCTATCTGAGGAAGGGCGTCCCTGATAGCATCTTTGATTCCTGATCCGCTCAGTGCCGCAGAAGGAACCTGTAGTGATAGAATGTCTTCGTGGATACTTTCTTGCTCGGATACCGCGCCTCCTCTGTTGATGCCGAACAGCTGCAGTAGGTAGCATCGACCCATTGTGGTGTTGAAAGGCACAAGAACAGAGCCGGATCGACTTTGTCCGCCAATACCAGACGAGGTGTCGGTCTGTAGCGTAGTCCATCCGACCTGGCTTGGGTCCAGGGACGACGTGTCGATTTGAAGTGCGTGGACAACACGGTGCGATTCGCTCCCGATGCTGTAAAGAGTGCTTCCATGCCATGCTGCGCCGGAAACTTTGACGGGTAAGGAGGGAAAGCGCGTCCACTTTGCTTCCGCAAAGCTATACACCCACGTTTCCGCAACCTCCTCCTCCAAACCAACGCCTTCTCCGCCGTGAAGGATAAGAAGATCCTTGGTCTTGTCGAAAAATATGCTGTGGCCATATCGGGGGAGTGGGCTCTCGTGTGGTTGATTGGCTGATTGCGTCCTCGACCAAGTCCCCAGCTCTGAGTTCCAGAGCCAGAAATTCTGGCCATCGTGCGCGATAGGTCCCTCTTCGTCTCGGCCTCCATGGATGACTACCTCATTTCCCCGGGCGCAGGCAGCATGTGAGAATCTTGGGGCCGGCACTGGTGCCACAGGGCTGACTCCTACAGGCTGGTACACCTCATGACGAGTCTTGGGCGGCTCGTTGATGGGAAGCAGGACTTCATGGACCTCTGTAGAGCATAGCTTGCCGCCCGATCCCTTGCCGCCAAAGATGAAGGCCGCTTCGTTGATAACAGTAAGAGTATGGTGAGATCGCGCAAGAGCGGGCCTGGAGCTTGACGTTAGTATATTAAGCGTTTGACATATAAAACAATGAGGTAACGAGGCATTACACTGATGTTTGGTTGGAGGGTTCGATTGCGATTTGGTAGAGCGAGGCCTTGGTGAGCTGCCCTGGGCGAGCGATTGATGCTGCTGCTACGGCCTCGACGCCCGTCGCAACAAGCTGCTCGACTGCAATGGCTCCTGCTGCGATTTCTGCCATGATGTTGTAGAATTTGTTCTCCTTTAGATGCAAATTCGAAAGGTATGAAACCACTTGGGACACGGTTTAGTTTTATTGTCAATACGAAGGAATGCACATCAACAATGGTAACGTAGTGGTGACGTACTAGAAGCTGCACCGCGGCGTGACGTCACCAATAAGCACTGAGCTGCACGTCCTTTCTACGCATCACGATGAATGCTGCCCTTACACTTGGAGGGAGTACGATAGCTACGCGGTGCTAGATGAGGCGAGATAATTATTTACTATTGAATATCATTTCTGACAGCGCAGTGTGACGGACAGAAAAGGTTTGCATATATGTGACTTTGACACTTTCGTTGCTTTTACCCTTGATAAACAATCTTGAAAACCCAACAATATCTGTCAGCATCAAGCACCTCGTCAGTCACATCAAGCCATAGCTTCCCATTATCTGCAATACCCCATTCAATCTCAAACTCTCCATCCAAGGTGGCGCCGAGAACCGAATCCCCCTCGACAATAGGGACCTTAGCGGAGACTTCAAGACGCCCGACCGGCGGCTGCTCAAGACTCAGGATGTAAAAGGCATCATTTGACTGAGTGAACCGCAGGCTGCCCTCTTCTGGTGCAATGTACCAATATGTCGTGTTGAAAATCGCCTCGCTATGGGCATGAATCCACGTGCCGGCCTCCCGGAGGTTATTCGCCATGCTTTCGTGAATTGAGCCATCGGCCCGTGGACCAATGTTGAGCAGAAAGTTGCCATTCTTGCTTACCATGTCCACCAAGTTGTGCACCAATGTAGTGGCATTCATATACTCGTCATCTGCCGTCGCTCGATTGAAGCCATAGCTATAGGGGTCCATCCCCTGGTTGCTTTCCCACTTCCTCCTCTGGGCTACGCTGAATGTTGCGTACTCTGGCGTGTCAAAGTCGGACGCCCATGGACTGCCGCAGCGATCATTGATGGTGACTTGGCGGCCCTGCTCCCGTGCCCAGTTGAACCAGCGGGCGGCGAACTGGTCAGTGCCGTTTGATGCTCCGGCGTCGCACCACATAATGTCAGTCTCGTACTTGTACGCGAGAGATTCCATCTGCGGAACCATCAAGTCTTCGATAAAATCATCTACTGGGATGCGGCCTGTGTACGGCTCCTCGAGGCCTGTATATGGGTTTCGTGCGATGATGCCAGGATGGGAGGTTGAGGTGACACGGTCGAACTGCGTGAACCCGTATTTACCCCAGTCGGGGTTAAACCATTCCGGAAGGGAGAAGTAAGTTCCCCGTCGAAGGTGAGGCTGGTGCGTCTTTGCAGCGTCAAATAACTCGCCAAGAAGATCTCGTTTGGGTCCGAAATTGAGAGAAGTGCGGTTGGTTGTTGGCGCGGCGTCGAACAAGCTGAATCCATCGTGGTGCTTTGTGGTAAGCACGAAATATTGCGCACCCGCGTCGGCAATGAGATCAACCCATTCCTTTGGCTTATATTCGGATGCGGTGAAGTTATCAAAGAAGTCGTCATAGTTGAGGTCGGGGCCAAAGGTCTTCAGGCGGTAGGCATTGAAACCAGATCTGTCCGCTGCGGCATGTTCATTGACCCGCGTAGAGTACCACCAAAACCACTCAGAGTAACTTTCGAACGGTGTAGAGTTTCCCCAACTCGGGACGGAGTATGGACCCCAGTGGATGAAGATGCCAAACTTGGCTCCGTCATACCACTGCGGCACTTCATGAGTAGTGAGACTCTTGGAGTCCGGGGTCCAATCACGGATTCCGATATCTAGAGAAGGTGTCGTGTGCTTAATTTGCTTGCAATCTGGGCAGCTGATGTAGACATCTGCCGAGCCTGAGTATGTGCCTTCCACGGCCACGTTGACTCTTTTTTGGTCCCCAGGGCAAAATCTCTTGACAATTGTTGGTTCATCGGTTTTGACCCCCTTCGCCTCAAGGGCAACCTCGAGATTTGATACACAGTGATCGCCGGCATGGTTGATCACAACCTCTACAATCTGCCTCCCGGCCGCGTCCAGGTTTTGGGTGGGCCGGACAGTTTGTACCTCAACTCCAGAATCGCTCGCTTCCCAGAGGGACAAAGCAAAGACATGCAGGCGGCCTGTGGTGGAGTTCGTAGTATGAGGAAGTTGGATACCCGTCAGCTGTTTGCCGCTCTTAATGGGAGCATAGCGCTCGTAGATGTGAGAGGCATTATGGTTGGTGTCGTTGTGGGTGAAGAAAAATGGGTAACTGATTTCTCCTCGGCGAATGGCAAGAAACCACCAGAAGGCGTGGGCACGCACCTCTGCCGTGGACGTCGTATTGTCTGCATAGTGAAACGTAAGATTTCCCGATACGGTTGTGGACCGCACATCGGACACGAGCAGCACCGAGGCTGAAAAGTAATTCTCTGAAGGCGGCACTGAGATTGTTTGTCCAGTGCAGATGACGTTGTCAGAGGCATTGGCGCCCGGGTTGTATCCGGGAAAGAGATACTTCACTCCGCTGGTCGTAGATGTGAAAATGCCATTGGAGCCTATTGGTTCGGCTGGATAGGACTGTCCTAGCGCATCCAGAGAAGCCTCTCCTGGATGTGAGCCGAATGCTTTATTATTGAAGTAGGGTTCAAGAGGGACTAGGACACTTCCTCCTCTTGATGAGGCCAAGCCTAGACCGAAGAATGGGATGACGGTGAGCGTAGAGGCAAGCTTCATATTGCAAGGGCGGCACCATAAACACTTTTGTTGCGACAGAGGATGGAAACTGAAAAGAGGTATAGAGACATTTTTAGAGTAACTCGATCCCAGTAGCAGAGTGAGTTATCGGTTATTTTCAAGAGGGGAATCCTATCACCCCGCCTTCTATCTCCGATTAATCTCCCTATTATCCGGCGGCTGGGAGAGGGATCAGCATATGATAGCAACTACCTCTACGTTTATGGCCTAGGGCTCTATTTTAGACTAACTCGGCTTTAATAAGAGGAAGGTGTAGATAAGTCCCGAAGTATCGTTCTTTTTATCTGTGGATGCAGTGGAGTTTCAGGGATGATGGTGGAAAAAGTCGGAGGTTTTGCCGCCGAAATAATCCTACAGCTCCGAACATAATCGAACGTTTCACCACTTTGAGCGTCGAATGCAATTCGTGTCTTCGAGAATCTATATTATGCCTAATATTGTACACAAATGAAGCCGCGCTATGCCACTTTCAACGGATTTCAATATCAGAATTGTGAGCAGACTTTTTAGCATTGCGAGAATGGTCCTCCTCGTCTGCGTTGGCTGGCGAAACCTCGACAGGGGCATGATCTATGTCGGCAGGCGTGCGTGGCGTTGTGCCCGATGAGCCCGTGAGTTCCCCAGTAACTTCTCTGCCAAGAATAGAGGTAGGTGGTGTTGCAAGGCTGATATCCGGGCCCGGGGCGTGACTTTTTCTTTTCGCCACAGTGTACCAAGCCATCCCACATGAAGCCGCCAGAATGACGAAGACCGTCGCGCCGGCCATGGTGCCTTGTCCTAGATCTTTAGCGACAGACTTATCAATCTGTTCGATAGACCAAGGGTAGCATTCAGACTTGATGATAATGAATATGCCGAGACCGGTGTAGAGAAGAGGGATAACATAGTCGACGTATTTCTGGATCAATGCCAAGATGTGCTTCTGTCTCATGACCAAGAATGACCCCAAGCATAGTAAGCCAAGTAAAATGTAGTACACTACAACATATACTGCTATTTCTGCTCGCTGGACCTGGGAGAACAAAGGGATATAGGTTCCAATGTTGTCACCGCCGTTCATAAGTGTGATCAGAGTGACTTTGAATATGCCTTTTGCCCCATAAGCTGTAGATACTTGGGTTTCTTCCTCTGTTTGAGGTAGGAAGAGATTTGAAAACTTCCAGATGCCAAGAAGGATGGGCAACAGGCCGAGAAAGCCTATGGGCTCGGAGGGCAACACGAGCGAAAGGCCGAAGCCGATCATGCTGATGCATACGATGATGGTGAATCCGATATACTGGCCAATGACAATTTTCCACGGGGTCAGAACTCTGCTTGTTGTCGCTTCGGCGAAGAAGGTGATCAAGACAAAGAGGTCGTCGATGTTGGTAATGGCGAACGTGGCACACGCCTCGCCCAAAACCTTGCCGAATTGCATGGCGGAGAAGTGTGAGCGAGCTCCCCTGGTGTTATCAGAGTCCTGATGAGCGGCGCAGAGTAAAGTCTGTCTTCTTAATTCATTCCAGGCTCGCGATAGCCCCAGGGTGCTGCTCCAAGTCGAAAAGCAGAGGCCTCCAAGCCGTAACTTCGTAGTCAGAATTTGTTCTTGCAAGGCCAAGAGCCGCGTCAGCGTGTCTTGGCTATGAGGCGCTCTTACCCACCTTTTTTTACTTACCCTAGATTGAACGGGCCCCTTGGCGTGTCCCTTTGAAGCCCTTCGACTGATTAGCAGCTGTAATTTGAAACTATTCTAGACGAGATATAAAGAGTAAGATAGAAGAGTTAAGCGAGGTTACTTTATGAAATAACCACTCGTGGCGAGCGGATCGTCAGAAGCTAAGAAATGAGGACAACGCCGGAAAAGCGTTAAATCAATTGCGGCCTCGAGCCTGAGACCAAGCATGATGACAGCGACAAAATAAATGAAACCACGGAGGGAAAGTATGAGAGCGCTAATGGCTTTTATTTTGACTATCTTTAGGTCCGTCTAGTTTTCAGCACAAATTTCAGTTTTCTAGAGCTATGTAGGACAGCCACGTGGACTGAGTGTTTGCAACCAATGGCCTTGATAACGAGCTCCATGTAGACGATGGTTGAGGTCAGTCTTCTATTGGCAGTATTGAAACAAGCAAGATTTAGCTATACAGCTAAAGATTTAACTTGAAACCTCACAACTAGCAGCTAGTTGTCTAACATTTTAGACTCTAACTTGACGGCAGATAGTGATGCCCTAACCTGCTATTAGTAGGCGAATTGTATACCTTCCCATTGCCATGCCGGTTGTTCAATGACCTCAAATTTGTATTGGGCTGACGAGGTCCTTGAAGGGCCACGTCCTAAAGAGCCGGCTAACCCTAGCGTCCATCACATGATAAATTATTCTAGGTTTTGGGCTATAAGGCTATATGGTGTCGCGATTCGAGATATCTACACCGAAGGGGCGAGCACAATCAATCTTGCGTCGATTAATTTGCAACTCAGACGCAGCAATTTCAGCTGTGCCTTTCAAATGACCGTAGAACGCTATAAATTTATTTAGGTTGTGTGTTGCCCCTCCGCTTGATTTGTGGACGAAAAGAAACGGTTTCGAATGCGCCGCAGGCAATTCTTCGCGAGTCAGATCTTCAAAGCGAGTGGGACAGAGCCGGATTCTTTTGCCATTCTCAATATCCGCCATCCTCAGAAAGGCCGTTTCATCAAGGACAAAAGTGCTAATGTGGGCAAAAAAAGCAGCGAAGGAGTGGGAAAACATAACCCGACATTATTAGCTCCTTACCAAAAGTCTATTACTCACTTACAAAAGGTCTAATAGTTACGTTACATGATTGCCATTTAGTGTCTTGGATGCTGGATGAATGAGACCAAATAAATGCCTGATGACACCCGGCCATTTCCCAACAGGGCAGAACCTACCGTATCCTGGACGACTAGCTCTCCACTTTCAATTGTCTTCTGTCATTTGTCCTATGCTTCAGGACGAAACAGGGCGATCAAAAGATCGGCTGAGACTTTCCGGGGGATGTTCCTCCTGCCGCCATCCAATTTCCCATGCATAACAGGAGATTCATATAAATTATTTCATCAGCTAGTCGCTAATTTATCTTGTAATCCTCGCTCTTCTGCTCTTTTCATTCTGACGATTCAATCGTCGCTCATCTCTTTGGGAAAGAACATAGGCATAATTCACTTTGTTGCCAAATCATGTTCATCAGGAAAGCGGCTCTCCTGGCCGCCTTCCAGGCTACAGGCGCAGTAGGCGCTTTGTCTGGAGAGGCTCGCGCCATGGTAGAAGACTCAATGGCTTGGATGGACAGGTTCTATGATCCAAGAATCCATCAGCTCTTCGATCTCGAATCCAAGGCAGCCATGAACCATGAAACCCTTCCCTCCGCCTGGTATGCTGTCGGCCTCCTCGCCCGCAATGGCAACGATGGCAAGGACGTGTCTGCGGCGGAATCCGTCATTCAATACATCATCGCCGATCAGCACGACAACCCAAAAGATCTGTGGTATGGCGACTACACCAGGGAGCCTGAAGAGCCCGACGTTGGTTCAAGCGTATATCCGGCTCAAGCATACCGCTCCTGGGACCCAAACTGGAGAGGCTTTGTCGGCCTGAGCTTCATCACCATCTATGAGGACTTTGGCGATCTGCTATCCCAGTCTGTGAAGGATCTGATGCTAGAGAGCCTGTACAACTGCAGCGTGGGCGACTCTTACCGCGAGGGCGGTGTCAATAATGATAACTTGTATCCGGCATACAGCAACCCAGCCATCATGCGAGCCATTGGCACCGGCTGGACTGGCCGCAAGACTGGGGACGCGAACATGACGCAGGCTGGCGAGGATTATGCCAAAAAGATCATCGACCTATACGACATACACGGCACGCTTTCTGAATTTAATTCGGCCACCTATACTGGAATCTCCCTCTTCGGCCTCACCCTCTGGTGCAAGTACGCGCCAGAGGACTCCATTATGGCGAAGCGAGGTCCAGACATGCTCCGAGGCGTCTGGAACACCACAGCTCAGCTCTGGCACGCAGGCATGCGCAATCTTGCTGGCCCCTGGGACCGCTCATATAGCTTCGATATGACTATCTCTCTTGGCCATCTTTCCCTGTGGCTTGCACCCATGATCGGCAGGAAAGAATCTGGCCTACACCAGTACCCGGAAATTATGAGCCACGCACGAGACTGGGGCTGGGCACCGCTCATTGCCGTGCACTCCGAGTTTCAGAGTTCCTTGCTGTCAGACGAACTCAAGAACTCCCTCAAGACATTTAGTGGAGAGAGAACCTGGAAGGGCCAGGCATACTACCCGCCTTACGACCTGGAATCAAGAAACATCACCACTTGGTTGAGTGAGAAGTTGATGATTGGAGCGCAATCGTACCGAACCAAGAGTCAGAACGGTCCGTCCAACAACAATGGCCAATTTCACCCTGCCGTTGCACAGTGGAAGTATGGAGATGATAAGATTGGCTGGCTCTCGGTATGTTTCAACAAATTCTGTCCTTGAATGCAAAGAAATCAGAGGATCCGAAGCTAACATCAGATATCTAATCTAGCTCCGCTCAAGTCAAGCCTATGTGAAGACGGAGGTCTCTCCCAATCGTCTGAAGCTCACTTACCCCAATGGTGGCGCTGACTCCGTCTTCGCATTCTTCGTCTCGCCCTCTCTCCGACAAACCAACGTCAAGAGCTGGGCCGACATCCAGGGCGTGTCCATCTCCATCTCTGGCAACGTGAACACAACTCCCGTCTTGACTTTTGCTGGTCGTTACGGCGGTTCGGCGGGAGCCTACTACGATCATAACTACTGGCGCTTCGAGCACAAGATGCCCTCTGGTTTCACAGGCACACCAGAGCTCACCATTGATTTCGTTCCTGAGGAATGACCATCGCTCCGGGGTAGTCTTTAGTTCAGAAGCGTAGCTGAATGCAAATTTTAACTAAGTACCTTGATCCTAAATTGTGAACAAAACGGATATACATGGAGATGCCTATCAACGAGTATATAAACGCGCCATGTAGTATTTTGAACTGCTTTTTTAATGTCATTCAATGTACTTGGTTTGAAGCAAGTGCCGGAATCATCTAACACGGCCAAAAGAAGCTACCTTATCCAATGTTGGGCACCCAATCAATGCCATAGTAACGCATTCATACTTCATCTCCTTTCGCCAACCCTTTTGCATTGATAACATACTTGTCACCAGGGAACACATCAACACAATTATCCTCCCAGCATATCCTGCGCCCGTCATTCGTCGTGTAGAGCTCGAGACCTTTTACTGGCGCATCAGAAGTGACCTCAACCCCATCATCTAGAACTTTAAGATTGATATGGTAAGAGGTTGGGAGATGAACATATTTCAGTGGCTGCGGCCAGTCCGATGCACGGGAAATGATTTGGTTGTTCGCAAGCAGGAGGGCCTGCACAGCCGTCTTCTCATCCACCTTTTCATCCTCGAGCAACTCCGTGGAGCGATTTGAAAGGAGGACCTGTCGCTGTAAAATCCTTTCTTCGCGGAGCTGACCTGTCTCCGTGTCGAAAAGGCGCACCACGACTTTCACGTCTGCTTCCTGCAGCGTGGTGTTTACGGCCCAGATGTCGAAGACGTACGACTTCTTGGCAAGATCATGGGGAGCACCTGGGATTGGAATCGGCGGCGACTTGCAACGTTTGAGCTCAGGCGTAGAGCGGTGGATGGCGATGACAATTGGTGCTGACTCTCGCTTGGTCGAGTAGAAGGCCAACTTGCGCTCTCCGTAGAAGTCGATCATACCCCAGCTGGAGACTGGCCAGCAATCGTTCAGCTGTATATCTGGTCAGCTAGCCTCGAGCTAGATTAATATTTTGGAAGCAAAAGAAATATACATGCCATACCTGCCAGATGAGTTGGCCGCCACAATACTCACGGCCGGGGCCCTTCCACTGTCTTCGACAACTCCTCACCGCGAACGCCAGACATTCAGCCTGGATTAGCTGCGTAGCATAAGTCCAGCTCTCAAGACGCATCGAGTCTACTCTCATATTTTTCAAGACATAAGCCGCCATCCTGCGCTCGCCGCCCTCGGCCTTATTATGCAGATCCACCACCTCGCTCTGGGGGTGCCTCTGCGCAAGATCGGTCACGAACCGAGGTACAGAGTTAACTGAGGGAAAGGATAGCATGCCAAACTCGGAGACGAAGCGCCCCGTGAGCTTGTCCCATAACTGGTATGGCTCCTGGCTGCCGTGCCATACATTCCACTGATGAATATCACCAACTGTGCGGTCGTCTGATCTTTTGCCGCCCCAAGGGGACCCGGGATGATACGGCACGTTGGGTGCGTATTGTTTCATGGCGGCTGGAAGGTAGTTTTCGTAGATAGTTCTAGCGGGGAAGTTTGTGCCCGTCCAGTCGCCAGAGTGGTCATCAGGATCATACTGCAGTCCGAGATCTTCAATTACTTGGTAGTCTTCGTTGTTACCTGCATAGATAACGATGGAGCAATAGTTTCTTAGCCGCTTGAGCTGATCTGCGGCTTCCTTCTTGACGCTCTCTGCAAATTCTGGGTAACAGGGATACTGGCCGCAAGCAAACATGAAGTCTTGCCAAACAAGCACACCCCGACGATCACACTCAGCGTAGAGGGCATCGTGCTCATAGATGCCACCGCCCCAGACTCGCAGCATGTTTTGATTGCCCTGCAGGCAGCTCTCAACTGTCGCCGTGTAGTCTTTTGGGGTCAGAGCCGTCAAGAAGGAATGATCAGGGATAAAATTGGTTCCTGAAATGTAAATTGGTTGGTTGTTCACCTCGAAGAAGAAGCTGGTGCCAGGCTCATCAACCAAGACATCTTGCACTAGCCGCACGCGACGTATACCTAGACTTATGGTGCTTGTGTGTAACGTCTCTCTGCCCTTGCTACAAGCACGCACCACAACGGTGTACAAGGCCTGTGGTCCATGACCAACGGGATACCATAGCTCCGGTTGAGGGATGCTAAAAGAGACACTATTCTGGGAATTGCCCGTATCCATTGCAGACATACTGTGGAAATTACGCTGGCTGGGAGATGTGACGATAACCTCAACATCGCTTTTTGTATCAAAGTGAGCGTCCCAATAGACGTTCAATGTAGCTTTCCGCAGATCTTCCGCAACTTCAGCGTCGGCAAAGACATCATACACGATTGAGGTATAACTCTCAAGGTGTATCTCGCGATACGGACCACACGAGAGAAGTAGAGGACCCCAGTCCCAGCCATAGTGATATGCAGCCTTGCGAACATGCAGTCTAGATCCCTCTCCGTTGAATGCGCGATACTTGCCATGCTTCTCTTGAAGAGCACGACCTTCGAGCAGCGCGCTTCGAAAGACGATGCGCAAAGTATTGGCACCCCTCTTCAAGACATCCCTCACATCCACACGGTGGCGATGAAACATGTTGGAGGAACTTAGTATTGGATGTTCATTCAGAAAGACAGTGGCGTAGGTATCTAGGCCTTGAAAGACGAGATCCTGTCGTGAGTGGCTAGAGTTGGGCTCATGGAGAAACTCGCACCGATACTCCCAATCAGTTTCACCCACCCACTGCACAAGTCGTTCATTTTGGTCAAGGAACGGATCTGGAATGACATTTGCATCAAGCAGATCTACGAAGATCTCCGTCGTTGGCTTAGAATGAGCGCTGGCGTGCCATTCTTCGTCGCTGCCATGGCGTCGCCAACTCCATCCTAAAAGTGTCTGCGTGGTAGATGCCATGGTAGAAAGAATTGATGTCGAGAATGATTCTAGGAGGCTTCTGTTCTCTATGAAGCTCACGGAACATTAGAAATATCTTCCAGAATAATGTAAACCCACTTGTAGCCGCTGAGTTTTGTATGGAGTAGGTCCAGCCGCTATAACATCACAGCGTTTTCTCCGCCTCTGGCATGAAGACTTTGATCCACTCAAACGGACATGGTAGCATGTGGTCAGGTAGCAATGTCGAGCATAATGTAACGTAAGGTACACCGAACAGGGACATACCCTAGTTAGCTCGAAGCCGTCCATCCAAAGGTCAGTGTTGCGGGTGACTTCGGTCATTTCCTGAAGTGAACACCAGCGTGCCAATCGCCGATCACACGAAGGAGGCCCTTTCGCAGTAGTTCGGGGTAGAAGCGGTCAAACTATGAATACGCTGCCCCAGACTCCAGCTTGGGTGCCGCGGGGAATGTCCCCCACCATCAGAACTCGCCTGCCTCAAACCATCTGGTCGTCTCATGTTCGAAGACGTCCCATGTCCTATCAAACCCCCTCCTTATAAGTAGGCAATTTCTCGTGTACAACATTGATCATTCTCCATCCTTTCTATCTATTCCAGTATTTCAAGGTCCTTGAGTTACCATGGCTGCCTTCAAGGACAGAAAAGCCTCGGCCGCTGAGAGCGCCGAGGTCGACAGGCCTGCGGTGGCCGTCGACGCCGCGATGAATCAGACGAGCGTCGCTGCTCTTGAAGTTATCAAGAGACTAGAGCCCGTACAGCCTCTCAGCAAACGTATGGTCCAAATGTACATCATCTGTGGCTTCATGTTCCTCGGTTCCACAATCAATGGGTTCGACGGTTCTCTCATGGGCAACATGCTGGCGCTGCCCTCCTTCCAGAATCAGTTTGGCGCGTCTATTGTCGGGGTTCAAACCGCCTTTATCTCCAGCATGTACAACATTGGCTCCGTCTGCGCTCTGCCCTTTATTGGTCCCCTGACTGACACCTGGGGCCGACGCGTGGGTATTGTCATTGGCTGCCTCTTCATCATCATGGGTACCATATTGCAAGGTACCTCGAAAGCCCTCCCCCAGTATCTAGCTGGACGGTTCTTCCTCGGCTTTGGCGGCTGCGTTGTCAATGTGGCCTGCCCCTCGTTTGTCGTCGAGTTTGCCCACCCTGTGTATCGTGGGGTCATCACTGGGTTGTACAACTGTTGCTACTATCTCGGAGCCATTCTCGCTGCGGCAACACTGCGTGGTTCGGTCCATTACCAAGATACGAGGGCATGGCTTATCCCAACTTGGGTTCAGTTGGCCTTCCCAGCCATTCTGTTACTGACCTGCTGTCTGTTTCCCGAGTCTCCACGGTGGCTCTTCGTCCATGGCAAACCTGACAAGTGTCGCGAGGTCTTAGTTAAGTACCATGGTAATGACGACTCAAACTCTCTATATGTCCAGCTTCAGCTTCGCGAGTTCGAGGAGAAGCTGGAACTAGACGGTGCTGACAAACGATGGTGGGATTACCGAGTCCTCTTCAACTCACGGGCAGCCATCTACCGTGCCATTCTCTGTGCTGTTGCCGTGTCCGCGTTCAGTCAGTGGACCGGCCAGAGCGGCGTGTCATACTTCCTACCCGCCATGCTGTCGACGACTGGAATCACCGACTCGACGACTGTTCTCAACATCAACCTTGGGATCACTCTCGCTAGCGGTGCTGCAGCCTGCTTTGGTGCCAGTCTGATGGATCGCTTCGGCCGCCGCAAGATTCTCATCTCATGCTGCGTCGCCATGGCCCTGCTCTGGGCTGGCATGCTTGGCGGAACCGGTGCCTATTATGAAAATGACAACAAGGCAGCAGCGAAAGCCTCCATTGTCTTCGTCTTTCTCATTGCTATCGTCTTCTCGGCGGCTTATACTCCGCTGCAGGCGCTGTACCCCGTCGAGTGTCTTTCGTACGAGCAGCGTGCCAAGGGAATGGCTCTCCAGAACATGGCAGGCAACGCCGCTGGCTTGGTCAACCAGTTTGCCTTTCCCATTGCTTTGGGCGATATTACTTGGAAGACCTACTTCATCTATCTGGGTACCTGCTCGGCCGAGGCTGTATATTACTATTTCCTTATGGTGGAGACAAAGGGACATACGCTCGAGGAACTTACGGAGATTTTCAAAGCTCCTAATCCACGCCAAGCATCGTTGATGAAGAGGGAGGAAGTAGAAAGGGCTGTGGCACAAGTCCAGGAGGCTAAGGCTATCTAACTCAGTATCACCTGTGATGGGGAAAATTGGACCAACAAGTGGATGAGTAACAGAGAAGGAAGTTATATGCAGTAATAATTTGCTCACAAGAAATATATCAGACCCCAATTTTCGGTTTTCTTTTTCTTGATTAAACTACAGTGATAACATTTCCAGAGGGTGATATCTTTAATTGACGTACGATGAGCCCCTGTCCCATATGCCAACCCAACATCTCAGTGTAGAATGTCCTTCATTGTAGGCATAGCTCAGTTTTCTCAATTAAATGCGTCGTTCACCACTTCTTAAACTACTTAATTAAATGAAGATAGAGTATGTATATCAGTATACGTATAAGCCAACGTAGAAGTAGGTTTGTATGGCAGAACAAAAACCATGTTCAGGGCTCACGACTATGGAGTCCACCAACACCTCTTCCGCTGCCCAACCTGACCGTCACAATCACCCCAGCTGCCGCTCCAATTCCTCCCCCAGGGGCCAGCACATTCACATGCTCAACTTCGGAATCTTGGTATCAACAGCACCCTGAACAACGTTTGGAGCATAACGGGCTGCGGGGCAGGCTAAGGGAGAAGCTGCGGACAAATCTGCGCACTCCAATCGCTTGCTGTGGCTTTTCACATTCTAGGAACTGTGCAAATATTTGCATAAGCGTCTCCATCGATGTCGCCTATGGCAGGGCCGTGGCCTAGAGCGCGAGCCCGGGGCATGTCTCGGGCCTAGCCCCGGCTGACATTTTCCGCAATGTCACGCCGTCACGTTCATTGATTCATGGGGTGTAGAAAGCGGCGATCGGAGACTGGGACGCCTGGAGTCTGGGGTACATCCGGGGAAAGTGTTGGGGTTTGACGATATCACGAGCAACGGATGAAGACTGAGACTTGTAATGCCTGACCTCTCCCCAGTCCTTATAACAGGAGAAACCCCTCAGGTATAGAGGGCAAATCTTGAAGTAGGGTTCATCAAGAGCACATCATATCTACACCATAAAGCCAACTTTCTGTGACAACATGCTTTTCCAAAAGTTGATTTTGGTCATCTCATCGGCATGCATCCTCCCCTTCGGAAATGCCTCGCCAGTTGCGGCGGATAAATCTCAGTCCCAATATGGTCGGCCCTTCATCCATCCTGGCGCTCTCCACACCAAGAAAGATATTGAGAGGGTCAAGGGTCACGTTCGTGCGCAAGAGCAGCCATGGCTCAGGGCCTGGCAACATCTCGAATCTACGAAGCTGGCTCAAGCAACCTGGGTCCCCACTCCCCAAAGCATCCTGGTGAGGGGTAGAAGTACCACAAATGCATCTGTCCCAAGTGAAAACTATGGGTATGCGTACAGAGATGCTCATTCAGCATATCAGCTCACCATCAGATGGCTCATTGGCGGAAATGAAACCTATGCGGACCGTGCCGTCGTCATCCTCAACTCGTGGGCATCCAAGTTGGTCGACATTCAGGGCACAGAAGACAAATATCTGGCAGCAGGTTTATACGGCTACCAATTTGCTAATGCTGCCGAGCTTCTTCGTACATACCGAGGCTGGGCATACAGCGACCAGAGAGCCTTTGGGGTGATGTTGAATGATGTCTTTGCCAAATATAGCAGAGACTTTCTGGATCACCATAACTACAAGCCCGACTTTTACTATGCCAACTGGGATCTCTGCAACATCGCATGCCTTATGTCAGTCGGAATCTTCAACGAAAACAGGACAATGTTCGATTTCGCCGTCGACTATTGGAAAAATGGTCTGCCTGGGGACAGTTCCGTCGTTGTTAATGGCGCTCTTCCCTACTTCTCCATTGCAAATTACACAGAAGAAGGATCAGGCAAGACTTTGATGCAACATCAGGAATCAGGTCGTGATCAAGGTCATTCTCTCCTCTGTATGGCCTTGGTTGGCGTCATCGGTCAGCAAGGTTGGAACCAAGGCGTGGACCTGTTCTCTACATTTGGGCGCCAGATCTTGAACGCGTGAGTCTTCTCTTCAAAAGAAATAATGAATGCTAAAGACTAAGTCACTGACATTTCTTTTATCAGCGCGGAATATGTTGCTAAATACAACACGAACCACACAGTTCCATATACTCCCTATACCAGTTGGGAGGGACTGCTTCCGGTTGTTTCACCAAAATCACGATTTGATGCGCGACCCGGCTACGAGCTCCTCCATTCGCATTATGCTGAACTTGAATCAAGGAATGCCTCTTGGTCTAAGGATTATCGGGACTATGTCAACGGGAATATCAGCGCGAATGTTGAGGGAGGAGGTGGTGATTATGGTCCGAACTCGGGCGGATTTGACGCCTTTGGCCATGGTACTCTGATGTATCGCCTTCAAAAGGAGTAGGAGAGAGCATCTGGACTTGAATTAATGCACTAGTTACTCACTACTTGAAGTCAATGCACTGGTTCATCACCATATAGCAACGCCGTAGATTAGCCTACTTGTTGTTCCTGTAGAGAGTATAATCTTATAGTGACCTAGACTTGGGCAAAAGAAATACCCACTACGCGGCTCGCCCTGACGACGTAAGGTCATTGGTATGTATGTCTACAGTGTTTTACTCTGTACATCTGTAGCCTTGGGCTAGTAGGGCTAAGCTGTTTGCCTTTCCCATGCATTGTGTTGTGATGTCAAATCTCAGATCGGCTACTATTGTTTCCAAGTGTGTGATTAAACCTACTTGAACTCTCAACCGTATAAACACAATGTGATTTCGTTAAATCAAAGAAGGCAGTGAAAACTTCATCCCGTCCT